AACCAAACTTGAAGAGTACTTTAATTAATGAACAAGTCTCTGTTAAAAAAGAAAAACAATGAACACGCAAACAGCGAAAAGTAAAGACGATTACAGTCGCAACTTCAAATGTTTAAGTTTTGTTTTGTTTCCCTTTTACGATTCATACCACAGACTTTCTTGTGTAACCTTGATAACGTCTAATGCTTTGCAAATTGTTTAAGGACATTGCTGCGTGCTTGAAACGCTACATTTGTTAGTCATTTGATACTCATTACAAGTTTAATTAAACAATATGTTGTAAAAAAAAGTACATGTTCATTTTACCCCGATATAACGATATTTTCGGTTATTTTACGGCAATATCGTTATATCGGGAGTCTCGATATAACGATACCTCGATATAACGATCTAATTCCGCTTCTCCCTTGGCATATCGTTATATCGGGGTTCTAGTGTATAAAAGATATTTTTTGCCAGAAAATTACACAAGATCATGAAAACTGCACAATATTATCCACTTTGATATTAAACCTTAAATGTAGCAATAGATAAAGCGAGCCCTAATAGTCAGGGAATGAAGATCCCTTAGGAGTGGCGAAATTTGATGAAGCCCAGCCGCGCTACACGTATCACAGCAGAGGGAGAACCCAAGGAATACTTGTCTCTGAGGATGGGATCAATGGAGGGGATCCTTTAGGACCTGCCAACCCCTTCTTAATGACGCCAGGTACTCTTCACCCTTTTGTGTCTATCTACACTTCCGATGCAAAATCTGAACTGAAACCTCCAATCAAAAACAAATAGATGATAAATGACTTGTTTTGGCACCACGTGGAAAAAGTGGCTCTTGTTTTTCAGCGATTCTCCTGATCGAAATTAAAATTTGGATAGATTGGTTTTGAGGGGAAAATCGGAGTTCCCGAATACAAAACACCAATAAACTCAAACTACACATGGCTTCCGTGATTCGCAATCTGGCAGCATTGTGAGGGTGGTTCAATACTGCGACAAATGTATGCATGGCATTGTATTGTATTGTCTTAATATTACAATACTGTACAAAAGCATAACAATAGAGAACAAAGCAAAACAATGGGAATTTTAACAAAGCCATTCATTGTCGGAGTATTGGACAAGCATGCGCATTTGCAGGAAGCAAGTGCTCCCACCACTGAGCTAACCTTGTTCACCCGAGATCCAACCTCGGAAAAATCCTATAGATCCACCCCTCTTGAAATCTTATATAAGCCATTATTTTAGTTGTGTACAGTGTAGTTAGCACTATGTTGTCAACATTTTTTTTTTAAATCTCGTTTTTTTAATGTGTCTCGTAAGTGTCATCTTTGCCAAGTTGGTGTAGCCAAGACGTACAACTATTTCGAGAAAGGTTGTCGGAAAAAAATTTGCACGCGACAATCCGGAAAGATAATATAAAAGTATCCCCCGATGGGGAGGGGAATAGTGGTGTGGATATATATACCAAGACGCGAAGCGTCGAGGTACATAAAGCTATTTTGAGAAAGGTTGTCGGCAAAATGTGCACGCGACAATCCCGAAAGGTAATGTGGGATATGATCAATATACTGTTCCTCATACTGCAGCTGTCGAACCTACTTTTTTTGCTTTCCTTGAGCACTGGCAGAAGTATGTCCATGGTCCCTCTTGTCATTCTTTCAAATTTCTTTGAGGGCGAGAGGAATAATTGTTTTAGTAAAATCCAACTAGTTGGTCAAAAATATCAAGACAAAACAACTTTAGCTAGCAAAACACGATTCAGCCGCCATTGTTTTGGTTTTCAAAGCCGTCGCTTTTCGCTACTAGTAGCCTATAACATATAGCCTAGTAGTAGCTCAACCAATCAGAACGCAGCATTGATAATAGACCACTTGTTGGATTTTACTAATTAACCATACGCGTTAAATTTCAAGAGTAAAAGGGTTATTTTCTAAAGAAACTGTGGTGCTGAACGCTGTACGCTCATCCTTGTGGACCCCATGGCCAGTTTTCATTTCTATCTACCCCTCTCCAAAGTCACCATTTTGTCCTAAGGGGGAAGTAAGTGTTAATGTTGGCTTAGGGGAGGGGTAGGTAGGCAGTTTCCCAGAAACGTATTATGATCTTTCATTTCTACCTCTTCCTAGCTATGGATTGGCAGTTTTATTTAGCATTATACATTGCGTAGAGGTAAATAAAACAAACACCGTCTTCTAGACAAAATAAACTTTTAATTGCGCTTGATTTGGAAATAAACAACTATGTGATCCGGTTTTAAATTGTTTCTGACGAGAGGACCTAGAGTCAGCAGAAAGAAACCCCTAACCATATTTAACAGTTGTTTTAGCTTGCAAAAGAATGTTTTACATTGTTATGTTCATATTAAGCGGTTTTTAAGTGTGATTTTGAAATGTGTTTAACGAACAACTTCAGCAGCGATTTCAAATTACGATTTCTTATACTATTACCTGAGAAAATTCTGCAATTTTATTGGCTGAAAGAAGCTGCATTTTGGTTTAATGTGAAATAAGCTCATTTGAATATTGCCTTTTCAGTGGAAACCAATATCCGTACGAAGTCACAGGATGGAGCCTTGTTTTGAAAAACAGAAGAAACTTTCGATAACCCCGCAAAAAATAATGCCAGTTGTTGGCACATGACGTAAAAGCCAAGACAAAGCTACAATGTCGCACCTTCGCTTAACGCGAGAACGAGTTTCTGTTGTTAAAATTAAAGAGTACCAAAAAATCCAAAATGAACAACAAGAGTTTTTTCTTTTACCTAGCACAGTTTGTTGACCACTGAAGGAAAGGTACGCCAGCTATAAATATAACCAACACATTGATGATAGATGAAGGTAAAAGGCAGCCTGCGGGTGTACTATTTACGTAAACAGTACACGCGCGTACCACGTTCGCGTGGCTCGCTTCGCTCGCCCAAATGGAGAGCTTGCTCCTAGGCTAGGTAAAAAAAGAAAGTTAATTTGCTGTCAAGTCTGCCGTATTTTAGGAAGTTTCCCAGTCACAGATCGGCGATTAATTGCAGACATTTTCTGCATCTATTTTTTAGGGATTTTTCAAAACAAAAAAGTTCTGAAAACTTCATGAACTTTGACTAAATTATTCTCCTTTTTAGGAAAAAAATACTTTTAACTTATCACATAATGCCCATCATTCGCCACTTTAGAAAACGAGAAGGAAACTGGAGCCGAAATGCTTCTCGCAATTGTTTCTGGGATAGTTACTGGAAACGGGCCGGTAAGCAATTGGCCGATTTTTTTCCATGTCTCTAGTAAGTCCCAGACGTCTTTGCGAATGGTAACTCGGCCCAGTTTCCTTCTCGTCCTTACGCGCGACGTAATAAAAAACTGTCAACTGTCCACAGAACTTTTTCAGGTGTAATTGTATAAACAAGTAATAGCATGTCTCATTCGCGATATTTTAACATTGTCCCACATTTTACTCACCTAACGGCTGTTAATAATATAATTTGTGGTGTTTCTGACAAAATCCTTTACTATAAACATGCTCTTTCCTGTACAAATCATACTTATCAGTGTGTTTTGAGGTAATTTCACAGTAGCCACAGTTATTTATAGTTGGCTGTGGTAAGATCGCAGCGCATGACCTAATAGAACACGGTAAAAGACGCAGACAGACGTTTCATTTGCCTTTTCCATCATGATATAAGGCTCTGCATACTTCTTGCAGGGGATCGCAGACTAAATGCCGGCATACTCTGCTTAGCGAAGTCGTGTCTATTTTCTCATAATGTTGTAGTTCAATTTTATCCTTTGTTCAAATGTTATGTTCCTTTGTTTTGATGATGTAGACGATAGTTTGAGCAAAAGAAACCAAATTGAAACATGGATAAAGTTCAACCACAACAGATGCATAAATCTATTTTCTTCATTTAAAATATTTATTCTGCGCAATGGATATTGACTAAATTTCAAAACAATGTTCATCTGGTGAGATGACATTGCTTCGTGAATAAAGGCAATTAACCCTTTGAAAAGGAAGCAGTTACTCGTCAGTAATCCTCTTTCATCTTTCACAAAGCAAATCTAAAAAAGAGAAAGAAAGAGGCGAAAGACCATTACTGGATGCGCCCGTCTATAGGAAATAGAGTACTAAAGTGTGACGTCATAAAAATGAAATTTCTGAAATTATGGGATTTGTCAGGATATTCTGAAAGAACAATGCCCAAGAGGCCTATCTGCCAAAAATGAGCATTTCTGGGCAAATTGTCCCTGAGATCGTAGCCCAGTTATGCTTAGAAAACTCCATACAAACCCTTCTAAATTTTTTTTGGGTCGACCCAAAAAAAAATTAGAAGGGTTTGTATGGAGTTTTTTGAGTTTAACCGGCTAATATCTCAGAGACAATTTGCCCCGAAATGCTCATTTTTGGTTAGTAGGCCTCTTGGACATTGTTCTTTCAGAATATCCTGACAAATCCCATAATTTCAGAAATTTCGTTTTTATGACGTCATCACTTTAGTACTCTATAGAGATATGCTCTTGGAGGCATTCTTTTAAAATGCATTCCACAAGGTTTCGTAAAACTTAACGTTTTTATTCCAGCGACCTCGAATTCAAGTTCTACCCTGACCGCTTGCTGGTTTTTTCTCGATAGTCTCTTGTTCGACTCCTAGACCATACTTGTAGATGGCTAATAGAGGATTTCAGAGTTGCCCCAAGCCTCTATTTCGAAGCGAGGCTAAGTGCAAAACCATCAATGTGAAAAGTTATTTAATATTCTCATGCAAATAAAACACATTTTATTTCATAAGAAAGGCTTTGCACTCAACCTCGTTTTGAAAGTAAAAGGTTTTTTTTACATCTTTGTTATGTTCACTTAAATTACCTTATTTTTTTTTTCTTTTTTGTGGGCCAAGATGAAAATTACTGGGTTAACACGTTCTCTGTAAGCCGGGATTTTCTTAGATTTTTTTAAGGCTCCAAACGAAATCCTGCTATTTGCTGACTCAAACTATTAGAAAGGCGTGACCACGGGATCAACTCACCTCTTGTAAATCTTCATAGCTTTTGTGCTCAATGTAACATCAGAAAGGTCTCTCTTTTTCTTCATCTTGCCAATAAAACTATTGATCATACGTTTAATGTTGGTTTTCCAGTGAACAAGCGGATTTCCTTGTTTGATACCTGCGTCCATCACCTTGTTGATAAACTCACGACCCTCAGCTAATGAGAACAGGAATGAAAATTTTTAACTATCGGTTGCGTCATTTCTTTAAGTCTTGCAGAGGGGACATTTATTGTTAAGAATTAAGAAGTAACTAACTCAAATTTTTCTCGATAATTATTTGTGTTGGTAAATATTTGTCTAAAAGAGTCTTTCACCTTGCAGCTGCGCTTAGTTTCAACAATATGTTGGTTTCACGATTGCCCATCTTCGTACGTGGTCAGACGCAAGAGCCAATTTCCAAAATTTAGCAAAGTACTTCAAATCTTGTTTCTTTAAGTTCAGAAATCGACTACCTATTGGCTAACTGTAGTGAAGGTGTACGAAGTGTTTTTAAACACTTAAAAGAAAGGAAACGGCTGACTTGCCAGTCTCACTTGTCAAAACAATTTTGTTCTGGCGTAACAAAGTACGTGGAGGCAGCTTGACCGAGCGGTTAGAGCGCTGGACTTGCAATTCGGAGGCCCCGAGTTTAAGTCTCGCCCTGACCACTAGCTGGATTTGTTCATGGTAGTCCCGAGTTCAAATCCTCGATCACGTTGGTAAATAGACAGCTGATTTGCCTCAGGCCAGTAGGAATTCTTAACCGCGTTACGTTTGATATGTATGCAGATTTTATATAAGGAATAAGCTGAATACCCCTAAATGCTCTTAGCTTCAATGTATTTTTTTCTTTAGAAAATAAGAACCTAAATAGCCTAAATTTGTGCTAGTTATGATTAATGTAAAAACCTATTTAGGCTAACTTAGAATAACTGCAGGTTCTTACGTGAGGGTTTTTACTGTATGCCACGCATAAAACGTGTGAAAGGAAAGCTATGTCATCAATCATCAATTCGTTTTGAAGTGAATTGCGCCGCTAATTATAATAATATGCTCCATGTTCTTACCTGAATTTTCCAGACACGCCCTTTTGTCCACGTGTTGTTTGTCATAGGCAGAAAGTCTTATAAGTATAGCATAATGCCAGTACAGCCAGTATCTCTGCTGAGGCCCACCAAGGAACTCAATCGGGCTGGGTTCATCCATGTTCTGACAGATGATGTTCAAGTGGCAGTTTGGCCGCGCCTGAATAACGTATTCGCCGTCCTGGGAACCAATTCCAGACGAACGGATTTCTGCGCATGACTTGGGAATTCCTATAAAATCAATGGTCAATCGCAAATCACAGGAGACAGGGACAGGTTCACGGTTAAGCGCATGCTCATTAATTAAATTACTTTTTTCCAATTTATTATTAATTCTACCGGTTAATAATCCCAATCCCACTCACATCTATCTCGGCGATCTCAGAGTGTATTTCACAGTAGAAGTGTATTTCAGAGTAACCTGAAGTAGGATGGAGGAGTACTAAAATCGCAGATAAACTAATGGATTATGCCAACACTATCAACGTTGAATTTATTGTTGACCCGAAGGTTTTATTCCATGTTGATTAATTTACAGCTATTTGCAAACATTTTTTTCTAGTGCAAGTGACTGCCGGAGGAGTGTGCAGATTGGTTCTTTGACAACATTGTGACATGATCATTTTGCTTGCATAGACGATACAATATGTCCCAGCAGAAAAATAGCATATTGATAAATGAGCATGCGCTGAACCGTTAACCTGTCCCTTTAAAACCTTGGTCAAGTTTCTTATAAAACGCATGCGTCGGACGTAATTCCTAACATCTCAACTCATTATTAAAGAATTTACCCTCTGGTAAAGGAATGAGTCCTCCTGTGTATCCAGGGGGTGTAGAAAGTTGGCCCGTACCAGAAGAACTTGTTGGTGTACTCGACGTTTGTCCTGCAAAAAAGGTTTTTTTTTAAAGAAATGCTAACGTAACTCGATCAATTAACCATGGCCTTTAACCCAATTCAGAGTGGGCTTTTTTTTTGCCTCCTGCGACCGGGGGGGGGGGGGGGGGGCTTCGGGGGCTCCCCCAAATTTTCAAAAGCTCCCCGGCTTAAACAAGGACCGATTTTTTTGGCAAATCGGCCCCCTAGCCCCTTATGGGGCCCCCCATAATAATTTTCATATTCAAAGCTGACAGTACCGCTTCGCCGCCCCCCCGGGGATTTCATCTTGGTTCAAATTATATACATACACACACACTATTTTGTATATACCACTAGATGTCGTTGTTTTTTTTTCCCTGCGCCGGGGGGGGGGGGGGGGGGGAGGGGGCTTCGGAGGCTCCCTCAATATTTCAAAAGCTCCCCGGCTTAAACAATGATCGATATTATTGGCCAATCGGACCACTAGCTACTTATGGGGACCTCCATAATACATTTCATAATCGAAGCTGACAGTACCGCTTCGCAGCCTCTCCGGGAAGTTCATATTGGTTCAAAAGCAGTATGGTACAGAGACAAGAGAACACATCGCAGTCAGAAACTAGGTTTTTACGATGTGCTCAAAAGACGAATGAAAAACAACGGAGTACGCATCCTCACATGTGGGGACCACATTTTATAGCCCCAACGTAAAGGAGTCAATCGCAGCAACTGAGAAGACGCAACGAATGGATTATGAGTAAGGCACACGAAAAAAGACATTCGTCAACAGACCAGACAAACTTCATAAAGCGCGCACATTGCCATTGCTTATCCCTCTCTATAGAAGGTATTTTGGTCCACATACGGGCCTCCTATAGCAAACAACGCTCTGCAGGACAGTCTTAGTCGGAGGCAATGGACAGCCTATACATATAATTTGTATTAGGAGGCTTCTTTTTTCAGACTTAAGGGTTCTTCACCAAAATCAACCTTATTTTTTAATAACCCTTGTAAGCGACGTGGAGCACACAAACTTACCAAACTGATCGGCGGTCACACTGGATGCGTTTGAAACAGCTGAGTTATTTTGCGGAGCAACTGTAATGAAACCAAAAAATTATTGATGAGATGGGAAATAACGTATTTTCCATGATTTGGAGTCGCGACTACGAAAGAAAAATGAAATCATTATCCAATAACAATGACTGCGCATCGCAGAGTATACTCTTGTGTAACCTGTATATGGAATGGTTAAGACCTGCAGTATGTGATGTAAGGGGATCAAATGCCGCCGATAATTGGCCCTCCGAGGAGAGGAAAAGAAAGAGAGGAATCTGGAGAGAATATGGATAGTGTAATAATTAATACAGTAGAATCCTCCTAACAACCATCCCATTAAGAAATACACGGAGTAAGTCTCTAAGACCACACTCTCTCAACCAAATTATGAAACCACTTTAACAATCTTTTTTCTTATGTGAGAGCCTCGTTAATACTACTAGCTTTTTATGGTCGCGTCAAGGGTTGGTGAAAATGTTCAATGCTTTACAGTTTTTAATGGATTAGCAAAGCACCTGTCCCAAGCTAAAGGCTTTGAGACTGTCAAAGATTGTAAGATTGTAAGTCTTGTACGCTGACCACTACAATGGAGGTTAAAAGAACTTGGGACACATTCAGCTTCACGTAATTGTTTAATAGGACTCTGCTCCTAAAGACTACTTTTGGATCGGCTTTGAATTTATCCCTTCATCCCGACAATAGGGAGCTTATTAGCAACGACGACGGCGACGGAGACGATAACTTCAAAGAAGCAGTAGGTTTAATAAGCAACACGTGCAGAATACTTTTTTGTACCTTTCTTAGCTACACGACTATAAGGTGAAATTCCTCACGAGACATTTTGTGGAGGACTTCAATTGACCACGACGACTTTTACTTTCTAGTTCTAAACTTTGGTTCAGTCCCCCCAAGAATTCAATTTTTGGGAAATTTATCTACATTTGACAATTTAAACGAATGAAAATAATCGCGAAGAAGTTTGAAAAAACACGAAGACTTTTAAACAGCAACGTTTTGCTACCGTCGCCGTCGTCGTTTCTAGGGCTCCCTAATTTCGAGACCCCACAAAGACTGATTTCCACCTATTTTGCTCAAAATTCAACATTGTTTGGGGTAGGAGGGGGGTAATTGTCAGGTTTACTATCACTGGTAAGGTCCCAACACTTTTGACCTCCATTAGAGCCACGCAGCCGAAGTGCGGGTGGTCCTCGAAGAAAAACAGGTTTCCAAAAATGAATTGGAGACTAACCTGAATAAGTCGGTGTCTCTACTTGAGGAACAGTTAAATTTGAGACAGGTTCTGTGGGTGTCATGACATCCCCATTAGGGACTGGGTAAGCTTGCGGGACAGAACCCGGTTCTGTGACATTATAGATCTGCGGTATTGTTACATTATAGGCTTGATATGCAGTCGCATTATACGATTGGTTCTCTGTAGCGTTATAGGTTTGAGGTGCCACTGAAGAAGCTGTAGAGTATGTTTGGTTAAACACAGGAACTTGGAAAACTGGCGATGTTGTGTTGTTGACTAGTGAGGGCAAAAATTTTATTGTTATTATTATTTTAGTTATAAACCAGCAAGAGAGAATGATCTAAGATTAGCTCATTCTCTCTTGAAACCAGTGAATAGGCTTTTAGTAGCAAACCGTCACCTGGTACAGATATGCCACAATAGATCTTTGAAAACAAAAGATAGTGATAATTATGACACCCTACTGACCAGACCTTGAGGTAACGCGGTGGTCCTATTAGAACAAATCAATTCTAGTCTTTAAAGGACTCACTATTTACCATAACATGACGGAACTATATTTTCCGTCGAAAAGAGACCTTAACTATAGATTTGGATACACTCTGCCGGATGCGTCCTTTGCTAAATAATATGCGCGGCAGTGATGGGTTTTGGCAAATTTTTTGAGGAGGGTTTTGTTTCTTTTTCAAAATGACTGGCCCGGCCGTCCCTCTTGCTAGTTCCTCTTGTGTTTCAGTTATCGATTAACGTAACTAACCATACCTGGTTCGGCGTTCGGCTGGAAGTACTCGTAAGGTGAAGATGTTGGAGCAGGATTATATCCTGAAAATAAACCAATTAAAGCATAAGCTGGATGGCGAAGTAAATTTCAAACCAGAAGACCAAGAGGTTTATTATAACTCACCCGCTTGCTGTACAGAGTCACTAAATACAGGGATCCCACTTAGCATTCCTCCCTGTACAAGCTGCTGCAGCGGAACGAGGGTCGGAGTCTGACCGGGAGGGAAGTGAATGGTGAATGAAGCCAGCACTTCTTGATCAGTCGTCTCGCTAAAAAAACAAAAAGGGAATGAACGTAAGGGAAACTACATTACTAGTGCAAGAGCGAAAGAGAAACGTCAGCCTCTTAGTTTGTTACCTCAAGCCCGTAACTTCAGACGTCACGCTGTAGTTGTAAGGAGTGTATGCTCCTGTGATCTGTACAAGGCAAGAATGTTAAGAGCATCAGATACCACACTCTCTCTGGTGATGTTACAGCCATGTCAATTAAACAACGCCCAAGCATCAACAGTGTAGAGCAAATTGTAGTTGAATGGCAAGAACGGGTTCATAGCTACCTTAAATTGCCTTCAAGTTAAAGATTCTACAAGCGCATCATTCAAAAACAAAACTACTGGGGCCTATGAGTTTTAATTCCCCTGTAAAACGCTAATTACGGGTACTAGAAGGATACTATGTGAACAGAGAGAAGACTTACAGCTTGAGCTATTTCGCCTGCCAGTATCCTGAAGGTTGTGCTCGTTGTGTTCCCCATGTAGTCATACCAAGTTTCGTTTAACTTCAGTGTCCCATTCAAGGCTGTTTGAAAAGAGAGTGGATTTCAGATATGGTCACCTTTGACTGAGAATGAATGGCTGTTACCATCGACGTAATTCATTACAAGCACAAGGATAAGAAACCTATAAAAAGCCTTATATGTCAACCGAGCGCAACAGCACATGCACCGATACAAGTAAAAAGAAAGGAAAAAAATTTGATCTTGTGCGTGTGCTGGCTTATAGAATGTTTTCACCTTGAAACAAAGATAATTATCCTTGCGCTTGAGTTTAAAATCTCAAGGGAAGTTTAATGTACAACGGAAAAAAAAAATAGTTCGGGCACTTGGTCCACTTCCCTCAAACCAAAGTTAAAAATCGCTTAAGCTTTCCCAAACTGGGCTTTTTTTGCAACACGGCAAGTGGGCGAGTGGACTACACTGTGCATGCCAAAGAATCGGAAGATTCCCAGATTTCTTTGACCGAGGTTGTAGCTAGCACTTACATTCTCCAGGGTTCACGTAAGTCAGAGTAGTCTGAGGCGTCGCAGGTGCAGCAGCAGAGGGATAATTCTGCACTGTTTCGTTCGCGGGTGAGGCGGAAGGTAAAGGAGCTGTTTCTTGTGTTACTTCAGGAGCTGGAACAGGAGCGGCAGCAGGGACCGTAGCGTTCTGGTCAGACGGTGGAGCCATTGGACCATCTGCAAGGGAGACCGAGGTTAGGGTCAAGTTTTGTTATCTAAGATTGCAAAATGAATTTGTAACCTCATGGGTTCATCATGTTTCCCTAATCTCTGAATCATTTTGACACCATACTCTAGTTTGGACTTGTAGTAATGTTATTGACGAAGCCGACAGTACTCCAGCACCAATCGAAGCTACTGACAATGGTTATTGGGTCTCTCATGGTATTTTCTGAAACATATCGACAACGGTAGGAAACAGTTTTTTAAACAGTGATAGATGCAAGCATTCATAGGGCTAAAATCACCAAAAATACTATAAATGACAATCCAAAACTATCTAAACTTACTTAAGTAGTCGTTGAAGACAGGTACATCCCCTAAATGACCACCGCTGATCAGTTTTTTGAGCTGCTCTTCAGGATCTGTTCCATCGGGTTTGAACCGCAGCACTACTCTCGCGTGAGGATTACCTGCGGGATCCTCGCTATAATACGATAACAAAATAAAGACAATTTAAAAGAATCATCTTGAACAAATCAAACGGTTTTTAATGTACTCCAATCTAAAAAAGAGTATTAGTGCAGGTAATCACATGATTTCGAGTGCAATTTGCCATAGATAAGCGCGAGTAAAATTTTCAAAGACTAACAAAAGGGTAAGTGCAATTTGTAGTCTCTGAAAATTTTACGTATTTTAATTTTTTAAGCGTTCATTTATTCCAAATTGCATAAGAAAAATCGTGTTATTACTTTATAATATACATAAAAAAAATTTCCAACGAGCTTTTGTTTATTTCGTGTCTTTCGGCTAATGCTCCGCCTACATGTACTTGATTGGTTTAAAAATGACAAGCTTGACTGACATACTTGAAACGTAAACGTGTTAAAAATACCATATCTCTAAAAATAGCAAGTTTTCACTTAAGAGGAGTATCAAATCAATGACCGTCCTCGGCTTTTTCTTAAACTGACTCAATTTCTGTTTGCACTACTCACATCAAATGTCACTTGACAGTTATGGAATGAACTGAAATTCATGAATCTTTAGCGCTGGACGTTTTGCCGGGAAAAACTGGGCATCTAGAAAGGAAAACCTTGGGCTGCCCAAGTTGGGCGCCAGCAGCAAAGAAAGTGAACGGTTGAGCGTGCCGATGTTTGTCTGGGAGAGTTTGTCTGGGATGTTTGTCTGGGAGAGCTGGTTGGCATTGGAAACGCTGCTGATTCTGTGATATAGCTGCGTTTGTTTATTCTCGTCCGCTTTCATAATCATCTAGACACTGCAAGTTTTGGTGGCCCGTTAGTTTCACAATAGAACTTTACTTGATGCCGGCGGTCTTCAACTTTTTACCAACTATTTTCCTGGCGCTGTGCTCTTTAAGCGACGTATCCTTGATGATTGGCTTCATCATCTGGTTGGTTTTGTTGACTCTCATTGGCTGCCGCTTGTACCAAACTTGCGAAGTTGGATTTTTCACGCAAGAGAGGTAAAGTGGACCGGTTGTGCGTAGTTCGGGAGGACGATGGCAAAGGAACTCTTTGAAGATGGCAACGGGGCACAGGTAATCTTAAGTTGCAAAAATCTTTGACCGAAAGCTTTGGGGTTTTGCAGACGGTCCAGACTGGCGTGTTTTAGTCGGATGCTCGTTGAATTCAACGCTCTCCATGTTGTTTTCGTCCAAGCCAAAACGGAAATCTTCAACGGTCATACTGTAATGCTCTTGACGACCTATTGAGTCAGGAGTTACCAAAGTGTTTGTACCAGGACTTGTGGATTCTCCTTTACAAGCCTTTTGCTTTGCCACAGCCCATTTTCTTTAGTGTTTGTCAGATTTTGGGACTTATTCGGCCACTTGCCTTTACATTTTTGTAGTAAAGGCGGACTGAGCTTTTGCTTCTAGAACTTACTTCGAACTGTTTAACTGCTTATAACCTTGCTCTGTTAGGTAACAGTCAATTGAAGTGACCATGATGCGAAGACTGTCAGGGTCATAGTCTTGGCCGTCTTTTTTACTCACTGTTGCAAACAAATCGTCGACGATTTTCTTGAGCGCCTCCTGTTCATAGTTTTCAATTTTTTGGTTATGGCCCTTTTGCTCTGCCCAAGATCTCCAAACTTTTAGCCAGTTTTTGCTTTGTTGACTTTGTTTTTTGCATTTTCCTTTAAACTTTCAATTAGAATGGTGTTACTGTCTTCAACTCGATCCGCCATTTTGTTTCCAGGCAGCCAATTTGTAACTTTGCCTAACCTGTTAATCATTTTCAATTTCATGTTTTTTGCACTATACTTAGGATAAATTGAAACGTTCTCCACCAATCAGATTGCAGAAATTTTTGTATGTATATTATTATAGCAGAAATGGAAAGTCTGGAACTCAGTTTCACTTTTCTAACAATAATAGCAAAGCCCAAGAAACAATTCTCTAATATTAAATACAAACAAGAGGTTAGCACGATATGACTAAAAAAACTGCGCCACAGATATGTAAAAAATCAAAGCGTACTTAAAGTTTCAGTGTGGAGTAAGTATGGTACATAACTGGGGGCTTTGAAACTAATGGTAATAAGGGTCTCCAATGAAACGATAGTTTTAAAATATTATGGAGAAATTAAATTCGAAGAAAGGTCTGACCAAACATGTTTAATCGCAGTGCCTTTGAGCTACTTTGCTGTTAAGGCGATACATTAATCGATAACCGATCTTTTAAGAAAGCCAAAAAAGAATCTGATTAAAGCGTTAACCAGACAAAACTACTCAACATTTGATATAACTGTATAATTGTGAAACTTCAATTAACTAATTATGCAGTAACGTACTTGTAGCCGATGACTTTGACATCTATGAACGAGGGATCTCCTGCAAATAGTTGTCTTAACTAAAACAGAAAATTAATTAACAGGTTTTATTATATCCATTTTGAAATCACTGGTGATCCTCGCAAGCTGATTGGCTCTCAACAGTGTGATTTATTGACGAATCACACCATTTTAGCTCTAAATCGCATCATTTCTGTTTCAAATACAAAATAAGATGTAAAAGCCTTTTTGTTTTCGCTTCTCAACAAAGCGGCTACTAGTTAAGTAAAATATAGGTACTGACTGAATTCTGCGATTTCAAAATGGCTGTAATAAGTGGTAATTGAACTTCATGTCGTGCAATTTTGGTCCGAAATCATACGCGTCATTTCAACAGCGGACTCGCGCACTACACTCAGTTCAATCACCATTACATGACAGCTTAGTCGTTGCTTTAAATCAAGCACCAAATCTGAACTACGCAAACAGAGATCTTCTCTCAATAAGAAATATATATATATTTTTTTTCTCAAAGAGTCTGATGCTGACAGCCGAATTACTACTTTTTATTCTTGTATCACAAGAGGAATTTTGCAGATTAGTATACCTGCCCAAGTCGCTTCGGTGAATCTATCTCACGCGGCCTCAGTCTTGGCACTGTTTTGAGGGTATCCTCCTCAGAAAGGCCCAACAGGTATAGCCTATTACAAAGTACTGCATGCCTATACTAAAAGATAATAGAAAGATACTCACAGTATTCTCAATGCCTGAACTCAAACTTTTTGTCTTTGGGTTGTTTATATCGCTAAGGAAGGGATGCCAGGGCTGCTGAATTTTTACATCATATGGATAATCTTTTACTAAAAGGAAGACATATTAAAAAAATTGTAGTTACTGGTCGGTGAATGCTATATTTTTGAAAGAAGATAAACGTGTGTGCGAAAAGTGCCTCGCTATAGCTTAGAGACTTTTGATCCTTAATTACTTACTTAGAGCCTCTATGTTTACTGGATAACTGGGTTTTTTTATGCTGCTGCTTCTCTGTTGATCTGCAGTTATCTTTTGCTTGTTGTCTATGAGAAAAATAAATACATCCTCATCGTAGTTCAACTAGACTTATTAGTGAGAGCGAGCCAAGTCCTAGACTGAAAGGTCATCCGTCTCCTCGCCCCACACCGCAACTTGCGGCTTGCTCGCGTTGCCTCTAGTTGGGGGTGGGGTGAATAGACGACATTTCAGACTAGCGAACAACTTTGTTCCCAGGTTCTCTATCGTACCAGTAGGGACGGGTAGGAGAGAACCCTGGGAACGAGGTTGACTAGCCAAGTCCCTTGAAGACGTTTAAAAGAGCTTAATGAAAAAAATTACGAATATTAGAAACTATTTAGACCGTAACAAAGTCGTGTTCGGCTAGACCTAGACCGAGCAAGGTCTTATGACCAAAGGTATAACCCCAAAGAATAATCAGTCATCTCTACTCTGACTCTTCTTTATTCGAAAAGGGTGGGGAGATAGATTACCCAACATAAAATAGTTTGTATTGGCCCTCATCAATGAGCTGCCTATTACCCTGTAGTAGTCTTCTGCGTTATCGTTTAAGTCTTCTTTACTCCAGATATTCGTTGAACACCCTATCATCATTATCATCAACATCATTATCATCCTGGTCATCCTTTTCGCGCCCAATGCCGCACAGGGCACGATACTCTCAAGTAGGAAAAATTACTAAGGCAAAGAATGCGGATTAATATAATCTACTGCTAGATAGGGCTCAGGAAGCAAAACTTCAACACCCCAAAGATATGAGTTCTTCCGGGATAACAATTTCTTTTAAATTTGTCGCCAATATAAAGGAAGAGACGATGTATCTTACCTCCCAGCACAACGAAATAATCGGGGTAGACCATCATCCCCGAAATGTGTCCGCTGGAAACAATACCCCGGAAATGTTTTACTGGGTCCAACTCGCCAGGAACAAACTGCAGTTCAAGGTCTGCCAGCACACTAGAATTTGGTTCTGGGGAGTTTCTACGTAGAGATAAGTAAATGCGACCCTATTACAAAGGTGGTTTATATGGTTCAATTGTAGTATAGATCGCTTGAAAATAGAACTGAAAAGTAACACTAAAGGTGACTATAATCATATCTATTTGTGATGTTGGCAATTTACTATCTAGTGTAAACATTTACAAGAAGAAGACTTAACTTAAAGAAACTTTGCTTCAGTGCTAGTTTTTATTTCCGTGCTAAATTTATCCTTGTAATATTTTTAACTTACTTTAATGCAATCACACTGGAACTTAGGTAGTTTGTGTCGCCAATAAGTTCGGTGGTTATCTAAAATTGAACAAAAAAGAAAATATATCATTGCATTTAAAAAGTGCTCGTTCCTATTCTGTTATTTTTTTTTTCAGTTGTAATTTTGTTTAGTAAATTAGTGGTTCTGTTTTCTTTACAAACGTGGATTTAGTTTGATATGAAGATGATTGATCAACGAAATAGCCAAATGGAGATCAGCTAAAATTGATTTTGCTTTACAGCAAATTTAAAGCTTGAAAATTGGCGTTTTTCCCCAATTGTAAAGCAGATAAAGTCTAGTTGTCGGGTCAGTCAAAATATTGCTTATAAAGTCTGTACGCGTTGCTTGATCAGACCAATCAGAAGTCTGTTTGCTAACTGATTATAGCTTTGAAAAAATAATAAATATCAATTCCAAGAAACGGAAACGAAAGACGTGGGATAAGACTTACCGCGTCAACGATATTCCCGTCAAGGAGCTTGTATTGAGAGCTTTGTGAGTTCGACATTTCCTCCATCCATTTATTTCTGAATTTTATTTCTACCTTAGTTGTAGTGGCTTGAATCAAAAACAACAACAAACGCCTTTAAATGCCAGTATTCAAAATATGTTTTTGCGAAAGTGCATGAAGTAGAAACGTGAATTTTAAATGATGGTAAAAAAATGAATCTTAAGTCAAGCTTCACAAGTGCCCGTCTTCTGGCCTCAGTCATGAACGTATCCTGGGAATTAGTGATTTAAAGGATGGTTATCTTTGCTGGCCTAACGTATTCAAGTTAAAATTCATTACCATAATGTTTATTGAAAGTAAAGGATGGCAGAGCATAGGAAAATTAAGGGTATTTTTAATGTACCATGCTAACAGAGGCTGCTTTTTGCTATATACTAGACGTTTCGCATGCCAGTAATTCTCTAGACTAGGAGCGTTCTTTTTGTATTTGCTCCCCTCGTGTGGCCTGACTTAGGAAAGAGGGACGAACGCTTGTGGTGTAGTATATTTCGCGAAAAAGTAGCCTCGGCTATCAGGATTTTTTTTAAATACGAAGTGCATAAATTTTTATCGAGTTTTGCCTTGTTTTGGCAAAGACGCATTGATTGCAACCTGAAAAGAGACTGCCACAAAATCGATTAATTCACTTACGTGGACCTGTCATTAATTCTCTTCTTCTTCTTGTTAAAATATTCTTCCTCATCAACATCTGGTAGAGGCGTTTAGAAGAATGTTCTTTAGATTTTTCATGGTCATCCTGCACGGATCGACGGACGTGCGTTTTAACTTTAGATGTTCGTTCTTGTCTTTTTCCTGAAAGCGAGAAAAATACGAAAACAAATTTTTCCTTCTTGTTGTCTAGACATAATCTTTTCGCTTACGTGAAAACGTAGATGCTTTACGTCCCACATCCTATAACCCCTTGGCGAGACAACGAGTACCCCGTCTCTTTTATATGTGAGTCTCCGAGGTAGATTACACCCGAGGGGTTAGGTCCTATACGGGGAGGCTCCGCCCGGAAGGGGTACCTTTTACAGGCCTCAGTTATATGAAAGGGTAAGGATCCAACTAGTTGAAGTTATGAAAGGGTAGGGAAGTCTGTCATTTCGGATGATGAAAGGCTTAAAAGGGCTAACAAATACATTTTATCGCTTTGAGAAAGTCGGGGAATCGTTACATACAGTCCCTTTACTCAGCGGTTAACAGCGATGTAAAGTTGTAAACTAGTAAGTATGTCAAAGGGGTACCATCTGTGAACAAAAGGTATACAAAAGGGGAACCTCTTCTGTCAAAAAATGGCATATAAAAGAGTAAGGGGTTGGAACTCGGGGCGGAGCTTCCCCGTATGAAACTTTGTTGAGTATCACCGCGGAGTTTACACAAATTCTGGTGAAGTTACCCCTTCAATACAATTAGGAGAGAAAATGAAATATATTTTTGCTGCAGAATTTTTCTTAGTCCATTTGTCTATAAATCTGTACGCAGGTTTTTCACAATCAATTTCTTTAACTTAAGTCTTCAACAACTCTCGTTGATATATAGTCTTATTAAACTGTTCGGTCTGCTCACAACCGTTTATGGGATAAAGGAAATTCTAGCACATTTTACGGGTAAAGATGTAAATAAATTACCACAAATAAATCAGTTATGCATTGCAAACATATTCAACTCCGTTAATCTAAAGTCAGCGGAGGTTATTTTATTTAATCCGGGTTTAACTATTCAAATTGCTTAGATACAATGCTTAGGATTTATAATTCTGTTCAAGATTCGTTAAACTAACTGATCGAAGCTTGTTTGTAAAAACGTTTTTATCACCGATAACGGATATACGGGGCGATAGTGGTAGAATTCATCATGATATTGCATGAGAAGCCAGCAATAGTTCTTAGTAAACGGTAAATACGGCACTTACTTCCTGATGATTCTGCCCTCCAGATGAACAAAAGGATAAGTCCAAACGTAAAAAGTTTCATTTGGTTTAGGGTAAGCGCTGACTCTCAGCTTGGTTTAGGCTGTCATATGAAAGGAAAATATCAGTGAGTAAAAGTATAACACTCAAAGCGTCTTTCAAACACTTACGTATGTATATATGAGGACTTTGACAAGATAAAAAGAAAATATAAGTACCTTTTTTTTCTAAGGAGAAAAGAGTAACTCAACTATTCTTTTACACTGAAAAAATAGCGAGTACCTTTGGGGTAACTTTGTTTTGTCTCAAGTCAGATGATTTTGTTAAGTTGGAGTCACTGTAGTAAGGGTTAGCCACCTTAGATGCAAGGAAGCACTTTAACGCCCTTATTTCATTGAAGAAGAATAATCTTACAATTCTGTCTCCGCAGTCAGTAAGGATTTGTTAAAATAAAGATTAAAACCCTTTTAGGATATATTGGCTTCTGTCAGGCAATTTTGTCAATTTGAAATCGTCAAATTAAAATTTCACTAACTTGGACTATCAAAGTATTCTAATCTTTTTCTATTTATGTTTTAACCTTAACATTTTCATGATTGTTAGTAAGATATATGAGTTGAATAAACTTTAAGAATTTAAAAACCTTTCCCGCTCCCAACTGTGCCGGCAGGTTACAGCCCGGTTTTATGATCACGCAAAATATACTCTACAAACGTACGCGCGTTTTATTGAGAAATATCTTTCTTATTGTAAAAAGAGAGCTAAGGTAATCTTCCAGTAAGTTCAGTTGTCAAAATCTTTTCAATCATTTTTCTGATGACATTATACCTGTCAACGACAATGGCAAACGTCTGCCAAACTTACAGCATCCCTTGATACGCCTTTCGATTATAGCTAAATTCAAAACAAACGTGACTCGAGGAACCCTACTTCTACTTCAACCAGAACAAAAATCAGGAAATTCAGCCTAAAAGGATAACATCACGCACTTACCTGGTTATGAAAGAGTCTTGGTCTATAATCAGAATACACAAACGAAAATAAAAGGAGTACCGACACCAGAATTCAGCGATGACGGGTCTCTCGTCCTGGCATCATTAGTCAGAGATGCTATCGATGATTATTTTCTCGTCGCCTTCAAATCCTCATGTTACTATGTTGTAAAATTACAAATCTCCTCCTAAAAACTCTTTTAAATGAAATAAGACTATTTAAGTTCGTGGAAAGATAGAAAAAATGCCAGGAGAACAAAACACCAAACGATCAATCCGGGGGCAAAATGAATCTTATCTCTTATTCATGGTCTAAACTAATACCTGTTTTCGGGCCAGTCACGTGACGCAAATTTCCCGCCACCAGTCGGAAGCGATGTTACACCTGTTGCGTTTGACGAAAATCAATTAGCGGGACAATCCACCTGCTAAATAACTTTCAAATTCACTGATCTCCTGTGTTTGATATTTCAAAATGGGTGGAGCTCCTTTGTTAGAGACCTGCTTTATGGGCAGCCCTCGGGATCGAAGATCAACCGAACACTGCAAATACACGGATACGGTTGAACATTCCTAATCAGTGATAATCGACCGTCACAAAGGGAAATGAGATTTTTAAACCCTACTCGACAGAATTGCTCAATGCTTAACTGAAAATCAGAAACAGAGGCAGACCATGTCAGACGCAATATATCAAAACAAACATAATAACGCAAAATGCATCTTGACAAGTTTAAGTAGTCACACTTCATAAAACTCTATAGGACTTTGTTGAACCACGATAATTGATTAGGACTAGCAGATACATACATTCAACAGATTATCGCTTTAATGAAACTATAGGCTTTCGTGTTCGTTGGAATACTTCAAAGAATGTTACGCTTGCCTTGTTTTTTTCTGAGACAAGGAATATTAGATTACCCGCTGAAGCGTTTAAGAACAGTATGACCACATTTCGCAAAACAATGGGGAAACTTCTCACGGAAGCGTGAGCAGCCCGTGGTATAAGGAACTAACAATGACCAAGTGAGATGAGGAGAAAAATTATTTTATATTTTCATTAAAAATATTTATTCAAAGTGGGTTCTGTTGCTCTTAAGTTTTTGAGAGGTATTTTCACACTACCAAAGTCCTAAAATTAGTGGTAGTGTTTTTTTTATTTTGCAGTCACTTTAATTGAGAGAAATTTTCAATAGCTTTGTTGAAGAGAGAGGAAAAAAAATGAAAAGCAAACAACTAACTCTGGTGTTTACTGGTGAGTCTTTTTTGTCTTGTGAAAGGTCACTTACCAACAAAATTGCTCTATCAAATCTCGCTCTCCTCCTACAAATGATTTAACAGTGCGGATAATTCTCGTATGCCCATATAATCCCTACCCCTCCGTAGCGAATACAGAGGAAGAACGTTGATTCCGAGGTGACCAAATGACGTCACGAACTTTAAAATAGCGGCGCGAGATAAATTAAAAAAAAAGATATATTTAACAATTATTCTTTGAAATCGAGGGGAATAGTGGCAAAATATTTACCGAGCCACGAAGTGGCGAGGTAAATATTCCTAAAGCCACTATTCACCGAGATTGTAAAGAATAATTGTTTTAGTATATACACACGAAGTGATCTCAGCAAAATCAGAGAGGAAACCATTAAAAAGTACGATTTGATTGACAGATCAGTTCAGCTAGACACGCGACAGTTTAAAAATAGATCTTTGTAGAATTTTTAAACATGGCAATTCACAAGCTTATCACTTCGCAAACATCCGCGTAATGACTTAAATGGAACCGCTGAAAGTTTGAATTGTTTCCTTACCTGAGAAGAAAAGAAGAGCTTTGTTGTTTTCTGTTGACTGGCCAAGTTTATAGCCGAAAAGGTTTGTTGTGTCGTTCTTCGCATGAAGTGCTCACAAAAATGGCGATTCGGTTCCTCGAGGTAAGACGTCGTCTTCATGTAGCATTCTTTCTCGTGTTTACTTGAAATGTAGAATTTCTGCAAACCTTTGCTTTCAAATTTGTTTGTCATAAATAAACTTCGTTTTTGGGCCAGATTTTTCATGTTAGGAAACGCTGAGTTCACCAAACGGCCTCTTCTAGACGAATAAACGGGAGCTGTAAACAATCCATCGACCACAAAACTCAACAACAGTAAATGGAAAAACGCCGTTTTGAATCCTTCGAAGTCTTTTCTTGCCAGAAAAAAAGTCAAGCCTAGGATTTTGTCGACTTTTAAAAGATCTTTCTCTAAGAAAATGGGAAAAAAACCGAGCTCACACATTATCCACTCGCTGGGAGGTGAATATTGTTGAATAGTCCGAGATAGCGAACCAATCAGATTGCTTAAATCAACAAGATCACTGAGTTTGTATATACTAAAGTGCAATATTCAGTCTATTATTTTCTTGAATTAAAACTGTCCTTTCCACTCTTATGGAAATTTTGATGGAAAATAGTTTTTTCGAAGTTCATATTTTTGTTATCGCAGTTCAACAGAGATTTCCCTTAACAGACTGAGCTATCTGATTCTTTCTTAAAAGGGATACCTTCTTTTGTGTGTTACTCGAAGTAGAGAAAAGTGCCGACCTTGTGTAATCAAATATTTCTTTTTTACAGTGGATACATAATTTATAATGGTTATAGGACTGAAGTTAAATTCCGTCTGTAATAATACGAGTGATACTTGAAACAAAACAAATTCCGATTAGTTTTATCCTTTGGAGATTGCCAGCGAGTTGCATTTTCCATCAGTTTCTCTTGTTTGGACTGGTTTTTGGCCAGTTAGCATGGGAGTGGCCAAAAATGAGCTTTGCAACATTATTTTTAAAAAGGAAATTGCTTTTTCGCGCATGCGCATAAGCCAAAATTTGATCTTCAATCGATCTCCCTCAGTCTACACTGGTTTGAGCACCGTTGGTTAGTGTGCGCAGCCTTCTGTGCGGGAAGTGTCCAGTTTGATTCCCACGTGTGACCTCAAAATCCTTGTTTCGACTTCTCTCCTTTCCGTGTAACATTTAGAAAGACAATCTTAAAGCAAGGGGCACACATATTCCAAGCCGAGCCAACAGCTCCATCATGTGCTGCGTGGAGCTGGCGCTTAAAGGAGTACTTGGCAATCGCCTCGGTAGTAAAGGACCTTTGAAGACAGCTTTGCCTTTACAGAGTGTTTGACGACTATGCCATGCTATTGAGTCCCAATAAGGGCGAAACGGCTGGCTCCCACTGCCTGGATGGTATGGCTCTGCGCAGGCGTGAGGAACTGGCCAGGTCATGGGTTGGTATATGTGTGACCCTTGTTGTAAGTTTGGGGGTTTGTCAGTTTAAGTACAAACATTAACCTCAAATTAAAGGACAGCACAGGACAGCAAACAAATCTGCCGGAGAACGTAGGATCTATAAGGACTTGATCAGCAAAAATAACAAGTAGAGACATTTAAAATTCTGCAAGCAAAATACTGCAATGCTGATCGTACCACGTGAAAATTAACTCTACATTCATCAACACCACACCGAAAGAACTCAAAACAGAGCGGGACTGTAGCCATAGACAGCTGTTACGCTATTATTGCAGCTCTTCAATACGGTGTAACAACAGGAGAAGCTCTGATCTAAAATATCCGCGCACTCTGACTTAAGCCCTAACCCAGAACTCTCAACACCATCACGCTATCACGTGTCTTCTGGGAGGCAAGAGTCCAAGTGTCAAGTTGATGTTTCGCAGAGAAAATAAAGGATTGGCCAAAACCAGCCTCAAAAACATGGACAGAACAATGCAAAAATTACAGCATATCCGATCTATACGAGATCTACGGCCCCAACGTAAAACCAGTACCCTTACCTTCACAGTTGATAAACTACCCTGGGTACCAGAGGCTTTTGCCCCTCTTTAGGGGCCACGGGGATCACTTAAGCAAAACAACTAGCATAATATAATCCATTTCATTAATGTCCTGCGATTACATCCGTCTCTCATCGCTCTGCTGCCGGGGAAGTTTCGAGAAACTTTAGAAGCGGGCGCGTTGAAGGTGGCTATTTATAATTATCATGATTATAGGTTACCAATACTCACGCAATTTTAATGAAAACAGATGTGCTAAAATTTAAGAGAGAATACTCTTACTTACCGTTTCCCTCATTCGACATATATATCGCGTTCTAACAAAGAATACAAAAATTTGTACCTATCCTGCATTTCAATTTCCGGCTTGCATTTTTGCACCGTTCCTAATACCGGATTCATTTGTTGCCACTCCTCATTGGATCAGTTGTTTGTATACAAAATAAAATTAAACTTATTCTTTTTGTTGTTTTTTGATTAGAACTAAACCTAGTAACCCTTTTACATAAAAAAGAATAATTCCCAATGTGGAGTACCTTTTTGATCCCCGGTACCCGACAACTTCTTCCCCAGGGCGCTTTTCCCGCCACACATGCTAAGCCAGGGAAAAGCGCCCTGGGGACGAGGTTGGCTACCCGACGGTCTCGGGACGGGACGTGTTACTAAACAGGGTGTGTTGTATCCAGCTTTGGGGCTCAGGGGAGTCGAAGCCTCCCGCCCCTGGTGGCATGTATTTACGGCTCTCGCCACTTTATTCTTTCCTTCCTCCCATTAGCCCTTTTTTAAACTTTGTTGCTTAATTTCTTCATTTCTACCGCTTCCCACCCTTTTCAGGCTCCAGCTCCCGTACCCCTCCCTCCCCTATTCTTCTGGGATCCTACCCCCGTCCTCCTCCTCTTGGGTACTGTCGTTGTTTTTATTATACAACACATCGTTCTTTAGATCCAACGTGAAATTATGGCTTACACACTTACGAATATTCAGTTTAAGAGTTGTCCTTCATAAAAGCTCTCTAGGGGCACTCCTTCTCCTGAAGATGCTCGCTGGAAAATTGGAATGAAACCCCTGAACGATACTCTAACGGAGTATAACAGTTGTATTTTCCCCGTTTAAATCGCATAACCCAAAGCGATAGCTTTAGGGGTAAAAATGTTGGCTTTCTGTCCTGAACACCTCAGGAGCCTATAACCCTTTTTAATAAAAGCGAGACCAAAAGCTGCATTGTCTACCCCGAAGTGAGATGACAGGTACCCCAGTCACTTTCATGAGAGTACCCCCCAGGAAAGTGGTTTCTCTATACTAAAACGTTTCTCATACTCCCCGGGTCCCCAAACAACTCACACTACGGATTTACCACTCCCCGCAGGAACGCGTGACGAAGCCCCTATAAATAACGTGTGTTTGGGATCCCAGGAGGCTACTAGGGGGGTGCTCAACGGAAACTTGGGTAGAGGTGTGCCTCCGAGGCCTTCAAAACCTGACTCTGTTTGAGACAAAGATCGTTCACTTCACCATCTTGCTTATTTCGTGACCCTGATTAATGTCGTTCCTCCAATACAGAATTAGAATTTTGGGGAAAAAAATTGGTGGTACTACACCCGTTAATAAGGATTTGTATGAAAAAAAAAACCTATTGTTTCCGTAACCTACGAAAATGAAAGGATACACTGCTATTTTTGCTTACCTACATCCCCTGAGCTGGGTTTTCCGGTTTTTTCCGGTTTCTGTTTTCGGGTCGACTTATGCAATGGCAAATTGAATGGTTTTATGTTCCACTGGTCTCCGCTGTTAGCTGCGCTGTCTTCACATGCATAGAAAGTTACAAAGGATAAAAAATACCGCGTAGGAAACAACGAAACTGACAGATCTGAAGCAAATTAGGTAAGTTACGGTATTTTATAAATTTCAGTGCCAGTTTAAATTTCATTTTAGGTTAAAATTCGCCAGGGACGTCCTTAATGGCTACAATAGGAGCAAGGAGAAACGGCTGTGTTCGCAGGCGTAAATGTCCTTGTTTTAGTTTCTCTTCTTATTTGTGGGAATGTAATGTTATGATAACGAGTTTTAAACAAAGAAGAATATAATTTTATACCAGAGAGTTAATTGAACCAAAACAAGTAAACTTATCTGCTGTAAATCAAAAGCATGAAACATGAATTTTGATCACCACACTACAGCTTTCGGCTCTGCTCACCCCTCGCGCGGGCCCGTTCTCTCTTTCGCCCACTACTTCCAAGCGCCTGCTACACAGGTTATGTTTATTTTTTAAGCGTGTTAATCTGTCGTGAATATTCATATACCGTCCAAAACATCAAGTGTCAAGCCCGGGGGTGTCAAGTAACTGCTGATGAAATCGTGGTTGTGATATAAAATACTGAATTGTTGTTCATTTTATAGCAAGGAAATCTGTCAGCAACAAGGGAGTAACGGAGACGCAGAAGGAACTGTATAAATGGCTTTCCTGGTTCATGGGGAAAGATTTAGTAGCGAGAAAAACCTTGGGATTTTCCTTCCGAGATCGATATTAGTTGGACTGGTAAGTCTATTTGCGGCTGCAAATGTGCTTTTTTACTGTACAGAAATACGATTCATAGGTAGAAAACAGTCAAAGGAGCTTTTATTTTATATATTTATTTAGCGAAAAACGCTGTGGCTATATTTTTTATATGCCCGGCAGATCCAGCGAGTGATCTAGAGGCACTGTATTTTTTTTGGGCTAAACGGATATGTGTCAGGAGAATATGATTCGCTAACTGCTCTCACGCGATGTTTATATTTAAAGATTAAAGTTCCTAAAATTTCAACCTAAACGGGCTTTTCGAGGAAGGTTCAAATACACACAATTTAAATGGACATCAATACTCTGTGCGAAGTAAATGTTTGAAAAAAATTAGATTCATTTTTGTTCGAGTGATTGAAGACGGGCTCAAAATAACCTGCTAGTCATTTGCATTTCATGAACAAAAAACTTTGAGATGTAAAAAAGTGGTCAGGAGGTGAAAATTTCAATATTTATGGTAGATATTTTGACGACAACGATTGCAAAAAAGAACTGAAAGAGAAGGATAATGTAATTTACGGTGAATGTAAGCTCTGACTGCAATTTTGGGCGCACTTGGGTGGCATTAAATAACGTTGATTATGCACACATTATTGTCTTGGAACAGAATTTCAACTGAACTACATCTGCTTTTTTAAATATTCATATTTTACCACTCTTCCTTTATACTGCGCGACGAACCCAAGCAAAATCAAGTGACTAATTTTTCGAACCTGCGTAAGTGGGAACCAACTATGCATGATATAGTCTGCTACACAGCCGTTTTTAGTGTCGGTACGCAACGTTCCTCGAGCGTTGCGTGACGACACTAAAAACGGCTGTGTAACAGACTATCCATGACATAACCTGCAGTGCAGGCGTATTTTGGGTGGGCGAAACCTTGTTCGTGTTCGTAATGTTGTCAGTAGCCGCCATCATTGATTTTATGACAGTGGAAGATTGGGGATAGTAGAAATATTAACCCTTGTGACTCGCCCCATTTCCTTCTCTCTTCGGGAAGTTTCGACATCGCGCTTTCGCGAGCAAATTGCGCGCTCAAAGAAAACGCCTGCACTGCAGGCTATCCATGACACTGACTGGCTAAAAAAAAAAAAAAAAGTAATTTTACTTTTTCGCCCACCGCGAGTGGCTCTGAGGAAAGAAGGACGACCGCTCGTGGTGTAATTCGACGATTTTTATCGCAACAAAGCACAACATTGTTTTGAATGGTTGCGATGTTGGTTTAACCTGCACTGACGCTGGGTTGCGCTAAAAATCGTCGCGGTGAATCCTCTCGTGTAAGATTACGTTTAGTCTCCTACGCAGCGGTTCTTAGGGATCGATAGTATCTCGGCCGGCTTGGTTTTGTCATTTGCCGATTTCAATGTATGCCCAGATGTGATCTGTGGCGCAGGCTACAAAAGCCCTAAAGTAACCTTGACCTTCATTTGCGTTCGTTTGCTTATCATTTTTATCAGGTTCATCTATGACTTTGTAAAATTTTTTCCTTGTTTTTCCCTATCAAGACGATATATCCTCTCAAAATATTATAAAGACTGCGATAAACTATCGAAACTGTAGCATGCGAGCGGTATATTTGCGGGGCACGAGAGTGCTACCCGCGGTACATGTTTCCTATTCACATTGAAGTCATTAAAGAAAACCAAACTCAGCGCTCATAACGGATTGACGCGTCTCTCTGGAACGGAGAGGGTTAGCCTACGAGCTACTGTAGCTCTCCATTTGAAGCCACACGCAATTGAAATTCTCTTAATGGACAGAGATCCACACGGGCGCTCTCACTAGAGGGTGAAAATTATTTTGGTCGTCTCCCTTGTTCGACATGCCTTGCTGTGGTTTTAAACTCGGCTGGTTACGAGCTCAATTGGTTGAGTAACACACGGAATGCCCAGTTTAATTCCAGGCTGGACCAATTCGCTGCCTTCACTCTGACATCTTCGAGGTTCTGGTCTTCTTGGCACATAACTGAAGTTGAAAACCCCTTGGCCCCTTCTTGTAACGTAACACTCTAGTGCATGTGTACCTCTAGCAGTTACCACCCCTACTTTCTATCTTTCATGGGTTGTGGGAGGGGAGGGCACCTTGCTTGAGACCTATAATTCCTGTTAGTGCCTATCCCCTCTGGGCGGGTCAGTGCCCAGTAAAGTTTGTAAAATTAGTAAAAACAACCGGTCCTGGGTAGCTGGAAAAACAAGTTGATGACCTGCATGACCTTTTCATGCCGGCAAACTGGGTGATATGTCTGAAAAAGCTTTGGAAGAGCGTAAAATTTCTCTGCCAAGGGAGAGTTAGGGCAATTCTATATTCTATGGCTGCTTTTTCGCAGATAGCTAGCGAAACCAGCCATGAACAGTCGAGTCCAAGTCTCCCAGAAAGGAGATTCAGAACATGAAACTACCAGATGGCGTCCTGATAGCTGCTGGTCTTGGCTGGTGTGTGCTGCTTCTGGAATATCGCTTGTTATTGCCTCGGGGATTGGTTACAGCTTTGGACTTCTGCTGCCAGTTTTGGTAGAACACTTTGACACAACTCGGCAAGCGGCAGGTAACCCCACTGGGGTACTCCGGTGTTAAAGTGACGGGGATGATCGACAGATTTTTGCCAGGGATATAGTTAAGGAAAAGCTAAGCTGGCTTGTTTTATCAGTCAAGCCGGCTTTTTCTTTCACAAGTGTACCTTTAAAACTCATCCATGTCTTTGTTTTCCAAAGAAATTTTGAACCGGTGGTAGCTCTTTTTCAGCCGTTGAAATTAGTTGGCAGCCTGCTCTTAGCAGCATCCCTGTTTGTGGGTTCAAAATTTTCGATTCCGGGATTTTTTCTGGGGTAGGAAAATTTGGCAAGTATTTTTTTGGGGAAGCCTTGATTTAAGTACGTATGTTTCTGAAGATTGGTGTGGCACCGCTTGCTGTTCGAATAGTTAAGGGGTCAAGGTTGTAGAATATGGGCAAAGGATATTTTGGGGATTAATGTTTGGTCCAGGGATGTGTTTGGGTTTCCTTAGTAGCCATAGGGATTAATTATTTGGGTTTTTATTATAGGTTTTGGTTTTGCCCTCTTTCGATCATTCCCTTTACTTTAACACCGGTGTACCCCCCTGGGTAGGTAACAGCAATCATCGAAACAAAATCCAAACGAAGGTAGGAGCCATGCTGGGAAAACCCTGCAATATACCGAGCGACAAATTCTTTTAACGAACAATTATGGAAGAATATATACAAAATTTTGGGATGTGATAGCAAATGCAGGTATCTTTTTTGGTATTCGCATATTTATATCATATTACCGTAATGGACGGGTTTCAATAGTTTTGTACCCAGGCTCTGTAATATGTCGATGCTGGGGCGACCCTAGACAGCTAGCTGGAGAATGTAAAGGGTTATTGAAATGAAATTTGACAGTACCTCTCAGTGTTATTATTTATTTTATATCATTGAATTCTTCACAATGAAATTTGTACGGTCCCTGATGGACCTTGCCCGGCAATAGCGATGAAATAGTTTTAATGGCGACACCTGATCTCTTAACCACAACCGTGTACATTAAAACGCAAGAGTCAAAAATAGGTGTTCAATTTGTAGAAAACTTTTAAGGAGATTTTTACTTTGATGCGGAGGTAAATGGAAAAAATAAAACTAGAAGAGCATATTTCACGACCTAACCTTACCGTAGATGGATTTTTAGGACAAAAAAAATGTTGAAATTTTGCCGGTGCAGATACCTTAAGAGAATTTTTCGGAATTGAAATGTACTAACTGTGACAGAGAGCCTGTTCACAGACTAGAACATTTTATGCAGTTCTCGGAGTATTGTTTTAAAAAGCATATGTAATTCTTGCGCAAACATTAGCAAATCACATGATTGATTCCAAGGTCAATTTTGAAAACCGGAAGGGACTCTGTGGGTTTTTTTTTTCTTCAAAGAAAAAGGGATTGTAAGTTCAGAGGGATGCTGCCTTGTAAAAAAAGGCGGGGGTGTATCGTCGGTGAATTGATCTTTAATAAACCCTTCTAATGGATGCCAGTCTGGTTAGATTTCATATGTAATTGGATTAGCCTATCAACACTGTATTTTCCTCACGCACATCCATGACGTACTCGCATGGGTACAAAATATCGACGTCCCATCCTGATCACCTAAGTGATGCCAACATCTACAATTTGCACATGGCATGGGAGTCTGCATAGGGAGTAAAGTTCCCGTAAATCAAAAAATTGATATAAGCTGTGCAATTGATCCTGATCATTATGGCAGATAGTTTTCAGTAGCCGCGTTCACCGCTTTTCCCCATATTTAACAGTTTGACCTGTGAATGTCGTTGAGGTGTCTCGAATAACGGACGTGTTGACCTTTTTGGTGCAGCCTGCATGGCAGGTGCAAAAAAGGCCTGCCAGGCAGGGTTTGTTTGGTAATAAAATTGAACGATGGCGAATTTTGAACCAATTAATCATCGTCATCATCATCATCATCATCATCATCATCGTCACCATCATCCATATCATCATTATCATCGTCATCATCATCATTTATCAACACCACCTGGCATATATCTTGAACCAAGTCACAACCGAATGAAGGTTCTACCGATTTCAAAAACGAATTCAAACTAGTGGGACGTTCTATGAAGTAAAAGCGAGGTTTGTGACTGAAAAACTCGAAATTAGCCTTCCACCTAAACTATCTATCGCACTGACAGCGATCTGCAGGGAGTAAAGAGAGAGGGTGATCACGTAAAAAACCTGGCTCACTGGCAGACTGGAGGGTTATGTGCGAATAGCGTACAATTTTAATTTGCGAAGGCCTTTCTTCCAAATTCAGCAACATTTAACATACTTTACGTTGAAGTTTTTGTATTAATTTTCCGTTTTAGTCTTATTTCGATTGTTGGCTTTCTTGTTACTCTTTTTTTTAATGATAGTGTTATTTTTGTTGTGTTTCAGCATGGATTGGTTCACTCAGTATGGCCTTTGGCTATTTCACATGTCCTCTCGGTTCCTATATCAACGATCGCTTCAGCTACAGATTCACCGCCTTGCTGGGCTCATCATTTGGAATAATCGGCTTCCTTCTTGCATCAGTTTCTTCCCGACTATGGATGATGTACCCCACATTTAGCCTCATATCTGGGTGTGGTCATCGCGCAGTCTACAACTCCTCTATTCTGGTGGTCCTGCAATACTTTGTCAGACGCCGTTCGTTAGCTGTTGGGATCATTACGTCGGCAACGGCTGTTGGCATGCTTGGAATAACTCAATTCACCCAAGCGCTTCTGAGTGCATTTTCATGGCGAGGAACTTTAAGAGGATTTGCCCTTCTCTACGTTATTTGTGGATTGTGTTCTTTTGTCTTTGTGCCTCTTGACAAAGCATTAGAAAAAGATGCCGAAAACCTAACAACGAAACCAAGACAAAAGGAAACGAGATGTCAACCCTTACATAAAAATGGTTTCTTTATTATTTTTTCGATTTCACTGATTATTGTTTCTTTGGGATACTACGTTCCAACTGTCCACATAGTGAGTACAGGATTTTCCTTCTTCTCCTCCTTCATTTACAAGCATTTCAACATTAATATCGTAATACTTGGCAGTTTATCCAGCTTAACCTAAGGTGCTAATTGTCTCAACGAATAATCAAGACGGCTGTAAGTGCAACTATTGCTGGTTAACGCAGACACATTTTTTAATGTTTTTTTTCATATCGCGATACTGGCGGCAGTCTATTCAGTTAGGTGGGGCACTAATTGTTTCAACTATTAAAGAACAGTCTTCTTCTTCGATGTCTTCTTCTAGTTCGAGTTAAAGTATGGACTGTCTGCCAAAAATAGTGGCTGTTGTAGAGAGGTGACGTTTACTGGAGGTTGGACTGTATGCCAGTACAAAAATTGGCGGTTATAGAAGATTATGAAATTTTTATTTTCCTTAATTTTATTTTTAATTACTTTCATCTCGTTTCGAGCAGCGAATTTTAAGAAGGGCCTCTATAATATAATTTGGAGTAGCTCAAGTGCCCTTTCTTTAAGAAAAAGATTTTCCATGCTAATTCGCATCATTTTCTGCAGTTTTGATCGTCCTTGGCCAGTTCAACTTAGTTCATAACAAGTATGCAGAAGTGTATGTTATCAAAATACACCCCTCCAGATTGGGTAATTAGTATTCAAATTACATCCCAGGACTAATAACGTTCGTTTCTAATAAACGACGATCACTGAGCTGAGCATTGCCTAAGCAGCTTTGTGGAAATAACATCCTGTCTCCTTCCCCAGAGCAATTAAGATGGAGTAAAGAATTATGTTCTCTTTTTGTCTTTGTTTTCAACAGATCAAACATTGTCAACAAGAGCTCCATATCTCTGGGGAAAAGTCATCTATGTTGTTCATTTATTTGGCTATAGCATCATTCTTCAGTCGCCATATCTTCTGCACGCTGGGCGACTTCAGATGCTTCAACAGATTTCATCTCTATCAAGTGGCAATGACCATCAGTGGATTGTGTGTTATATGCCTGCCGCTTGCAAAATCATTCCACTCCATTGCTGCAATTTTCATTGTGTTTGGACTCATGGAAGGTGCTCAAATGGGTCAGTTGACTTTGCTGGTTTTGGAATGCGTTGGAAACGACAAGGTGAACCAAGCATGGGGTTACCTAATGCCCTTTTTAGGACTGAGTGTTGGTATCGGTCCTCCGCTTGCTGGTGAGTTGAAAACGTGAATCTAATTTATCGCCCAGAATTGGGCGACATGCATCCGGGATCTTTTGCACGCGCTAGCGCGAAAATGAAAATTCGTTCTAGATAACAAAGGGTAAAACAAAAGAAAATGGCCTCAGACCGACTATCAGGACGCAAATTAAGCGGCTTTGGGAGCTTTCTACGTTAGTTTCGTTTTAGTTAGCGTATGGCTTTTGTAGATAAGTTATAAACTAAGGGAATAAGGGTTTTCGTGGTGTTATAACTGTAATAGAACCTGTTTGATTTTCTCTTGAAAATAACCTGTTTTTATGCAGTTTTTGGAAGGGGGGTGAGTATACGAGAGGAAAACGAGAATATCCCGCTTGACAGTGTCGCCTGATAGCAATTTTAATTTAAAAAAGGTGTTTGTGGTTTCTCTGTCAGGAAACATAATTTTGCTATGTACCCCGAGGTGGGCTGCTTTTTAAAGCCCCACGATAGGGTTTTGTATGAATTTGCTGGCCCCACCGTAGGGCATTTGCAGTTTTCCAAAGAAAACACTGGCAATCACCGGAAAAAATTTAAAAGAAAAATGAAAAAGGTTACATTGGGGTGTCGCGATGATATTTGACCATTCTTTTCTTTGCTTACAACTCATTGGTTATTATTAAAATTTCTTCTGCAGGTTTAATGGCGGACAGGTTTGGCTCGTATACCCCATCGTTTTATACCGCTGGGGCAGTTGTAACAGTCGGAGCGTCGATTACATCACTTATGATGTTTGCAAAAAAGCAACCTGAAAACTATGACGTGAAGCAATCTTATGACGAAGAACATCTGTTTGTTAAAGGGCAACTTGAAAACTTTGACGCGAAGCAATCTTACGACCAAGAATTTCTGGTTACAGAAAAAGTAACTGTCCTTTGAATTAATAGATGAACCTTGCTTAAGACATTTGGCTACCATATAGATATGCCATGCATGATTTTCTGTTTCCGTTGAGCGCCGTCCAGCTTGATGAAAATCTTCGTCTCGAAGATTTTCATTGAGTACAACTGTTTCGAATTGAAGAGAATATAGTCAAATACAATCTGCTTAAAATTAAAAGTAGTGGAATGTACATCCCATTGAAGAAAAATTGGGTAGAGTATACCCTCCCTGATTTAAAGCAAAATAATGTTTGCCGGCACCTTGCTTTGTAAGCTTCAAATAATCATAGGTCAATTGCCTTAAAGGGGCTGTGTTGTGGCTCTATACTTCATATTGCCAAGTTTGCTTCCTTGTACGCATTGGAGCTAAAAGTCAACGAAGAAATCACCTGTACATCACAGCTTCTTGTCCAACTAATATACTCCCCAAGTGTTTTGCATCAAACGTGACAAACAACAAAAATGAACTTTGAAATACTGTTAGGCTAACAAGTTTTCAAAAACCCCCAACCTCAATCCGTTTTTATCTTCTTCAAGTTTGTCCATCTGTGGCTCCTTTTGTGTACCCGACCTTCTTCTAATGTTTTAAGCTGTTATTTTTATGTTTTATGCAGTTTGGTGACGGTTCCTACTATTCGGATTTTGATAAATTCCGTGACACAGCTCCTTTAAGATTCTTTTCGATCTCTCATTGCCTTTTTGCTCACATTTTTACGTAAGCATTTATGAACTAAACAGATAGTTAAATGGTAAGACAATGATAACAATCTTTTTGGAGGCTAAGCTTTTTTTTTTCGGAATTCCCAGTAAATATGATATTTCTTCATTTTATCGAGTCTTTTCTTTGCTATGCAAGCCTTTTTATGATGACCTAAAGGTGAGGTGTTACCCGAGACGATTTGCAACGACGATACGGCAACAACACTGGAACAATGTTGTACCAACTCAAAAAAATTTTCTCAACTATGTGCATCGCTCTGTTGCGCTCAAAATCGTCCTTGCGTGTAGCATAGCCTTAAGGTAAGGACAAAAGGCAATGACATCTGACCCTCCAATATGGTCCAAACTTTGTCCTTCCGAAGCTATTCGATTTTAGTTTCAGAGTTCAGGGCGCCTTAACTTGCACTTACGAGCAACTGTTTCACTCTAACAGCAAAGCTCCGAGGAATTTTCTCAAAATATTGCCAAGAGCGCTTTCATAGAAAAGATCCCGGTATTCTATTAAAAGAGGTTATGGCTCTTGGCTGTTTGGGTCAGATAGTTACTGGTGACGCATCCAATACTTGGTTTTGTCTTGCTTTGTTTTTAATAACTTAAAGGGACAGGTTCACGGTTCAGCGCATGCTCATTAATTAAATTACGTTTTTCCAATCCGTATTAATTCTATCGCTTAATAATCCCGCTCACATGTATCTCAGCGATCTCAGAGTGTATTTCAAAGTAGAAGTGTATTTCAGAGTAACGTGAAGTAGAATGTAGGAGTACTAAGATCGCAGAAAAATTAGTGGATTATGCCAACACTACCAACGTTGAATTTATTGTTGACCCGAGGGTTTTATTCCATTGATTAATTTACAGCTATTTCCACCTAAGTTGATCAACTGACTGCCAGGGCAGTGTCCAGATTGGTTCTTTGACAACATTACGACATGATCATATTGCTTTCATAGGCGATACAGCATGTCCCGGCAGAAAAATGGCATTTTGATTAATGAGCATGCGCTGAGCCGTGAACCTGTCCCTTTAAATTACAAAATTCTAAATAGAGCGTTTTGAAATGACGTCACGGCGGCCATACATAAGGCACAACAACGACGGCAAGGGGAACGTTCAATAGGTTCTATGAGCAAAACAAGAATTCTGAACGTCCGTCACGTTTTTTTTGTAAATTTCTTTGCCGGTTTTACACAACTACGACGTGAAATGACCAAATTTTGAGTTGACTTGGGAACGGCAACGGCCAAGCGATATATTGTTTACTATCTCTGATTTCGGACACAGTCCCCTCTCTTCAGTTCCAACCTAACTTCCCTCCTTTCAAGTAACTGGGTATCTTGGTTTTAGGGCGAAAAAAGTTTCAAACGACGCAAAGTGTTTTTATTGGCGTCGCTGTTGTCGGACGGTAAGGTCTCTATTGGTGTTTCAATGAAACGGCGGCCATAACAATCATGTAGGAGTTGAACTCTTTTCTTATGTAAACGCTTTCTTTTGCTCCAATAAATTACTAGAAGCATAGATTCTAGCCACGTGAGTAAAAGTTACTTTTGAGGAAAAATTGGAAGCAGGTAAAATCTTACTCCGTAATCTCCAAGGAAAATTTTAAACTTTCAGAAAAATAGTGAAATCTTTGATTGCACTGCAAAACAGCCCTCTATTTCATTCTTTCTTCTAAACGTGCAGTCATTTGTATTTTTGGAGCTTATGGTCTCCTGAATATCTGTGAATATTTAAACCGTTCAAAACGACTCTGATAGGATGAAGTGTGTGACTTATTAAATTTCTGTTCCTGGTTTCTATATAAGGGACGTTTTGGGAAACTGTTTAAAAGGATTTTCCTGCTCCCATTGAAGGAATTAACCCAGACATCTTTCTTGAGACAACAATATTTAGCGGTAAATTCTTTGGTTTGCAGCTCTAAATGTGCTTGATTTAGGGCGGGAAGGAGCGATCTGAAGCAATTTTTTTTGCACGTTTTGACGTCCTCCTCAAACAACAGGAACCTTTGTGGGACAGTCCGACCCTTTCATCTAAAGAAATTTGCCAAAAAACCTAAAGGATCGGCCATTATTATTCATTCAAATTATTTCTCCATTTCCGCGGATTGGCTCAAGTGGCACGGCTAATTCTTCATAACCAGCTAGCATTGACCACATTTGGAAGATGTTTGCGATATTCAGAAGATGACGTCAAGAGTACAGGGTAATCGTCAAATAGGGACGACAACCGAAAAAACTGTACAGCAAGAAACAATGATGAAACCGGATTTCACACGTTTCGCGAAGATCAAGCTAGGAGAAACAGTTGAACTACTGTTTGAAAACATATCAAGAACAGCAAGACTATTTCAAGAGTGAAGACTATCTGCTACAATAAATTAACATCCCTTTATATCCTAAACTTATTAAGAAATTCCTTTACAATGGTAACTTTGCTATGCATTCTTTTATTTTTGATGCATCATAATCAAAACCCGTCTTGATGGAAGTAAATAAGTACATATACGTCAGCATATTAAACAGGGCCCAGTTGTTCGAAAGTCGATTAGCTCTAACCCGGGTTAAAATATAATCAGGGTTTCTTTTTCTTTTGTTTAAAAGCATTTTATCAGTTAATTTTCTTCGTTCTTTTTATAGCATCCAATCATGAAATTGTAGACAAAAAACTGAATTTAATTCTTAAGCATTCATATTTGAAATCAAATTCGCTTTAACCCTGGGTTATCTTAACCCATTCAGGTTTGAACAACTCGGTCCTCGAATTAGAAAACGTAGTATGAAACGATTCTAGACAACTGACACTTTTTCTGTAACCAAGAGTTCTTCTCCGATGGACAGCAACACTTCAGTCCGTTCTGGTTGTTGTTTTACAAATGCCATAAGTGATGTAATCAATGTTCCCGCTATCATCACTGCGCCCGTGGTGTAAAATGTAGGATTATAAGAACCAAGTCTGTCGGCCATAAAACCTTGAAAAGAGGATTTCAGAAAATCAAAGTATGCAGGGCTATAACCATACACTGGGTTTGCTCGTGATTGATCAATGGACCTTCCACATATAACGTCAGTGTAACGTTAGAATATGCAAATGGTTTCCTTGGTTAAATAGTATAATGTGATAGAATGTATCAATACAAGCAGAGGTGTGTCAAGGTCGCCTTTTAAGAGAACGCGCAATTTTTATTACTCTATGTATACGGCGTGAATAGTACCCTTGAGACACTGCGTCACCGTAACGTCTAGACAGGGCCTTTGGGAAATACTCTGGAACAAATGATAAGTCTAAACTCACCAGCAAGAGGTGGTCCTATAGAAACAGACATGCCAATAAAACACTGCATCACTCCCCAAGCCTGATTGATCTTGTGTCTTCCCACGCATTCCAAAACGAGCAAAGTCAATTGCCCTAACATGGCGCCTTCCATAAGTCCAAAGACTAGCATTATTGTCGCCAAAGAACCAAATGATCTCGCAAGCGGAAGACACATGATGCAAAGCCCACTGATGGTCATTCCACATTGATAAAGACGAATTCTCTTGAGGCAATTCAAGTCTCCTAATTTGCAAAATAAGAAGCGGCTGATAATCGATGCTACAGCCAAGTAGGTAAACAGCGTTGCAGCCTTGTTTCCTGCAATATGGAGTTCTTGCTCACAGTGTTTGACCTGAAAAATTAAGGGGAAGAGGACAAGTTAGAGGAAACCTTTTATGATAACTATTCAGTCATACTCTTGTTTAGAAAGAGATAAAGAACGGAGCCTTTTAGTCTGACAGTTACCAGTTTATCTGTCTGACAAAAGAAATATGGGCAGTCAGTCCATCAACTGGCCAGTCATCAGCCTTGCAGCCACTCAGCGAGTTTGTTAGTTTATCTGCTTTTTAACGAGCCTTCAGTTGGATAGTCGGCGATTCAATTTGTATGAGTGATTACGTCACTGAGTCACTCTTTCACTCCGTACTCTCCGTTCTGGGTAAGGTCAGGCATTTAACCAGTCAGTCAGGTTAAGAGTTGGATAGTCCGTCGGATAATTCAATTATGTAGTCAGTTTGAGTCGAAAAGACAGTGAGGAGACACATGAATAGAAAGTAATTGTCAGAAGTTAACATAAACACACTGACTTTCTAATTGTGAGAAGATGTTCTAAGCATGCTAAAAGAAAAGTATTCCTGGCATCTTACATAAATCGCCCTTAAATTTTAAACATTCAAACCTTTATATAACCCACCTTATCTCGAGAAACTGAGAAGTGCTTCTGATTGGTTGAAAACTTGCTTCAACCGACAGATCAGAATGGACCACGACAGGAGTCCATAACCCGGAGCGAGCAACTTCCATGTGCTCTTGTCACAGCGTTTACACGGACCAGTTTATTTTTTAGAACGGTTTTGGTGCAAATTTGTTGGCTCTTGATATCTTTTAAAAAACCAGTCAGCAAAACTAACAGAAACCTACAGCCCTAAAAAATTTTCTTTTTTTGCCTTTTAATAACGTTTAATTTTCCTTGTTCATATCTATTTTCGCGGGTAAAAGTGCCCTAAAATGTGACATAGGCCTATAACGAGAGTTGATCGCTCCAGATCATGGGCTCCTGACTACGAGCAGTTTCTCTTTTTTCTTAGTCCGTTGAGCGAAAAGCGCGCGAGACACGCAAATCGCCTCTGGCGGCTTCGCCGCTCAACGCTCGCGTGCACGTGCACTCCCCTCACTAAATTTCAAGAAAAAGAGAGACGGTTCGCAGTCTAGATCAGGGGCCTTACACAGATCTGGGAATTGACCCGTCATCAGTGTGGAATTTCTGCACTCGATCGCTAGACGTAATTCGAGGGCAAGCCGTCGGTGGTATCACTTAGTTTTGGTTGCATTTTTCTCAGGCTAGTAATCCGTTTTTTAATTCTTGCAGTCTTAAATTACAGTCCATCACATGACAATTTTGTATACAAAATTATGTGACATAGAGAATTAGTCTTCTTGGAAGCCAGAAATTTTGCTTGACTCAATCCCGAATGAATGGATGTATGGGTATAATGTAATGGGTGTATGTATCGAGTACTTACTATGTGCATGATTGGAACGTAGTTAGCCAGATGATTGACAGCTACGGAAGTTAGTAAGATTAAGAACGGCCGATTTCCAAGTAGAGATAATCTCCTTGTCTGTTCCACCGGTGGCTTCATAATCATGTCCTTGTCCCAGTTATTTACCTCTGACGGATGGTCCAGCGGTACAAAGACAGCTGAACACAAGGCACATACAAAATACAGGCCAGCAAGGCCTCTAACAGCCCATCGCCATCCAAATTCATCTAACCAAGCCTGTGTGAGTTGTGTTACTGCAAGGACACCAATTGCTGGTGACGATTGAACAATCCCAACAGCCAACGAGCGCCATTTGATGAAATACTGGAGAACTACTAAACTGCACGAATTATATGAAGTTATATGTCCGCAGCCAGACATGAATCCATACGTGAGGTACATTAACCAAAGCTTAGAAGATAAGGATGCTAAGAGAAAACCGGACATTCCTGCCAGATTGCCCAGCGCGGAAGTGAATCTGTAACTGTAGCGATCACTGAGATACGAACCAAGAGGACTGAGGAGATAACCAAATGCCAGATGTAAAGAACCAATCCATGCTGAAATACAGGCACAAGAAAGACATACACAGTGAACCTCTCTAAAACTTGCATGGACATTCTACCCTAGCCCTGTGCCTTCTTATTTTGGAGAGCTTAAGCAAAGCTTAATAAAAAGTTGAAAAACAGTTGCACAATCTAGCCGGTGGGTGCCTTACGCTCTGTTCATATGTCGCGATTTAGTCGTTCCGACCTTAGCCCTTGAATTAAGTTCGACAAAAGCACGGCAGAAGCACAATGTCGGAATAAAGGTTTGAATTTGGACCGGCTCTGCCGTGTTACACGACTCTGGCATAGCAGTGATTCAAACGTCGTGCTAATGCCGTGTTGAATTAAATTGATTCATAAAATTTGGAAATGTATTTATTTTGTTTTATTTACAACTGCCTTAATATCACGTTCCCCTGTTAAGCTTCTCTTGGACCCAATTACAACTGAGTTCGGCCAACAGAAACACGAAGTAAGAACTGGGCCTTAGTCAGGAACACAAACCAAAGAGGAAACAGATTGCCTCGTACCCAGGCACGTTCTAGCGGATTCGAGAGGGACTGCAGCGATTTTGGTTCCGCGCTATGTATCATGGGAAAGGCGAACTTCTCGCTTACCCTTCCCAGCGTCCTTTGCGTCAAAGCTAGACGTTCCCATGGTCCATTGCGCGATAATCCTTGATCGCTCGCGGTCGCTTTTTCAGGTTTCCAAACACTTGAGACACTAGGAACTAGGCAGGGAAACAGTAATTCTGCACTGATTAGACATGACAGGGTTTTCCGCCGTCTTATCACAGGTTTCTTTTCTGGCCTGGGCAGTAATAAGGAGTTTTAATTGCCTAGCGGCGCTACTTGTATCAAGGTTATTACCTGCATCAAAACGGGTCACTCCAAAATCTTCCATCAATGGAGATAATAACAAACCAAAGCTGCCAAAGATACCCCCATTAAGAACAGTTGTTATTCCTGAGGCGGCACACACCAGCCAGGACCAACAGCTATCGGGACGCAATAATCCGAGCTCCTGTACTTCCTCTTTCCGCTCCACAAATAGCTGTGCTTTTGTGTTTTTCATAGTGCTGTCTAGCAGCGCGCTGAAAAAAAAATCATGTGAAATGACCTCGGATTTACTAGGTTATTCTAAGCTGTTTTATAGTGGTAACATTTGGGACTAAAATAAGCCTCTCAAATAAGCCTTCTCCCTCTAATAAGTTCTCCCCTCCAGTTTTCAGGGGAAGAAAGTTAATAAGGCCTATTAAGCCCCTCGCCCCTCCCCCCTCCCCTGATTATTCTTAACTAATAAATCAAACACGACTGTAAAACATCGAGTGAACTGATCCAGGATAACTTGTTTATTCTTCTGATCTTCTTGTACTTGAGCTTTTCCAGTTTGTATTCTATAGCTAGTTGTTAAATAAACCCCCGTCTCTATTAAGCCCCCCCCCCCTCAAATGGGCCTGAAATAAAGAAGCCCCCCGGGGGGGGGCTTAATAGAGGATTTAAGGAATTCAAATTTTGACATTTGACGGGAGATTCAATGGCTGCAATACAGTAGCGTAAACCTGGGGGGGTGGTTGCTGTAATAGAGAAGTTGCACGGGGGAAATTGACCTTTGTTCCTTTTTGTTCGTGTATTGATTTTTTACATGGCTTTGCAACGCTTTGCAAAATTCTTCCTCTCATGTATGAAATTGCACAATTAGTAACCTAAAGAACAATGTAGATTTCTAGCTCATTTTTTTTCGACTTAGACTTGTTAGACCTGATTCAGTTTAATGTCAGGTGTCTGATTTATCCGGTTTGATTAACGTGCCCCTGAGTCACGCACGGGCTATCACTCGAAAAGGAGTTCACTTTGCTCTATGCCTGATATACCACTACGACTCAGCTTGTTTTCATGAACCCTTGGATAATTCTAACTGAAGGTATAACACTTTCAAGAGATTAGGGAAAAGAGATTTCGTAGAAATTCTCTAAATTTTTCAAAGTGCAGGATATTTAGTCTATTTGAAGCCCGGGGGGGGGGGGTACTCCCATCCAATACCTATACGGGTATGTGCCGCCCAACGGGGTCGTGATTTTGAAGCTCCTGATTTAGAACGGGGTATCCATTTCAGAGGCGTTTTCTAGAACGGGGTATAATATTTCGAACGCACGAAAGCTCCAGTTTTGTAAGCGGCCATTTGAAATTATTCAATGACAGATTGCTTTTAAAAATACGGTTCAATGCGTTAACAAGCAAACTGTTGCACTCTTGTTACACCCTGTGTTTTAGCTTGCAGGGCGGGCGTATTTTGGCGCGAGCCGCGAGGGCTGACTCCGCCATCTTGGATAAATAGGCGAGCGGAACGAGTCCATAATGTAGCCGAGGGAGATGGAGACGGGCTCAAAAGAAAGGGACGGGGGAGAAGAAGGAAAATTTAAGAGAGTGGTTCTGTGCGTGGTGAGAGATTTTGCGTCATAATTAACCGCATTGTATCCACATGCACAGAAAACGTACTCCGGATGATTATGAAGAAGCATTTCTTTGATGTATAAGTCGAACAAATAAAGAAATATCTTTTTAAAAAAACAGGGCTATTTCAATTTACAAACTTTCTAGAACGGGGTATCAATTTTAGGGGAATTTTTTTTAGAACGGGGTGCCAATTTGGAGACCCGGGCGGCACATACCCGCCCAAAAAATACCCAAGTGCCCCCCCCGGGATTTGAAGCCCTTCCCGGTTACCGGCCACATACAAACATATCGTATTTAGTTACTGCTGCTACCAAAAGTTAATACTGTGCAAAATTTTAGCGACAGCGCGAATAAAAATATTCACTCCACATTCACAGCTCGAATCTACATGTTAGTCGCAAGATTGGGAGACTTTAAAGGAAATGCCAATTGGTACAATTCATAATCTTCAATGTTGGTTCGTCTCCCGGGGTTCGTCTTGGTTCTCAGGGAACGATGCTCCAGTGGTTTTGCATTCGGAGGTTTGGAGACTTGAGACTTATGATGTTTACATGCAAAGATTCAAGACTGTAAGTAACAGTCTTATTCAGCGACTCAAGGAAACAAATGCCGCCGATGTTCTCAATCAGGTAAATAAAGGGGCAAAAATTTACTGTGGCTCTAGATCTTGCTTTCTGTCGTCCACTCCCGTGAAGGATTGTATCTTCTTGGGAAATTTTTCATTTCAACTTCATCACAACAGTTCTTTTTATCGCTTGCTAAACATAAACTATTTTATACAAGTAAATGCTAAGGAATATCTACCCCGGAATAATATACTTACCACTGAGCACGGCGACTCAGAGGCCTCTGATGGTCTGTTCCACCATTTTGGCTATACTTTTTCGATTTCTCAAGACCTATTTGAAACCGGAGGAGCGGAAACTGGGAGGTGGTGGGGTCATGCCTTGAACGTTCGCACTCTCACGGCAGTACTATAAGCTTTCATGGTCACACTAAATGGGTCATAAGTTGCGTTGCAATAAGTTATAAGTTATGGCTAAGTTTTTGTTGTAAATAATTGAACACCGTCATATATGGTTAGATTCTAAGATTGGCTCAGGGTCAAATTTCCCTTTTCACGGGCTTGTTCAAACTAAAATTATTATTTCGAATTCCTTTCAGTTGCTTTTCCTAGTGCAACAATTTACGAAATTCTTTCTAGTAATCCTAGGGACGGATTCTGGAAGATATATGACCTTCCGTGTGTGCTACGATTTTCACCGGTAGCAACCTCTTCCTTTCCTTAAGTAGTGGCCATCCGGACCTAGATTGTCCTTTTGATATCACTACTTAAAAACAAAACGATAGGTCATAGGAATAACCAGCTGATAAAAAAAAAAATCCGCTGTACCTGTTGACATTTTTATTGCACTGTTTGCGGGAGATAATTTCTGGTCTGGATATCCTTTCAGGCATCCGACTCTCTCCTCCACAGAAGCTCCCGCTTTATTTTCATTTTTCTTTTAGCCCCTGAAGAAGGTTTATTATCAAACCGAAATATTGGGCAGTTTGTTTAAATATACATTTTTTTTGTTTTATTCTTTTGTTTCCTTCTTCATCGCCTTGCCGTAAGGATCAGTTTGCCGTTTCATATTTTTGTATGGGTTAGACAGTCTGCTATCCTCCCCTTTGTGGGGAGACTACGGGTTAGATGAACCCAGAATTAATTTTTCAAAAAAGCACTTCGGTTACATAATCCAACAGTTGCTATTTTAGAAGCGGCACTATGTACAAAAATAGTCAAATAGAAGCAATGGATTCAAATGGGCTAAAAAGACCAAACTGGCTAAATTAAAATTGCCAATAAACTTTATATAATCACCTCATTATTGTCTATATTTTGAAAGGCAGTGGAAGTCTCACATATGACTTTGGGAACGGATGTTTCGCAGAAGGCATGATTATTTGCTTAAAAATATGATGGGAGAAATACGAGTAACATGAGAATACATACGAGTAACGTGCGGGTAAAACACAGATACATACGGGTAACCTAGGGATGCATTCGGGTAACATACGGATACATACTGATGCCTTTTTATTTATTTTTTATAACAATTGGTCTTTTTTGTCTTTTTTTTCATGTTCTTTTTCCCAAATAACGTTTGACTGGCTCATCCGGATAGCCAACTAGAAGTTCGCATGATCCGAGATATGTACCGCTCACGACATTATGCAGGTTTTTAATTTCGTAGCCTGCGAAAACATCCGTTTCTCCTCCCTCTTCGCCGCGCGAAACGTCCCCAGCGGCGAAGAGCGAGGAGAAACGGATGTTTTTGCCGGGGTTTTCGCAGGCTATTAATTTCGTTATCTGTCTCTACTGCCAAAGTATTTCGTCATTAAAGATAAATAAGTTTATGGCCGAGGTACAACATGGCGACATGTTAAACTTTTTACATGCAAACACACACATACACACGCATGACTAACACATCAAAACTTTTGCGATTTTGTACATTCCAAAGCCCAGCATCCCTTATTCCAAAAGCAAGAATTTCCCTGGATTCCAGAGTCCGGATTCCCTCAAAAGCCGCAATTTCTGTGGTAGTTAAGATAATCAAAGCGAATGGCTAATATTAGGCAAGATAATAATAATAATAATTTGTACATGTAAGCCATATAACCATGTATATATAGTATATATGTAATATAGCCTTATTTGCATAAATTATTTGTCAGAGTACGTTCAGTACTGGGCTTTGACTGCACAAACCAATTTCGTGTAAGTGTTAATTGATTAAGTAATTTATTTACTGACTCTGTTTATTTTTACGCATTCAGAATTCATACTTTTATTTCTTATTCATGATTTATGTCCTGCTTCCTCAACATCTTTACACACACGACAATAACACTTAACATACTGAATGAAACAGAAGCCCTCCTTTGGGAGTATGGATTAAAAATTAATGGCTCGTCAAAAAGAGCCAAGAAATTTGCATTTTTTAATAAGATGGTCTGCTGTATGCTAGCAAGCCGAGAACTGTCAAAGCTCTTAGAGAGAAATTTCAACAGTCCTCGACGAATTTGAAAAAGCAGATCTAGTTAGAAATCGTAGCCGGACTCACTGCTTATGTTCCGGAATTAACATGATTTCGGTTTATTCTACCGATTACTGCAACAAGAACAGCAGAAAACCGGTCAGGCAGCTTGCACTGCGACCAACTTCGCCTTCACGAAGAAACAAACCTCATCCACCGCCGGTAAGTTGATTTAACTGAGACACCTTTGAGCGGAGTATGTTGATATAGGATACGTTATCATTTTTATAAGTAAGAATATACTTTAGTAGTGGAGAAGGCGCTAGGGTTTGTGTTGGTTACGCGAAATGCGGTGAAAAGTATATGCATGACTACAGGCGTAACTTAAATGCTGGCCTCGCACGATACGTCATCCTTTGGCGCAGGACGTTTTGGAACGATTAAGGAATTTACACATTCACTACTCCGTAGACAGTAGCCAAGACAGTCTTTCTTTCGCATGAAATTTCGGGGAATAGACGAAGTTTGTCTGCAAAGAATAGTAGGTAAATAGCGAAATTGGCATGGATTTTTCCCCAAAATGTTACTTGGGTTTTCGTCGTTAACTCTGTCAGGATTGGTCAGATTTTTCAAAATGAGGTATTTGTGGAAAGATCTATCCTTGCCGCCTGCCAACGCTGGCTACGTTGACACGGTACTGGACGAGTTTTCGACCGCCTGAAAAAATTGACCGGACACTTAGCTCACACGGAACCGTTTAACATTTTTGCTCTGTTCACACGGAACTGTCGAACCAAGTTGAATTTTAACTTCTGTCTGTGATTTTACTAGTTACCTATGCGCATGCCAGCGCGTACAAATTTTAGACGGTTATCGTGTTCACATCGTGCCGGTCAAATTTGCCGTACAAAACTTTAGACGGTCTTGGTGTTCACATTGCAACGGTTAAATTCTCGACCGAAGCGGCTTAAAATTTGACCTCTATTTAGGCGTTCAATTTTTCGTACGGTTAGCTTGGTTCCGTTTGAGCGGAAACCCAAAACGCACGAATTTTCGACCGCTCAAAAATTTGTCAGTATATACTACATATTGACCGAGAGTGAGGTCATTACAGGAGAATCTCAGCTCGAGGCCTTGATGTGCTGACTGAGCGATAGCAAGGTCAATACATCAAGGCCGAGGTCTGAGATTTCCCTATGATGACCGAACGGACGAGGTTAATAAGTTATTTATTTTTATTATGGACCTGAGCCTGCGATCAATTAAAACCAACAACTGGTCAGCATATAACTTATTTAAAGATACAGTCAGGTGACACTGGTCAGCGGAAACTTTGACCGCTGTCAATTGACCATAACATGGATGTCCATAAGGATAACTTTTAAGAAGATCAGTCTGGTGACACTAGTCAGCGGATACCTTTTTGACAGCTGTCAATTCACCATAACATGGATGTCCATAAGGATGTCCACTATCATGAAGTTAAACACAGATTGTATATGCCTTGGACACCTAGCTAGCAAAGCCTGGTCATTACAAGAAAACAGCCAATCAGAGCGCGCGTACCATTGTAGCCATATAATAAAAACGCGTAATGGGTCCAGGAAAGAAAATACGGTAAGCATTGTTCCATATGTAACGAAAACGATGATTAATACTATAACCACTTACCTTGATTATTTCTCAAACATTGCACACGTTGCATGTTTAGGCTTAAATCAGAACGGGATTGAATCATGATTAAATAAATTAAAAAAAAAAAGATCTACGAATCATTTATAGCTACGCATCAGTATTTTCAGCTCGTAGAAAATTATTTATAAAAGGTACCTATCGGCTAGATCATACAACAGATACTGGAATCATTCAGCAGCTATAAGCGTTAATATCAGTATTATTTTGAATAATCTAGCCTGCGAATCCTCGCCCCTCTCTCCTCGCTGCTAGGGACGAAACCTCTCTAGAGACAAGAAGTGTGGAGAGAGGAATTTATTCGCAGGCTAGGAATAATCAGAACGCTCTGAAAATCAGCGGAGCCACTGAGCTTCTCATGAAATCTTCATTAGGATTTTCCAGACACGCAAGTGCTCCAGGAATTGAGAAAAGACGTTTCTGCTGAAGCCACTGTTCTGGCAAGGGCAAGGGAACAAGCTTTATCAAAGACAACATGGTTGGATGAATTGATTGCTGAAAAGAGCAATAAAAGCGAAACTGGGAAATCGACGCGACACGAGGATGACGGTTTGTATCTTGTTGCTTTTGGTACAAATGCCTGATTCGCTAATGGCAGTTGATTGATGAAGGTCTCTACACGAAATTGATGTTCTTTAATGTTTCCTCGCTTCCCGCAACATAATTTTCCCCGAAACTTCACTTTTGCCCAGTTTGAAGCTAAGCGTTAGAGGTAGGGTCTGACCAATAGTAAGGCGTTAACGCATGTGAACGGTCGTAGCTTTCTCGTCCCCGCCTATTTCGCGAAGATCAAAATTAAGCCCTGGCCTCGCTCCACTCTCTGCAAAGTTGCAACGTACCGTGAGAGGTCAGAGAAACAGCAAAAAATGCCACCTGATAGGGGTCTGGTGAAAAAGGAAAGGACGGAATATTCCTTCAAGCTTGTTCCTATTTCCTATTATTCCGGTTCTTTGTCAGTGGAACTTGGATTCCGGCCTCCCTCGTCAATGGGATTCCGGGTTTCCTTGAGCTGAATTCTGGATTTCAAAGCCCACGGTTCCGGATTCCAGCAGCAAAAAATTTCCCATATTCCGGAATCTGGATTCCTTTTCATCTGTCATCTCTTGCAAACCATTGCAATATCTCTTGGTGGCCTGAGCCCAAGTCTCTGGCGGCCTTAAGGAGTTCAAGGCACTAATTATTGGGCCACAGCGCCTCATACTGTTTTTTTTCCTGTGCATTTCTATCTGGGAACACTTATCCATCAACTAAAACGTGACATGTGTTTACGTTTTATTTTTTAGGGTACAAAAACGCGGTTAAAAATATTCTCCATTTTCACAGTAAGGAGCTGCTGAACCCAGACAGTAGTTCGAAAGGTTAGTAGGTTTTCAAAATAGAGTCAGTTCATGCCTTATTGGTTTCTTATTTTAAATTCAACTACGTCACGTGAGAGACAGGGACAGGAGCCAAATTCGTCAGGCAGCGTCAGAGCTGCATCGTTTGCTCTTTGGGATTATCTAGAGAATAAAGTTTAATTTCTTCAAAGTAAATTATTCTTGGACAGATAAGCTTTATGAAAATCTAATCGCTTTGAATTCAGATACCTTTGAGCCTCGACATTAGAATAACAAGTTGGCTTTTTGTGTCTTTTTAAGGTTATATTCACGGATACAAAGTCAACATGGATGATCACTTCTTTTGAAGAGAGATAAAAAAAAAATGTTCCACCGTAGATTTCCAAGTTAAAAGCCACTCTTGTCACTGATGATATGACTAATGCGTGTAAATTATGTTTGTAAAATAAAGGTATTCACTGTTTCACTCAATGACTCCCAATGTTAGTCTGCGATCAAGCTCTGTTAGGAGACGAAATTGTAGATGACCATGATTAAAATTGATGACGTCACAATATATAGAGTTTAGACCATGAAGAAGTGTTGTCTATTTTTTAAAATTCCGTCATACATTTAGTACATTACTAAAGACTGTGACGAAAGTGCAGGGCACCTGAGGTACTTTGGAATGTAGCTAAAACGAAGTCCGCGAAAGTACTTTGCAACAGTATGATGAGTACGACCCGTCAGCGAAAAAGTAAGGTACCACTACATCACTATAAGTAACAAATCGGAGAAATTTCATTGTTTCCCAGAGTTTATTTAGCAACTTCAACCTATTAGCGCTATTTTAATAAGAGTTAATAAAAACATTTCAACTGAAAAATGGACATCTACAAAAAATATATGTTCTAAATGCAATCAAAACAATCCGCTCTGTGTTCTGTTAGAACATGTCTCTAAAAGCCAACTATGTCTTGTTTCAACCTCGTCTCCAGGGTCTCACGTCTACCTCTTCCCCTCTGCCCCTGCTCCAGGAGACAACTAGCCTTTTCCAGAGGACAGTGCACAGGAAAATGAGCAAGGAAAACCCCTCGGGGGGGGGGGGGGGGCTCCCCCCGAAAGGGGTACCTTTTTCAGGCTTTAGGTATATGAAAAGGTAGGGATATCTGTTATTTCAGACTGTAAAATTGCTTAAACGCGCTACAGAAGAATGCTGTTGATGTGAAAAAGTTGAGAAAGTTTTCTGGCTTTTTGATTTATTCATATTTGAATACAGTGCATTTACAGCAGTTAAAAGGGGTGCAAAGTTGTAAACTAGGTATGTGAAAGGGGTGCTATTTATCATTGGAAGGTATACGAAAGGAGTACTGTTTTTGGAAAAAATGGTCATAAAAGGGTAAGGTGTTGGCCCTCAGTGCGGAGCCTCCCCGCGTAAAACTTTGTTAAGTACCCCCCTGGGAAAAAACAGCGGAAAGAGCCATTTTCCATTTTTACAATAACTAAACGATTCCTCGCGCGCTGATTGGTCAAAAGCTATGTTCCATCAAGAGAGGATGGGGTGGTTTGATAAGAGTCCAGACTATGGAAATGACGAGATTTTGACGTTGATTGATTGTTGTTGATTTGTTAACCATCTAAGAACCTGGAGCAGAAGACCAGGGGAGGGGAAGAGAGACCTTGGAAACAAGGTTGGTCTTGCTTACGTTTTTTATACACAAGTTGAAGCCTATGGCTCCTGTTACATGTGATACACAAGCGTATTTTAACATTCTGTTTCCATCTATTTCGTTTTTTTTTAAGTTATTTTTTTTGTGTTGTTACAAAACCTTTCTCCTCTTTCATTCGCAATTTTCGAAGTGCCCAGAATTGCATGGGGGGTGGGAAGGGGGAATGCAAGCAAAGTGCCTTATGGTCAGTTCGAAGATAGCGAATTTACTTTTCGGTGAAGCGAACTTGCTGCACTTAACTATTAACACTTTCTACTGCTACTTTTACGTGACCTGCAATACTCCGCGACAAAACCTTTCTTCTGGTTGGTCAGATCCGTTCGGAACTGGATAAACATCCGATTTCCGCTTGACGTAAATGAGCGGGGGGAGACTTGCGATTCCGACCCACATATTTTTCCAAGCTTTGGCGAGGTACTATTGCTTCCATCATAGATTTCCACGTAATCATACCCACAATTCCTCTCGTTTTCCACGTCAAATGATTTGAATCGAAGAAAAATCACATGACCTGATCTGGCAGTTAACAGCCAAATACAATGATGACTTGATTTGTAGTTATCGTCTCCATAACTGGGATGGGAGACGAACTGGCGTTTATGGCTTGAGGCGTGAAGTTGAGAACCGCATTCTGTAGAGACAAAATAAGGAAGATTTATCTCTTGAAACCCCAAAATCTACATGCAAATTTTCCAGAATCATCTCCATCTAATTCCGTAAAGAAGTTGTTAGAATATAGTTAAAGTTACTTTAAACCATTTTCCATTTGGTGATCATTTCATTAATTCTCATAATCGTTTCTCTTAATAACGTTTTAGTGATGTTAGGAGAAAACTGATGCTAGTCCCTCTTGGAACTTAAAGGGTTTTATGTTTTAATTTGCTTTTGACAAAGATAAATTACAAGTTTCCAGTAGGACAGGTCGCATTTTTTTTTTGAGAAACTAGATCTGATATACTATCTTGGGGAGTGGCTGGGTTTGCGAATGTTTGCGCACGAGTTTGTACAAAAATATATAAAAAGTAGCAATCTTCTTTCAAAGCCGATTAGACCTAAAAATTTGACGTCCAACTTGAGCAAAGCCCTTAACTGCGACCTTACGAAGCCCCCCCTCCCTCTTATATCACCTAGTGGGTTTGACTTTCATAGTGTGAAACAAGGCACAAGAAGTCAATTTTGCAGCATGAGCCGTTAGAAAGTATTGTTGCTTGTTGATAATCAGTTATTCCTTTTTTTTAACTATAACTTGCCCCTTAAACTCAATATTTTCGTTTTCTTACCGACAATGCAACTTTCCGTATCGACGACAAAAATTTTTAACCAGTGCAAACTATAACTTGCCCCTTAAACTCAATATTTTCATTTTCTTACCGACAATGCAACTTTCCGTATCGACGACAAAAATCTTTAACCAGTGCAAACCCTGATTCATTTCGGGATTACCAAAAATGGTTAAATATGAATTCCCGGAAACAGAAACCCACTTCTCGTTGCCGCCATTTTGAAAGTCGCAAGAACACTAGGGACTAGGTTAGACTTTGACCCGTGGTAATAAAATATGACAAGAGTTTCTTAAAACAGTTTGTAAAGGTTATTTTGCAAATATTATGTTGGTTTACTATTTTTTAAGTATCACCATTCTTGGGATCAGTAAAAGCCTTTAAGTCGTATGTGAAGTTGTCGACGATCGGCACCCTGACAATTTTGAAAAAATTGTTCGGGCATTTTAAGCGGGAGGACCCAAATTGAGAAAAAAACTAATTGAAATAAACATTTGCACGAACTACCCTTTTATACTCTGTGGTATATGAAATGACGCCGAACATAATTTAATACAATTTAAAAAAATTATAATAGAATATGAATAAAAGAATAGCTTCTCAGATGTTCAACCGCGGTTGCATGTTGGACCAATGTGGCCTTACAGGTCAAAGATGATGATGATGATGATGATGATAAAATTTACCTGCTTTAAATTCCGCTCTAAATCCTTTAGCGTTCACCCTTTTGTCGGAGCGGAACTTGACTGCCATTTTGTGAGTTCGTGATATCAGTGTCTTAGGACGCTGCCTCCCACAAAATCTTCCAAGACTATTGCTCTGTTTCCCAGAGCCAGAGAACACCTCAACGTAGTCAAATGGACATTTGTTTTGTTTGCGTTCTTCAATATCTATTTCCTGTAAAATAAACATTGAATCAGTCGACTGATTTCTTGAAAAAAAATTTCTGACTAATTTAAATTTTGTCGTATCTATATCCATCTATACTACCAAGGAAATGTGTCGGAACGAAAAGGTGTAATTTTAATTACGCACTACCCGGGTCTCTAGATCTCTGGATTGAGGCTCGTTTATAGTTATTTTTTCTCGCACCAGTTGTCTTAGTTATAAGCTCTTGGGCGAGCACAAGGCTACAGCCAAGCTGTCCAGAAGAACTTTTTATGGGAAGGTGTAGCTGACGGAAGGGATTTCTTTCCTGACCTTGTTACTTAGTAAGATTCTTCAAACCACAACTTGAGCTGTAACCTTAGTGTAGCTTTACAACTAAGTTCGAAGTGGGAGAGAGGAAACAAATAACAAAGGTAACTTTCCCTCAGTTTTAGAGCAGATAAAACTAATCCAGTGTTTATGTTACACAACTAAACTAGACAAAGCACATCTCGTGGTTAAAGCTCAGTATTTTGGTTTTATAAAGGTAGTTGTTTCAAAACGTAATTCTTATCTACCTAGTTCTTAAAGTGAGTGTAAGTGTAAGTATGGTCAAGGTTACTAAAATAATGTACAATGTAAAATAAACATGCCGACCAAGCACAATCTCAAGAGTGTCTAGAAAAAAAAACTAAACAGCTTAAATTTCACAACAACAAAAAAGTTAATTTCATTCTCAAAACCACCTTTGCTTAAGGGACCGGTCATTATTTATCGCCTGGGGGGAGAGGGGGGTGGGGGGTGGGTGGAGGATTTGGGGCTAAACAAGGTGAAATTTAGTCGATTCCCCCCTTTGAAGGTTACTTCAGTGAAGTGATCGCCCCTGATGACATTTGATGACTTTCACGACCCCCCCCTTTGCCTTCATTTTCCAAGCAAATTTGAGTGATCTCAGTTACGACTGATCCCCCCTTTTGTTCTCCTAAAAATGAAGTGATCCCCCCCCCAAATCCTCCGGGCCCCCTCCCCACCCCAGGCAATAAATAATGACCGCTCACTAAGCTCTCTTTTATCTCATTGGCAACACTCTACAGGATATAAAAGTTGGGGTGACAAAAAATCTCGCCATAACGTGGTTTAGTTGTGAAAGGCAGGGCTCGCCCCGTGTGAGGAATTGCAAGACAGTCTAGGATTCTGAATTTCAGAACTGGATTTCAGTCTTTGTCAGGGGAACTTGGATTCAGGATTCCGGATTCTTTGACCTCTATTCCGGATTCCGGATTCAGGATTCCAAAGCCCAGGATTCCAAAAATTTCACGGATTCCAGAATCCGGACTCCCTGGTTAACAAAGATTTTCATGCCTTTGATATTCCTAATTTTTTTCTATTTTTTTTTCGTAGAGGATAAGACTGCGATCAGGTGTCTCCTGGATTTGATCGGATTTGACTCCTGCTTAGGAGATAAGCTACAGAAACAAATTTGATAAATCTACGAAGAAGTTTACTGCATCTTACCTTAAAAGTAAGCTCTAGGTGATTTCCTGCAGGAGCCACAATCTTCCATGTGCAATCTCTGTTTGACCGGTAAGTTCCTGGATAATTCGGTGAGGTGATCTCCCCTGATAGAGCATTCAGAGTACCTCCACAGTGATTCACTGTAATCGGAAATAGACACAGTATATTAAGCCCCTGTCTTGTCACATGTAGCAGGGTTGATACCGTGCCTTATTTGAAATCGATTGGGATTTGGTACCAGTCCGTGTATTTCGGGATTATTAACTCATGATTGTCATATTGAGAAAGAACGCACCGAGCATTATAAAATCCTCAAGTTTGATGTTTTTGGGTAAATATTAAACGAGATACAGCCATTCCAAATCTCCACGCACCCTTCTGACTATGATTTATTATCATAATAAATGGACTTGTACCACTCCCCCTCGGTTTAAAACCATGTAATGGAGGCAGATTGCGGCTGAATGTGGCCAAACTCAGTCACTAAACGCCTTTTGGATTTTATTAGGTGTCACTGACAAAGAGGAAAGAGGACCATGAAAACTCCAGGTTGCTATTGCTCATCCACGCACGTATATAGCCAGCTTCGTTTGGACTTCCACAGAGAATGAGTCGTGGACACGGGTTTCATCTCTGCCGAACCACTCATTAGGCTAGTTTACATAACTGGTAAGAATCATATCTGCATTAAGTTGATTGCGACATTAGGGAAAGGACGGGGGGTAGAGCTCTTTTCATCCTTCCGTGGGAGGGCGCGCGCAAGCAACCGTCAAATCCGGTGCAGACCAAATTAACTAAAAGGATGCTTTTACCTTCTTTGCAACTGTGTTTATCATTTTGTAGCACGAACCCTTCTCTACAAGAACAGATATAGCTGCCGACAGTGTTGACACATTTTTCCTGACATCCGCCATTACTATTCTGGCATTCATCCTCATCTACCAAAACCAATGTAGTGTTCAATTATAAGGAATTAACACTTGTTAATAAAGACATCCAAGTCAAGTAACAGAGTTTAAAACTAGTATAGAAAAGACATTGACTTTTCAAATGGCACTGTAAAAAGTTGCTATTTGGAATAGGCTTGGGCAGGCTCTAGTGGTTGATTTTCGTGCCCGTGTCAAAGCCGTTCACATAAACCTCGACCCTCACTACACTATAAGGGAGTTTACGAATCGACGACGGTGAAGGCAACGAGAACGGCAAAAAAAACAAGAGGTTTAAATTAGCAAGCAAACAAAAAAACAAACAACAACAGCAACAACAAGAACATTTTTGCACGTGCGTCACGCATTTTTGTACATTTCTTTGCTGTCATTACACGACTACGATGTGAAACGTCCTAGGCTACGTCAACGTTCCAATGGCACCGGATGAATTTTCGACCGGTTGAAAAATTTGACTGAACTCTTCTTTCGCACTGAACTGACGACTGAACCAGGTTGAATTTTTGTCATTGGTTTGACCATCTACCCATGCGCAGAGCGCTTCTTTAGCGGATTAAAAATGGCGTCCTCCAGCTGATTTTCCCCGCATCCATGCGGCTAGGCATCTTTATTTTCGTATAGATAAGGTGGTTCCGTTTGAACAGAACACCAAAACACAATAATTTTCAACTGGTGTAAAATTCGTCCTGTGCCGCGACAACGATTTTCTTTTTCTTTTTTTGAGTCTGGATGCAGTCTGTACAGTCCTTTAGAGTTTAACACCAGAAACATTTGCCAACATTTGACAAATTGTTCGAGACAGAATAAGAGCGATGAAGTTTGAAACAGGGCAAATGCCTATTTTTGTGCGACGTTTTTTGCTTTCGCTGTAATCATTGCTTAAGCCCTTGTTTGCAGCGCGCAGGGTAATTTGGAGTCGGGAGACCAAAGTACTGCTTAGTAAATCCTGCCTCTGTTCCCTATAAAGAAGCATTATAAGCGTGCGGCGTCTCGAAAGATCCGAAGGGCTATCTACCCTACAACTCGTGGCCCTGCCCTAAACAAGCTTGGTGCCCTTTGCATTTACAGATTTAAATATTTATTGATAAATACAAGCTTTTAAATGAATAAGATGAACACACCTCTTTTTCTGTTTTGCAACTTAACATTACTTTCGTCCAAAAGTGTCTACAGACCAATGATACAATTATTGTAAAAATCTTTATTTACAAAAAGGTAGCGGACAAAGGCGCCTGTTTGAAGAAGGGTGCCTTCAAGTGGAATAGTTTCTCTAAGAATTTAATTTAATTTAATTTAGTCTGGTTAACTCTTTTCAAAGTTTCTTGATGTTGCAGATAGTTGCAATCACCCAATGACGTAGTACAACAGATTGAAAAGACTCTGAACAATAACCACACCAACAAAACAATAACTAACCAACATTAGTAAAATCCAACTAGTGGTCTATTGTCAATGCTACGTTCTGATTGGTTGAGCTACTACTAGGCTATATGTTATAGCCCACTAGTAGCGAAAAGCGCGAGCTTTTTTGGCGGCAAAAAAAGGATTAAAGTCTAGCTTTAACTAGCTAAAAGTCTTTTATTTTCGATATTTTTTACCAAATAGTTGGATTTTACTAAAACAATTATTCCTCTCGCCCTCACGGCCTCTGAGTCAATAGCCCTATTGACTCAGAGCCCATTCGGGCTCGAGGAATAATTGTTAAAAAGACTCCGCAACACCATAGTTAGTAGAGGAGATTGGTTAGGAACGCCGGCAAACATCAAAGTTGGAAACAACGGTGCTATAGTTTATGTTGGAAGCTCCCTGACCGTGCACAATGCTTTGTTTTTTGTTCACAAATTCTGACTGAGTAAATTATTGTGATGTTTCTATTGGTCAGTAAGTTCAAAATGATAGGAATGCTATTGAAGGTTGTGCACGGTCAGGTCCAAAAAATCTAACAAAAAAATCTAAAAAAAAAGTCTAACGGGTTTTACAACCATTCCATTTTAATATCTCTGGCAACACCAAGAAACACCCACTCTGTCCCATATCAAAGAATCGTCACATTTTTTTGATAAGGGAAAGGCAGGCTTGTCGATATTCACACTGCCCAGAATATCACAAGCATGCGAGGGTGCCTAGTTACATTATCCATTGTGATTTTCATTGTTAGTTACCTGCGTAATACTCAGCAACAAATCCCGCTCTTGACTGGGTGTGGTCAGATCGAAATTCCACCCACATAAGATTGGACGATGATGTTACAGTCTGGGGAATTTTTCGACCGCAAAACTTGCCAAGAACTTGATCGTCTTTTTCTATTATTTCGACGTAATCGTAACGGCATACCTAACAGAAAACAAAATGAAACGGAAACAATACCATCACTTGATGAAGACCAGTAGTATGTAGACGAAACTTCGCGATCAGTACCCAAGACATTGTGAGACAAACGATAAACGCCCTATCATACAGCCCTAAGCCCTATCATACTACATTACTAATGGTAATTGGACTGAGTGGTGTGCAATTTGGTCTGAAATCACAATTTATAATTTCAGATAAAAAGGAAAGACACGAAGTTCAATTACCCCCTTTATTACACAATTTTGAATTCACAAAATTCAGTCAGTACAATAAAGTAAAAACCCGCATATAAGAACCTAGTGAATTAAGAACCTACAGGCTGAAAGGTACGAAAAAGAAAATTGAAAACCGTTTCGTCTGAAAGCCAAATATATACCATATGTGAGACCACCTGTCGTAAGCGACTTACTAACTCCGAAAAGCGACGCCAACAGATTGAAGACACCTATTCAAAACAGCAAAAGGTTTCCCGGCCTGAACCTTCCAGTTGGAGCCTCCCGTAAACGACAAACCTGTGTTAAGGGACAGCGTCTGCTTTTTGGGTCGACTGTTTTAGAATGTACCATTGTCTTTAGCCTTTTGTAAGCGTGGTCTGAACTCCACATGTTCGCTTCAAGTACTACAAAACGCTACTTAAATCACAGGAAGAACTTTTAGTGCCAACATAGAACTACATGTACATGTACGCGTATCGCATTTTGGTAAGAAAACAACCACGAGTTTGTAAAAAAAATAAAAAAAATAAAAACAACTCAAGAATTTATAATTTGACATTTTCCCCATAAGCTCACCCCATATCCATTTCCTTCCAACTCGAAGTGATTAAATTTTAGCGAAATTCTTTGTCCGTCGGGTACAGTTATCTTCCAAAGGCAGCGTTTGTTTCTGGGATAGACATCCGGGTAACTTGGTGACGTAATGTTGCCCCTTGGAGCTGTTAATGTTCCACCGCATGCGGCTGGGTGAACAATGATAAAACAATCAAGGACGAATAAAAAATACAGTTTTTTCTTACTTACAAGGAAGACAAGGGTGTAACGGAGTAAGCTTTTAATTTTACTTACTTAAACTTCATCTTTTACTTAACACAGATTATCTAAGCTGTGGTTGAATATATATACTCCTCTCCTCTCTCCTCTATAAAACACTCTCGCTCTCATTCTTACTTTGACATTTTTTTTAGATAGATTTTTTGATAGACACGGTAGCCCGGGGAGTCTAACAACTACATCACCTAAACCCCTCTTGGGATGACAAAACCTTAGTTTTTGAGATTGAGAAGGTTCTAGGTCTTAGTAGATCTAAGGATTTTTGGGTACGTATTTGGTTTTTGAGAACCGACGAGGAATCAGGTACACGAAGAGCCACCGTGTGGATGTTCTACCTCGAAAATCGTTATCATTACTATTATCATTATTGCTATTATTCTCGCGGAGCGAGTTTATAATTTTGTCGCGCGCGCAGCGCGCGTATCACGCGAGGATCGCAAGCGAACTGCGATTTCGCTTGGTTATAAATCTTTCTATCGGTTTGCTATCCGCAGTTGCCTAGCAACAAGCCATAAACAAATTTTAAAGACGCCATTCAACATGACGTCATCGTGCATTTTGAGTTTCCAGGCAACAAGTGCAGCGACTTGGCCACATTTTATTCATCCTCTGTTTATTGTACTTTGGCAAAACGCTAAATAGTTCTGAGGCAAATAACCGCGGGCTGCATAACAGTGCCCGATTGGACAAGTGGCTGGAAATCCTTGCCGTGGAAGGTTTAACACCGAAAGAACGGTGACCTGAACTTCAGCGAAAGCAGCGAAGAAGAAGAACAGTCCGTTAATCGAGCGGCCTGTATGAAGCCCGAATAAACACGGAGATAATGCGAAATGGTTTTGAAATACTCGTTTGAGCTATTCTCCTCAAAAGTATCTTTGAATTCATGATAAATACAGCTCCATAACGTTCAACAGTGTGAATAGCAGAAAAAGATACTTCAAGACTATTGATTTTCAGCTAATTACATAGCCCAGTGGTTAAAGGCCGCACTTTTTTCGCTGGAGGAAGTTGGGATGCAGGTTCAAATCCCGGCGCGGCAACTTCCAGTTTCTTTTTTCTTTCATCGTTTTTTTTACCCTTTGGCTTTTTACGGTCTAGTCTCACTGTTGGCCCTGTTAGCTTTGCGAGATTTTTTGCGAAAACGTATTTCTAGTTATTATTATGCTCATGTCTGACACCTATAGGTGGCCTTATTTCCCGAAACATCAAGCTATCTCCTATGGCCTTAGGTGTCTAGGGTCCTTCTTTGGATCTTAGCTATTCCCGACAAACAAGCTTTCTGGAGCAATGCAATGATCCCAGGTGTTCCCAGCATGCTTATCCATATCCTTAGGTGTTTACTTACAATCCCAAGAGCTCCAGTTACGACAGGGATGACAGATACACTTCTGTAGTTCCAGATCATTATCATTAACATTATTATTACTAGGCTTCATTTTTTTTGTTATATCAGTTTCGTGCTACTCCAACGTGGGTTACCCTCTCTCTCTCTCTTTCTCTCTCTGTCTCACCTTCACAGTCTTTGTTGTTCGATCTGAGTTCATAACCAGGCTTACATGCACAGCGGTATCCACCAAGGGTATCCTCGCAAATTTGCTGACATCCGCCATTGTTTTTTCTGCATTCATTAATCTCTAAAAGAGGAAATAGACACCTCGTGTAAGAAGCGAGATGATAGTGATAGAAGCACTGGCGAGACAACCTGAAAAAATCTTCATTTTTCAACGGCACTGTTCATAACACAAGCTTAAAGGGGCCAAGCAATGCAAACGCTTGGAATAAGTAAACCAAAACTGAATGAACAAAACAAAGTTAAGCATGAGGTAGGAGGCAAACTGTAGCGAGAGTTGGCCAACACTTGAACTAGGGGAATGCCGAGAAATACCTAATTTTAGTGATTAGAGCGGAAAGTAGCCCGAGAACTCCTGATTGTCCAGCGCTCTGTTCACTCATATACGATTGCTCCTCTTCTTTAGAATACTAGAGTGCTGTCTTGTCAACAACAAAGAAATAGTTTCTTTGTTGATTGCCAGATAGGCCTTCTTGCTCGATATCTCCCCGGTCCTTAAATTGTATTGCTTTAACGTAAAGTTCAAACAGAAACAAACCAACAAACCAAACAGACAAAAAAAAAAACACGAAAATTGCCTCAGGTAAAGTAGACCAAGAAATTCTTGGATTCTGGATTCCAGGTACAGGATTATAGTTTCCTAATCAGTGGAGCTTGAATTCCGGATTCCAATCGTTAGCGGAGTCCGGATTCCTTGAGCTGAATTACTGATTCCAAAGTCCAGGAGTCCGGATTAATCCAGAGGTGCTTACCATTTGACATAAAATTTTGGAAATTCCGGTAAACTAGTAAATCGCTTACCATTATGCTTTCGACACCCCAACCGGATTTTTCTGTCAATGGTACGTACCCTAGATTACCTTATATGGGGCGACAAAAAGCAGTACCTGAGAAAAATTCCAAATAAAACCCAGGTTTCATGACAGTTCCATCAGTGGCGAATTGAATAGTTAGTTGACTAGAGTTACTCTTTAGCTCGTTGGGAAGAGATTTTCCGCAGAATCTTCCTAAGACTGGAGATGATACGTCAGGTCCATCGTAGATTTGGAGGTAATCATACAGGCATTTGTGGTGGCTTTCGATATCAAACGCATTGAAGCGTATCCCTACCCTAAAATGCTAAAGAAAAAAAAAAAAATAGAGAATACTGTGTGACTATTTTTCATCGTTCCGTCTCTCATTACCATTGAAGTCGATACTGCCAAGAGGAAATTTCGGACCAATGGTCAGAGCGGGTATTACAATGACAAAAATGACCCCTGATTTACACGTCCACCTGGCTTCGCATCCTCCCGAATTGTATGATCATGGCTAGCGAAGACTAGCTGCCCATAACCGGAACATCATGTTTGAAGAACCAACAGTGTTAGGGGAGGAAAAAGTTTTAATTATGGCTTAGCACAGGAGGAGTTAGTTATGTGAGCCCGAAGGGTCACGGGATCTTTACCGTATACTAGACCATGGTCAGCTGTAATTTTGCTACCCTATTCTACACCAGCTGGCACCAAAAATCCAACCGGTCATGCAGACTCTGAGATAAGTTCGGGGAGGGGTGACCTGTACTGTGTGTCGAGTAAGGGAGTGGTGTACATCTGTAGATGGCGCGCAGGACGCAGGGAAACAGCCGGGATGAGGCGGAGGGGGGGTGTTGGGGAGGGGGGGGGGGGGGGGGGGGGGGGGGGGGGGGGGGGAGAGGCGGTCTCCAAAAACTTTTTTTGCGGCCCTTAGGCCTCATTTTGGTCTAAAAAGAAAGGGGGTGGGCCGGGCCCGCCCGGGGGCCCCTCCACTGACATTTTCAATAGAGATTTCTTTAATTATATGTATATTTTTTTGGCCTGAATCCCCCATTGTTACACATTACATACCTGTGGCAGGGAAATTGTCCAAGTACATTTCGTGTTTGGCGGATACCACTCAGGGTAGTAAGGTGATTGAATGGTACCCTGGCGACCGGATATTGGCCCGCCACAAACCGCTGCAAAAAGTCAGAATAATTTCCAGAGGTTACGCCTCAGTCTCCTTTCCTTTCTTAAATATCACAAGGGTCTAGACTATTAAGTCTATAAAATGGGCCTCGAGGTTGAGAGTTTTTTTCAATGAAAAAACAGGAGCAAACTACCGTAGAGAGCAACAATCTAGTAGAGAGCTCATAGAGTATTTACGTGACTGCGCATGCAGTTAATATTGTGTGTTCACTTAGCATAATGTGACTGCGCGATGCGGTAGTTATGTCAGCCCACAACTGACCTGCTCACCACTTAGCTCTCAGTAGTTCAGTGGTTAGAGCATCCGACTGGTGTCCGGAAGGTCGTGGGCTCAATTCCAATCTAGAACTCAATTTTCTCCACACATATCATTTCATTTATCATTTCATCAGAAATGCTAAAAAGAAAAAGCGGTGGGCTTTGTTCATAACGCAAATAAATCCCAACAGAATAACTGAAAAATTTCTTGCTGCCTAGCCGTTTTTGTTCGAAAATCGCCAAATTTGCCGATCTGCATTCATTGTACTGAAAAAAGAAGTCTTAGTGAAAGTTAACAAAGCCCAGTTTTCATTCTCCTTCCTTAATTGGCGAATTGCCTGTGATTCTTACATGACGTACCTTTATAACTTGCTTTGAAACCTTGCCTAGTCTCAGCATCACCAGAAGAATATCTTATCCACAATCTACTTCCTGTAGACATTAAAGGAGGTGGATCTTTTCTCCCACAGAACTTGCCAATCAGAGGTGCCGTTCTTGAATGACCGTCTCTTACCTCCACGTATTCATCTTTGCATTTAGCAGATCGCTTGAGACCAAATGCGGTAAAATTCAGAGATATACGCTGGCCTGGTGTCACAGAAATACGCCAATCGCAGAATTTATACTTTCCACTGTTAGGAAAACCAGGCGATGTAAATGTACCAGAGTGCTCATGGAGTGTTCTTCCACATTCTGAAGATAAAAATAATAAATATGCGTGATAAGTGACATTAGCCAGCAAAAGATATGGTATGATAATTGACATTATTGGCTCCAAAAGCTTAGTGCTCTTTGTAGACCACGTGATATTCTTGGCTGGAAGATTTCTGTCGATAAAGACAATTGAAAATGAATATGACCTTTTGTGGCACTTAAATGTCTGTCTAAGAAAAGTATTTGCCTTATTAGGAGTCAAAGAAAAGGGTGTGGCCCATTTACCCAATTTACTCTATTTATCCCCCGCCGAGCCTCGCAAGGTTCTTCGATACATGAATTTCTTTTTTATTGTTCTTTTTAGGGAGGTGATATTCCTTGGACTTTCCGTCTTGAACTAGTAGAAGAGGTATCCGTTTTGAGAGATTAAACTTTTCTCCCTTGATTACCGTTACGTGATTCAAATTGAGGCTACTATGAAACGAAGTCAATAAGGTTTATTCCGGATTACACTTAAACGGCAAAACAAACAGCTTTGGAACAGTATTGAATAACTGTGACTCTATGTGACAGTGGTTTAACCCTTTAAGCCCTAAGAGTGATCAGCATCAAATTTCTCCTTGTAATGTAAACGCTTTCTAAAACAGAGTGGTCATGAGAATTACGGACATGATCACACAAGATAAACCTGCTTGATTTTTTTTCGACTTCTCCCCACTACTTCTGTAGGAAATGAATAGAGGCAACAAAGGAGAATTCTCATTTTGATCTTAGGGTTTAAAGGGTTAAGGCGAGACTTTTGAGAACATTTTCCTACCTGTACAGCGGTACATCTTAGATATCTGTCTAATGTCGCCTGTACTAAGACGCTCTCTTTGTCCAATGTCAGGAATAAATGATGTTCTTGGATCTCTTTTGGGTAAAATAGTGACTTTATTGACTTCTTTTGCAAACGTACTCTTCCCGTAGTGCATGATGGATCCATAATCATAAGGCTCGTTTCGCGAGTTGATTTCTGTTGAACTCAGTTGAAGGAAGTTGTGTTCCTCGCCTAATAAGCAAACAAGGAAATTAAACAACTTTTGAAAAAGTCAGGCAGAAACAAGCTGACTTGTAAGAATCATTTGCCGCAAACAATATTTAGCAACAGATTTAGCAACACAACGAGAACGTCAGATGACGACGGGAAAGCGCGCGGAAAGGACTGAACGCGACTTCCAGTGCCCAACTTGCTGCTCTGCTATTGGTCAAGCCAGTTGTCTGATTTGCGCGCGCTGTCGTCAACAGACGTTCTCGTTCTGTTGCTAAATCAGCTTAATAGCACTGAAGGACACGTCTAATGTAAATTTTATAGTGGTAACTTAAGCAACAGATTTGGTATCCGATTGAGCCAGTGTTTGCAATTACAGTACTTGTTATCTAAAATCTTCTCCAAAAGAGGGTGTACGATCTCAATTTGTTTCTCGATTTGGTTTGATGAACTCTTTTGTTTCCCAAGGGATACAGTACTTTCTAGCTGTATATATCTGGAAGAAGTATTCATAGTAAGTGTTCCTAACAGTCGATAATTTACGAGACAATAGAGAGGAGAAGTCGTTACGTCACGTTACCATGGTAGCAAAATTTCTGGATGACAACAACCCGCAATCGTCACTTAAAAAAAGATTTCGTGCTGTTTCAAAATTCATCGATGTTATTCAATTTAATTCAATTTGTCAAATGTTAATGAAATGTTCTGGGATTGAATACGAAAGGACCGTATCTAGGTTTAGAAAAAAAAGAGGAAAATTTTCGTGTTGTATTTACCTACTCCATACCGCGGGCGCGTAAAAATGAGGAAGTTTCATGTCGAAGTCGTGCAACGACGGCTAAGAAATGTACAAAAAAACTTTATGCACGTGTAAAGTTGTTGATTTGTTAATAGAGCGGTTTTCATTTGAGTGTCGAAAAGTAATTGGTTTTGCACTTTCTACACGATGCGATTGGCTTAAAAGATTCGCGCCACCTTTTCATCCAATCAGAAGTAAAACCAAAGCCAATTGTGACGCGCTCGCATGCATTTTCCCGCGCTTTGCGTCAGCCACATTTAATTACTGCGAGTTTTGATTGGTTCAATGTATTGTCTGTGTCCTATGTGATTGGTCAGAGTAATTACTTTGGTTTTGGTTTTACGACACTCAAACGAAAACCACTCTATACATGTAAACCTAATGCTTTTCTGCCGTTCTCGTTGCCAACGGCGTCGTCGTTGCTCAAGCTCCCTATTGTGTGTATTGTTGTGAAATTTTGCTAGCATGGTAATGGAACATAACGACTTCTTCTCTCTTGATGCTTTTGACATGAACCCTGGCTCGGTATTTTGCCTGGAGAGCCCGTTTTCAAGCCGATTGGTAATCGTCTTTTTGTAAAATATAACGTGGCAATAAAGCAAGAAAAGTCGTCTGAAGAATTTTCAGGTTTGGCGAACAGTTGCCTAGTAAATCAATGCATAAAGTGTGGAAAAGAAAAACACAAGAACATGGAAATCCATAGCACGTTTTTGTGTCTCAAGAATGACTCTGAAAACAGCCTTCTAGTGGCTTGATATACAAAAAAGAAAAATCAAAGGTAGTTTCGAAGAGGATCAAAGTGACCAACAAAGAGATCACCTTTCTTAATGTTGTCCCGGATAATAGTGACATATTGTCCTCTGTCAGGTCGCGTATGTTCGTGCCAGAAGCCAACCGTGTGACCTATCTCATGAATTACGATTCCAAACTTGTCACAGTTCTTCCCTATGGAAATTCCCTGACGTCCATTTCCCTTCCGTCCAACATACGAGCAACACCTGTTTACGAAATAAATTGATGGTGTTTGCAATATATTCTCACCCGGAACACCAGCACACAAAGCGAAATGAGGCTAAATGCATAAGATGTGAGAGAATCGGCCCGAGGCTTTGCGAGTCTGTAGACCAGGAGAGAATATGAGGTATGCCTTATTGCAGCGGTGAGGAGGGTGGGGCGAGAACTGCTTTCGAGTGTGCCGAGACCTAAACTTTACCAGAACTGGCTGAATAATCAAGCTGAGGCTACCCTTTAAAAGGAGGAACATGATCTGTGGGTGTGGCCTTGTATTCTCCCGGGCCACGCTGAGAATGGTAGGAAGTGCATTGATGCTTATTTAGGCTTTTGTGCGTGTTTCTCCCCGAGTGAGAATAATATATGACATTTACCATGTCGGGAAATTGAAGAAATTGGGTGAACATTGATCAAATTCAATGCATAAGTGATCTTAAAGAATTATACTGGAAACTGCAGCTTATACATCTTCGTAAGAGGTTTCACTAGGAGGGCTTATAACCGGAATGGAAAAAGCGCTTTGAAACAAACTATAGCAGCGATGATCAAAATACGTTTTGCATTTACTTGTTTTTTGATTAAGCTTCAAAACGTCATAATAAGCAAGGCTTCAATTAGTACGAGGGGGGTTATAATCGGATGTATTTTTTGGTTTACAAGTAGATTAGCCTGTGTAAAGACCCCCCCCCCCTTCCCGTTAGGAAAAAATCGGAGAAGGGGTTTTTCCTGAGGGGAGGAGGGAAGGGTGTCTGTACACAGGCTACAGGTAGATGGGCTATAACTTGGAGAGCTTATAAGTTGGGAGGGGAGGGGTAGGGGCGCTGTTAAGCTTCAGTTTACGGTTTTTAATCTGTATTGCACTTTCCAAGACTGTATACTCTGACTATCCCATTACTCACCCGCAGCGACCTTTGTGAAAAAAGACATAGTCCTTCTCTGTTGTTCGTTCAATAAATGATAAACATGTAAAGTTTTCCCAGTGGCGCATTGCCTGAATAAGAGTGGCTTTCTGGTCACCTGAAAAGTAAAAATACTTATCACTCAACATTTTTGAGAAAAATTAGAGTCTCAACGTTACCCTCGGCTCCGTCTCGGGAAACATCGACATTCGAGAGAAACAACATTAACTGTTTCTCGAGGGACCTAGACTAAGATCAGCCTCTCTTTTTTCTTGGTCCGTCGACCAAAACGCCCGAGACATAAAAATGACCACGCGCGTGACTGAAGGCGCGAGACGGGAGAGGCACAACAAAAGAGATACTCTATTTTTTCTTCCCGGGCTGCCGCCCACGTTTCTCGCGTCTCGCGGCTTCACCGCTAAACGCCCGCGCGCGTGCACTCCTCTTACTAAATCTGAAGAAAAAGAGAGGCTGCTCGCAGTCTACGAGGGACCAGTCTTCAAGTGTTTTGTTATATATATAGTTCGAAATTTTGAAGCTGGAAATTCGTTACTGAAACCTCGCTGTAACGGCGGTCACCGGCCAACATTCGCGGTATCCTCTGTCGTCATGGATTTTGAAATGTTGCCCCGCTCGGAGATTTAGGCTGAAACAGATTCATTGATAGATGTCATGTGACCTCGAAGTAACCAATGAGAGTGTGCGTTCTTCGAAAAAACCACATGTACAAACACAAACCCTTGTGTACAATGCTTCTTTCTCCTTTTTATTAGGAAATAATTTCACTCACGTTTTGTGCAAATTCTGATAATTTCCTGAGTCTTTTTCACTCGTCACCATTTGATTAAACATACAAATTACAGACATACGTGGGGTGAGTTTCAATCATGTGCACTCATTTGCACGCGCGGGCCAGGAAAGTTCTTAAACATGCTTTTATTAGCTACGCGGAAAAATACAAAGCTTTTAGAATTGCAAGGTCAATGTGAGCTTGATCACGCCCTTATAAAAACAAAGGTTTAAACAAATTAAATTTTGGAAAATAATAATAGCGGCAAGTAGGGAGAGCGAATTCCAGGTAGAAAATAACCTAGATGCCAAGTTTTTGTGCTTCCGAACTTTCCTGTGATGCCATTTAGTTTGGCCATGCAAGTGTTGAACGTATAGTTTATCATATCAGTGGAATTCCGTGGCACTAAAACGAAGTCAAAGTTGACCTTAGCTTCTGCTCAGTCCCCGAAACAATATATGAGTGGAGTTATCTGCCAAGGGATGGCTGCAACAATGTTATTTTGATAAAAGCTGTAGGTTATACAAAAAAACGATTTTCCTCACTGGATTCCACGAGAAAGGAATGACTGTATTTGTCTACGAACAAAATACTATTACGGAAATTGAAAGTTAAACACATCAAAAGCCCAGCAAATGATATCCTTTGTGAAAGCAATACGTCATCACGGATAATTGATCTTCGTGAAAGAATTTGACGAGACTAAAATAAAATGCCGCCAAATTCTTCTCAATCATTGACGATAGCTTTTCGGTAAGCGCAGATTACAAACAAATTAGGAGGATAAGCTTAACTGGATTTGAAGCAGCCTTAAAATACCAATTACATAACCTACGAGCTCAAGGGAAAAGAAAAGGAAAACTGTTAAGAATATCCGAACTGATACCAGTCTTAAATATCTCGAAAATACCTGAGTTCCTACCGGAATAATGTTCGTTATAACGTGAAAACGTTATTACTAGCCTGCATGGATCACAGCAAAAGAAAAAAACCTACTAGTTGTTTTTCTCTTTTCCCTCCTCTCGCATGTTTCAGCGCTTCGATCACGCGCCCCAAACCAGCCTTAAGGCCCCAGAAACGCCCTTGTACAGGCTAAGCTATTGCAGGCTCCAGTCCCATACATGTTAGCATTATTGAAGCCGAACAACACTGGAGTATACTGGAGTTTCATTTTATAGGGGTTTGACGGCATTTTGTTACAAAACTCTTTACCAGTACAGCCTCTTCTGACTAAGGAAACTGCGCATGTCGGGTTCAAACGCCGAGCCAGTTATGGGCCACTGGCCTAACAGATGAATTAGGTATACGTGTAGTAAGTTCTGGATTCCTGCATAGTCATAATGAGTTATATATATCTTATGATGCAAGGTTGGCCCTCTACACGTTATTTAATTTAGTTAGTCTCCATTAGAAACAATTAGAATTGCGTTTATTGCAAACGCCAATTTGTACCACGTGACCCTTTACCCATCGCGCGTTTACTGTTCATTATCTCTTTGCGAAAAAAAATAGTAGTTTCATGCCAGTTTCACCATAATAATCGGCCTGTACAGTCTTTATCTGTTCATTTCCTCAAATCTTTAAATCTCAAATCTTAAATCTTTATTTTAACACCGTAAAAAACATCATCAGGTTTTTTTGGTACAATATAAAATACAACTACATAACAATATTTAATAACAATAAATACGTATCTATCTGTTTTCAATAACCATCAAATCGAATTTGACGAGTGCCGTTTGCCGTAAACATGATTTCGCTAACCTTTCTATTATTGTCAACCACGCATCTCTTAACAAAGGGACACTAACTTTGTTGATATAGAGTTAGGTGGCGGGATTTATCGCGCGTTTTCCATAGACTGACGTCATTCCATTGTTGTTTTTCAGTTAGACTGTATAGCCGCAATAATAATGGAGCTACACGCGCGGCTTCGTCGCCAACGGTTCTGCTGAAAGAATGTTAAGTGTTGATTTAAGATGTTTTAAATACTGTAAGCGGATTCTGAGAGAGCTCGGTTAAAATGATCAGACGATGTCGAGACGATATATACCTTTGAAATACCGTTACATTGCAGACGGCATTAAAGTCGATGAAAAGGAGCTCGAGTTTATAGGCTTGAATATTGGATTAAGTACTTTGAAATACTAATCCAAAAATCCAACTTAAAGCAGTTTTAAGGAAAAAAACACCTTTTTATAGCATTTCTGCTATAAAGGAATTAATTCAAAATAGATGACTTTCATCTTTGAGATATTCTTGCTTCTTTTGTTTAAGTAACCCCCGGGAAGTAACCTAAGGAATCAAGACTCTGTTTGGCGCGATATCTTCTTAATTAACTGTGACTTAGGCCCGATTCAGACGCCGAACTTTTCATGAGCCGAACCTAATACGTTGAATTAAGTTCATGAAAAGTTCGGCGTCTCAATCAATTATTAATTTGGAACTGCTCAGCCGTTCTTTTCGCCTAGCCCGGCCGGGAATTTCGCTTTGGGAGCTACTTTGGAACGGCTTTCATTCAGACGCCGAACTTTTCACGTACCGAACCTAATGCATAAATTATTATAACCTATTTTGTAAGTAGTTTGATCGAAATGAGCATTTCCGCCTTTTAACTTGGTTCAGTTCAGCCGGTCTAAATAATTTTAATTCGAATTAGGTTCGGCTCATGAAAAGTTCGGCGTCTGAACCGGGCCTTAACTTAACAAATAAAGTTAAAGGGTGTCAAAGTTCACTGTACAGTGAAAAAACGAATTCTACCTAGAGGGTTTTTTTGGCCTTGATCAGTCTTTATAGCTCCTGCTAAGAAAACTGGTAAGGGTCTGGCAAGGCGGGATCGCTATTTTCCGTCAATAGCTTAAAGGAGCTGTTTCACGAATTTATCAAAATTATGATTTAAAAAAAGAGAAACCAATGAGAACTGTCACCAAATTGGGTGAAACATAAAAAATACTGAAAATCTTAGAAGAATTTAAAAGTACAAAAAGAGACACGGATAAACAAACTTGAAGAAGATTGAAATGGATTGCAATTGTGGCTTTTGAAAACGCGTTAGCCTAACAGTTTTTTAAGGTTCAATTTTGTTGTTTTTGAAAAGTTTAAAATAATGCCTTGGAAGACATATTTGCTTGACAGATAAGGACAGGTCATTGGCCAAATGAACTATTGTAGCTAGCCGTGATCACAGCCCCTTTGAGAAGATATAGGTTGATCAGTTCAGGATTTTTCTTGGGAGAGGATGCTCCACCAAGGAATGGCGTAACCGACTGGTGACGTAAACAAATTTTAAAAGCGAATACGAAGAAGGAGGCTTTTGACTTGGCAATAAAATAATGTGAACTGCTGAGAATACACATCAACATATCAACTCAGTACCAACTTCGTCTCATTTTTTACTTCAACACCAGTAAACCACAAAGATTTTTTTTTGCAGAATAACAGTTGCATAAGAAAGCCGCAGGTCAGCATACACGTACATACTTACATACATGTTTTATTTATTTGGAATCTTATACAATAAAAAGTATATGAACTATTTCCAAATAACTAAAATTACAAACATCTTAGAGGTGGGGGGGGGGGGGGGGGGGGCCCCCCCCCAAACCCCCCCCCTAGATCCCCCCGCCCCCCGTGTTTAGTCAAATTTTAAAACCATAAACCTTTTTATCCCCACAAAAACGCCTAATCACTTAACCCTTAACATTTGGTGTTTTAAATCCTATTTTAAAAAACAACCTTTAAAATATAACCGCAGATACGAACAGACTTGAACATCTAACAATCTATTTTTGTTTTTTTGGAATTTTAAAAAAAAAAAAATTTATAGAATATTCTCAAAAAAAAAAAAATAAAAAACTCTGAAGGGGGGGGGGGGGGGGGGAGGTGCGCACCCCCTGAATCCTCTCCCTAGATCCGCCCGCCCCCTGTATTTAGTCAAATCTAGAATCAGTAAACTTTTTAATCCCAAGCACACCGGCTAATCAGTCTAGCCTTGAATATTTGGGATTTAAATCGTATTTAAATAAACAGTCTTTTAGATACATGTACATAGGAAATTCCTCTTAGGATTAGTTTTATTTGTTTTAATAATTGACTTGTTGTCAAATAGATAATCAGGAAATTATTGAAGGAGGAAAGCCGAAGTTAACGCTACCTTAGATAATGAGTACGGTTTATTTCATCCGATGTTTCGAGAACGGACCTCTGGAGCCAGTCTTAATTAATATCAGTGATAAAGAATAAATTGATATGGTCAAAAGGCTACTGCAACATTATATTAAAGTAAACTCCTTAAAAATAAATCTCTTTTCCTTGCAGGCATACATAGAAAGAAATAATTGCTTGTTCAGTTTGAAGTTTCATTGTTATTTTCTTCTTCCATTTTTTTCCTTGCAGTCGGGCTCGAGTTGATTTTTACATGTGAAAGAAAAGTACCCCAGGAAATGCGACGAACGCGTTGTTACAATGACCTTGGCCCTCAAATGTGAGGACGAATTAGAAGGTTCAATGCTTGTAGATTGCTGTGTAGCCAAGAGAAATTTTATTCTTTTCGTCGCTTATTTTGTAACTTAAGTTTCTGCGATGAGGTCAGGACCACAAGAGAAAAACATATGTCTTTATTAAACATGCCTAGGAGACTGTTAGGAGTAAGAAGATGATATGGCAACAGCAACGACTGAAAGGCCAATGAGAGGGCACCAGTGAGATCTCGAACCTTCGTTATATACAGTTTTGCCTAATTTTTTAAAAAATGTTTACTACAGCTACCATTTTTACTTTTGAACACCTAAATTGTCTGCAATTTAATATGAGTTAAGCAAGTGTTAAACAGCACAATTCTTTTTTTCAATTTGGCCAATCCTAATAAGACATTGTTTATTATGACCGCTGTTAAGAAGGCATATTTATAGAGCAGGCTGGAAAAGGAATCAAGTTGTTTCAGTAGCCCAGCATGCTACACTAACCCACTTATAATTACACTTTGGAGGTCCAGTTACTAGGTCTAAGTCACGGTATTTTTAAGTACTCAGTATCTCTATCGTATTTAATTAAGGAAACCTTTAAAATGAATTTCGTCAAACAAAGAATAAGGAACTATAATGGTTTAGCAGGGGCATAGCCCGCCTTTTCGCAAGAGGTAGGGTGAAGTTAACCTTGTCCGAAATTAGTCAGTAGTCAATTATACAGCAAGTAAGTAGACCTGCGCAAGTCACATGTACAGGAGAAATTTCTTCACGTTTCCGTCGGAAGCGAGCAAATAGTATCCCGTCTCTTCACTGCTTTAAGTCATTAGCTTTAAAGTAGTCTAAAACGGTTTTTAGCAGACCACCACTCGATAAAAAGGTCGGGCAAAAAATTTAACGGACAATTAGCTTGCAACTAACCTATAAGATTGTGGGATTAGGGAGGGCGTTCGAAAAATCTCGATCAGAGGCTTTCTATGTCTTTCTTGGCAAGTCATACCGTTCACCCTCCAAAATATGTGGAAATGCCAGCCATTCAAGTGTTCCCAGATTCGTCCCTTCATTTAATGTTTTCAGGCCATAAATCTCACCAAAGTCTGTTTTATGAGTTCGTTCTCTATCGATAGAAATAACAGAGTAATAAAGTCTTCTTCAGGCGACTAGCTTGAGTGTTAACGCAGAACCGAATTGAACCAGTTAAAGCAGAACTTTACGATAAAAAGGGGCAGGGTTTATGAACGGCCTTGCGAGCCCTTGACTAGTCAAATATGCGCCTTTTCCATAACGTTTACGGAAGAAGACTGACACACTGCATGCAAGGAATTCCCAACCAAATTGTCGCGAAACAAAACCACGCGTACTGTAAATTACACCAAAGTGACGCAGTTTCGACTATTCACGCAGTGCTTATAATTTTTGTTTCCATGATGAATTTCAGTTCTTTAGGCGTATTGGCCGGGCTCGGGCGTGCTGGCAAGCGCAGAAGAATATGGCGGCCGTTAGACATATGAAACTGACAGCAAGGTAATCAAAAGAGTACAAACGAAAATGCTGTATGTATACTAGGATTCTACACGGGTTCTCATCATTCAAAAAGAATGACGAATAGGAAACGAGGCCGACAATTAGGTTAATAAATGTAAAGAAGATCATCACAGTTAGAGACCCAACTTATGCTGTTGCAAAAATAAATTTTAGCTTGCTGGGCCTTTTCGAATCCTGACCTCGCGCTGTGATACCGGTAACTGGGAGATGGTCATTATATTGGTTCGTAATATACCCGGGAAAGGATGATGATGAAATAACGAATATATGAATTTCATATTTGGCAAGACATCGACAGGCCTTAGGGCTGCAGCCATAGACAGCTGTTTCGTTCAAGGAAAGAGCAGGAGGAGGAGGTAAAGAAGAAGAAGAAGTAAAAGAAGAAGAAGAAGAAGAAGAAGAAGAAGAAGAAGAAGAAGAAGAAGAAGAAGAAGAAGAAGAAGAAGAAGAAGAAGAAGAAGAAGAAGAAGAAGAAGAAGAAGAAGAAGAAGAAAGGCCACCCCCAAGAAAGGGAAGAGGACATTGGACTATGAATAATTGCATAACTTAAAGGCAGCTCAATAAAGACCTGAATAAGAAGCTTATCAGTCTAAAATCCGATGAAGTTCAGATTACTATGTTTATCCCTACGAAAAGAAACAAAAATGCTGTTTTTATTGTAAACATTTGGCCTCAATCGTGATTTCAGCTTCGCGATGTTGTATTGAACGCCTATGATATCAATATCCAATGAACTGGAAGCAGCAAATGCGGATACCCCTCTTTTATCGGGTCAGCATTTTCCTAAAAAACAGCGGACCATTTGTTTTTTCTCTTCCTCAAAAAAAGACCGGATTTCAAATAAGCACAACTGCAGGCAATATTTCCTTTTTACCGAGTTTGGTGTTCCGTTTTCTTTTTAGTTTAGGTGAACCAAGGTCAACCATAAATATTTATAACTCTTTATATGCACGCGCCACAGTGATCAATAGCCAATAAAATTTGTTTAGATCAATTTAAAAGCAATTACCAAACTTAAAAATTCTTTCACGGAAAACTTTCTAAATTCCTCCTTTTAAAAGCCTTCCAGGAAATGGAGAAAAATGAAACTTTTATGAAGGTGTCAAACCTAATTAAAAAGCCTAAAAAAATTACGTGAGGGCTAAGTCAAAATCGTTTCGGGTTTCACTTTTACCACTTCCTTGCTAGAACCTTTTAACAAACGATTTCACAAAATATTTTTTGAGTTTCTGATATCTCGTTTTCAGCCCGGGTATTGAGAGAGTATTGAGGGGTCCGGAACATTGCAATACCGAAGAGAAAAATAGGCAATTACCGCAAGTGCAACTCCGACAAAATCGACCCGACGAAAAAATACCACATCCTGCCAGGAGCTAGGCTCCTGATCCCGCACGTTTGAAAATGTCCAATGTCGCAATATCACCCTTAGGGCGCTTCCTAAAGTCAGAACTGGTGGACCAAACCGGTCAGTTTGAAAATAAAGTAAGCTGGAGAGATTTCACTAAAACTCCATTACTCCCGTGCATATTATTTAGAAACAGATGGCTGGACAGTTATAATTAGTAGTGGAATTCTCTTGACGAATTCCCCCCTCCCTTCCTCAGCATACGAAAGGACAAATCCAGCTGAGCCAATGATTGTCGAGTAACAGGAATAAACTAAGGGAAATGGTTAAAATTGTGTTTGGAACCTTCTGCTAATGGGCATCGAATTCTGTTTTCTTTGGTGTTTCTGTTTTTTGATTTTAAGGGTAAAGGTGGGAAAAATGACACATTCAAATAGACCTTCACACTTAATGACTGAAATCAACGACATTTGTTGTTTACGTTCTAGTTACAGGGCTTCACCTCTGTAATACTTGATTAGGTAGAGTACTCAATTTAAATAAACAAAAATGATGTGCGTGTTTAATCCGGCATGACAATGAAAACCCTTGAAATGGCCAAGAAGCGTGAAAATGCTTTTAAGATATGAGTACATGTTCCATAAAACGTGCCATGTAATCGATATACTACTCTGTTATCAAAGTTAAACTATTAATTATGTTTTCAGCAAAACAAAAATTTCCAGCTGCTATCTGATCGACACAAGGAATTTGATAACGGAAGAATTTTTTCAGCACTGCTGAAAACCGTTTACCCAGGTTTGTTTTTAAGTTATCCTCCAGTGCGTCGGCACGATCATGCGCTCGTTGATATATATTTGACAGTGAAAAGCTGAAAATGTCGCGAAGGTGATGAGAGCGCATTTTTTAATGATAATAAAATTACGATCAACTGATTTCTGTTGATCTGTGCGAAGAAATGCAGGCTTCAAGTTTCGATTGTTTACAAGAAAAAAAATGAAACAAACATTGAACCATGCAAGTTGATGATAACTGAGGTCCGTAGATAATAACATTAGAAAGCTAGTATGAAAATCGAAATTCACTTGGAAAATAAGCTTACTTGTCAAAGGGATTGTGCTTCTGTAACATTATTTGGACAGAAAGGTTAAAAACAACAGGACAATAAATTTTACTACACTAACCTGTATAGGATTGGTCGATTATAAACGGGATCACTCCGTCTCGCCATAGCCTCTTATTGTAAGCAGTTGCGGCCCTTTTCGGTCTGTGGCGAAGTAGCTGATCGGCTGATACTGCTATATCTCCTTGGACAATGCCGTCTTTAGAAGGAATGACGATGGAGTATTAACGACCCGTATCATTACAAAGAGGGAGATAACATCTTTTCAATGAGATTAATCTGCTTCGAACAGAGCTGGCTTTGCAAGGAAACTGTCTATTACAATTAATAGGGTAGTGTCAAGACCGTGTAGAACACAAAATAGTCTTAAAACCATTATGCAATTATTGTTCATAATTTGTCAGACATTTTCCAGATATTTTTTCTGCAAACTTCTATAACGATCAATTACCAAATTGCTCCTGTGAGTTACTAAGGATTTGCCACAGGCTCGCAAACGAAGGGGGTTAAATTAATGGTGTACGAAGACAAAATATGCCGTGGTTGGAGGTAATTAAGATTGGAAAACTTACCCGCCTTGCAAGGGTCGTAGTCATCATCGCCAGCGTGAACCACGCAGAGATAAAATGCAAAAAAAAACGTCAAAGAAAACAACATGCGAGGCATATTGTTAGTCTGAAATAGCATTTTCCAGAGATGAAAATTTGGGTTAAGTTCCAAGGCTTGCCGTATCTCTACAACTTGAAGTCGAATTCCTCAAATTATTGCAGGCAGAGGAATCGACTTTTGCTTTAGGCTTCTTCTTTCAATGACCGGATTCTCTCAACACCCTCTGTATCTTCAGACAATTGCCTATGGATAGGATTCAACGAAACTTCAACTGATGATGCATTTAATGGGATAGGCCCTTTTTAAAGTGTCTTGGGCGTTCAAGACTGATTTTTTTGACAATCCCCTTTTTACGTCGCCTGTAATGAGAATATCCGACTGGTGTTTTTTTTGTTCACGTGAAGACAGTCGAAATATTGTGCGGCTTAGGTGCGAAAAGTTATCGCATTCCTCTACTAATCAACTAAGCTACTCGTTTTTAATTGATTAAATGACAAATGATAGAAGACTGTTTCATGCCTTAACACCCACTTCTCCTGAAACCCGACACCCAATTAAAACGCTGCGTTAAAAATAACTTCAATCTGGATTCGTGCCTATCTCCAAGTCACACTGCGTCTTTGACGCACTCGCGTGGAATGCATGTATATCCCTGTATATGTTCCAATCACTCCGCTCTATTCCTATTGAACAAAGCGCTAGGTCCGCAAAGGAAATAGCGAAATCTTTGAACGATCAATGCTGTCGACACTCTCCACACGAAATAACGCAAGTATACGAGGTTATTAAACACCGGATGTCATTTAGCACTTCCTTTTTAAGCGTTTGCTTAATGGCATCATGCCTTTTTTAAAGTTTGACGAACCCTGATTTGAGGCCAACTTCTTAGAAACTGACAAGATTTCCTGCATCCTCACGCTGTTCAATAAACATCTTCTTAAGCGGTCATCCACCACAAAAGCCACTAAAGTGCGGTTCTGGCAATGATCTGTATTTTTCCCTCTATCTTAGTTATTTACCCCAAATATTGTTTTTGACAAAATACTAGCTGTAACCGGCAGAATTCTGTTGCTCATCGGAAAGATGGCTGACATCTGTCAATCAGGGCAACAGAGACACTGACTAGAGCGGAATTTTAGTGAGGAGATCAGAAACTGATCCAAAGAAAGCCTGCGCCAACACCACTGGGAAGCTGATGCTCAAATTAGAAAATTTTGTCCTAGAAGTAATTGGCAATTTATCTGAAAAAGCGACGTTTTAAACTTCTACCAGTTAGAGACTCATTTCAAAGAAGCGGACTACGTAGAACTGCTCGAGTCAGTGGGCTTAGAACCGTCTGCCATGATCATGAAGTCTAACGTGAAGTCTCGGGCTAATGTCCAGTAAGCGGACACTTCGGAATCAGGCCTACCTGTGGGCTCATAAATATGGAAAGTGTCCTCTCATGGAAGCAACTGCAGGAAGTAAAGGATGAAAAAATAATCGATATTATTGACGTATACCAGGAGAGAATTACTTCCGTACTAATTACAATTTGTCTATCACTTAGTAACAATACTTTTTCGCTTCACTGATATTCACATAAAATCAAAGAAATATACTTTTTTTGTAGAAGATTTGCATGTTGTCTCTTCGTGTTTTGGCTCCTGTGGACACTGAAAAGGGTCAGTGTCCAATTGTGACTGGTTTACGCTTTTAGAACAGTTAGAAGGGCTTAAAAGGGGTTAAAGGGAGTACTGATGACCCGTGTGTTTGCGTGTGGCCTGCAGTAAAAAAAAAATTGGAAGCTTCATATAGTATAATTCTGAAGGACAGATGCTACCTTGTGTGAGAGCTGTCAAGGAGGATTTATTTCAATGGTTACTCCACAGGATTCGTCGACAGATTCACCCAGAACAACACATAACACAAAAATAAATTGTGGTAGATGAAAGTGCAGCCTACGGGAAAGATGTTTAGGAATTTGGGGCTCGAGATAAGTGATGCACGCGAAAATGAACTCATTCGTGAGGAGAAAGGTACCAATAGGATTCGAGGTAAATGAAAGTGAATAGTCACACCATAGGGTGTCGTCAACAGAATCAAAAGTCTGGAAAACTCTACAGCTCGTGCCTGTTCGTTTGCCTTTGTACCCACACGTGTACGCCTATTGAGGCGGCCTGTGTCTATTAACGTAACATGCAACCAAAATTTTATGTCTTACCATTCTTTTCTTGGCCTAAAATTCCTCAAAAACGTGAAAATGCCTTGGTGTAACAGCTCACGCAAGCTAGATTCCCTGAAGATTATGAATATCTAACAGGGCCGGAAGAATAAGGAACTTTCGAGAAGGAGCCTCTGTAGGCACTTTCGTCGCTAGAAATGGCTCTTCATTTCCAAATTGTTGATTGGTTTGTTTGGTCCTGCCTAATTGTGTTGTCTAATTTAGCTGTACATTTGTGGTCATTTGACGTCATTTGTCCACTGGGTTTGGCATATGCGCCTCAAAAGAACTAGCCAGACGACCAATCCCGACCAAGAGCTCTTGTGCGCATGACTGTCAGGTAGGCTTTATTAAACACAATAAAAAAGCTTCTGAATGGTCCATTCAAGTTCAAGCATGAGGCGGAAACTAATGTCGCGCATAACGTAAGTGTGCGTAGGCCATTAAATTTGATGAATCGGTGAAACACTTTCTTCTTCTTTTTTCTAATAGTGACTGTCATGACTACTAAGGCCGCCAAACCACCAGGTTTTTTTTCTTTTAATCTAAACAGCTTAAAAATAATCTGACTAAATTTGGACTTAAAGTGGTAAGCCGGACGTCATCATTAACTTCAGCGTGACATCGACGGATAAAGTTCAATTTTTCCCCAAGTAAACACCAGACTCTACAGGGCGAAAGAGAGTTTCTTGAATAACGTTCCCACAGACTATTTTTACGAGGGTTGCTAATTAAAGACAATGGTAAAGATACGTATTATATTTGCGCGAAAGTTGCTAAAAAGCATTGTGATATGGATGTTGTCCCACTTTGGCACGCAGCAAAAAAAAAGTTTGAAAGGTAGGCTTCGAATTTGTCTTAGGTCACACATTAGGAACCGAAGTGTTAAATACCATCTATTTTCTAAATAGCATTTTGCTTACCTATTGACACGGCACTATATGGATTCCCTTACTGGCTCCTTGGTTTGTAAAGTGTGGCCCATATTCTTTCGCATTTCAAATGACATGTCCGGTTAAGTACGACTTCCTCTTTATCTACATCTACAGCTGAAACGGTAGCACATCCACACGTAGTGACATTCCCATCTTCAACTATGTAACGTTCATATTATTTTTGATGTAATGCCATCATACTTAATACTTTCTATTTTGTTAATCTTTGCAGTGAATAAGCTACCTTAGGGTAAGAGGTTTGCTACTCAGGCAGTCAAAAGCTAACCTGCGGTCTGAAGATACCTATAAAAAGAACCAGCCTTTTTCCCAGATTCCCAGGGGCTTTTTCCTTAGAAACTAGTTTCTAAGTGTGGTGGAACAGTAAGTGGCGCAATGTCACAGTGAGAGTACAGTTTGGTGGACAGTGGAATAGTGGCACAGAGTCACAGTGAGAGTACAGTTTCACAGGGATAGCGAAGAGTGGTGGAACAGTGGAACAGTGGCACAGTGTCACAGCGATAGCATAATGTGGTGGAACAGTCGAACAATAGCACAGAGGCACAGTGATTGTATAAAGTGGTCGAACAGTGGAACGCTGGCGAAGTGTCACAGGGGTGAAAAAAGTGGTGGAACAGTGGGAAAGTGGTACAGTGCCACAAGAATAACAAGAAGTGGTGGAACAGTGGAACAGTGTCACAACGATAGTAAAGTGTAATGGAACTGTGGAACAGTGGCACAGAGTCACAGCGATAGTATAGTGTGGTGGACTAGTGGTACAGTGGCACAGGGATAGCAAAGAGTGGTGGAACAGTGGAACGGTGGCACAGTGTCACAGGGATAGCAAAAAGTGGTGGAACAGTGGAACAGTGGCACAGTGTGACAAGTACAGCAAAGTGGAACAGTGGCACACTGCCACCGTGACAGTAAAGAGTGGTGGAACAGTGGACAGTGGCACAGTGTCACAGTGATAGTAAAGAGTGGTGAAATAGTGGAACAGTGGCACAGTATCACAGGACAGTAAAGGGTGGTAGAATAGTGGAACAGTGGCACAGTTTCACAGTGATAGTAAAGTGTGGTGAAACAGTGGAACACTAGTACAGTGTCACAGCCACAGTAAAAAGTGGCGGAATTGTGGGACAGTGGCTCAGTTTTACGAGGGGAGTTAAGAGTGGTGGAACAGTGGAACAGTGGCACAGTGTCAAAACGGTAGTAAAATATAATGGAACAGTGGAACAGCGGCACAGAGTCACAATGATAGTATAGTGTGGTGGAACAGTGGAACAGTGTCTCAGGGATAATAAAGAGTGGTGGAACAGTGAAACGATGGTTTTAGTTTGTGGCTGTTTTGGGAAAGTCGAATTTTGTTCCCGGATGCTAAATAAGTCCTGCAAGTACAAGGGGGAAAGCCCTTCATTTGATTGTTTAAAATATTAACATGGCCTTAAGCTACCTTCGAAGAGTGGAGGGATTTTCCCAGTGGGTTCTGTTAAGGAGAAAGCTGGCTTTCGTATTGTAACTTGACCCGGTTATGACTCCTGAAGCCCTATATTGGAGTTCCAGCTCATCATTCAAGGTAACGCTGAGTCCATCCCAAAAGGCATAGTAGTCAAAGTGGGCTAAAATGAACTCTTGTTAGATTTGGACAAGAGCCATTATGGCTCTTCATTTGGAGAGCTGTTCTTTCTTTGACCATGAAAGGTGTTCGTCAATTAACAAGCCCAGAGATTTGGCTGCATCAACTGTTTGGATCGATTTACCGTCGATCACGATATTAATATGATTATTCGTAAGAGCATACTCGTTGATTTGACCCAATTACCATAAATTCAGTTTTGGCAACCTGATTAAGGTTTAGTCTGTTGGATATAAGCCAGCGATTAAGGTTTCGTAACTCAAAATTTACGGCATTTTCGTGGTCGGTCATTATACCTGCAGCGAGAATTTATATGAGTCACCGCCGGCGAACATTCCCAGTTAGGGTAAACTGAGGCAATTAGGCCTCATAAATATAGACTAGGAATAAAAGTGGTCCAAGATTGCTTCCCTGTGGTACTCCACAGGAAACTGGGGTTTGACAAAAGTCCATTCATGTAATCTGTTCAAGTTTGGCTGCACGCAGCATTTCCTGTGCTGAAATTACAGCCAAATCCCGTTGTTGCAGGTCTGGTGTCCTTTATAGAAAGAGTACGTAAATGTTTCAGGTAAATGTATGACTAAATTTAATTTTGCCAGCGATTAAGCTGCTGTCCTTATTATTGCATGGGGTATCGCAATAGCAAGGTGAGTGACCTCAAGGCGAGGTCTAGAGTTAACTAAATAGAAAATCATGCCAGAACTGCAGGACGAAAAGTTAAATCAGGTAAAAGGTCATCGCATTCAGTTACAGATGCATCTTTTGTAGTTACGAGCCGGGAAAAAATCAGCAGGTCAGTTTGTGGATGGCTCGCGTAAATCTTGGAACGCATTTTGACCGCTTGTAAACTGTGGGATTTTAATTTTTATCGGGGGCTAGCTCCGGTCCATTTGGGTGGACTCGTGATCGGGAAGTACAGCCTTTGTGCTGTGGGGTTTCATAGCGAAGCAATGCGAATTCCTAGGGGAAAATCGCTCCGGCGCTGGAGCCGTTCAAAAAATTGATTTCACCCCTGTTCTAATAAGAGGCATAGTAGATCTGGAGTAGACGTACGGCGACCTCAAAACCCTACCACTTGTAAGACAAAGAACGACAATTTGTCATAAGCACGGTGTTACAACTTTTATTTAGCATTGATTCATGCACATATTTAGCATGCACATATATATCTCTACGGAAATCCAGATTCGCTAGTTACAGCAAAATAATTCATGAAATTTTCGCAAATTTCGGAGATAATACTGGGCTGGCTTACTTCCCTCGAAGTCTCGGCGATTTTCGTGTTCTACTATTGTGAAGTTAAATGTTTTGAAATTTAGAGTAATATAAATTTACCCTGATGTCTAAATTTGTATGACAACCAATAGTTTCTCTTTCGTAAGGGGGAGATAAATATTACCGCGAACGGTGAAGATATCATTTTATCGAAACCCGTAACGGTCTGTTGGTCTCAGTTTTTACGCTGTTCTGACTGTTTCCGGGGTGTAAAAGACCCACTGCGGAATCTTAGGCTAAGTCAGGTAACATGACGGTGGAGCTTCGGCAGCTAGCATCGCGCATGCGAGCTTGCGCTTTAGGTGGCAAAGGCTAAGATCAGATTTTTTTCCTCATTAAATATTCGACTCCGACCTATTTTGATAATTGCTGGAATCCTCTATAAAAATATTTTCCTTGGAGGTGAGTAGAGTACGATCGATGTTAATTTTCGTTTCAAGTGTCAAAATTTCGTGATTTTAATTTACCCTAGTGTGTTATTTGTTCTTGCCAAGCTAATGTTCGTGTGCTGTTATTTAACGCTGGGACTAGTTACTCCTCCTCCTTGTTTCTGCTTCAGTTGTCCTTTTCAAACAGAGGGAATTTTGATTCGAAGTCTAATTTCATTAACGCACGTAACATTGTGTAGCTAAAGGGTTTCAGTTTAAACGATAAGCTAGAATATCACCAAATAGCCGACAAAATTATCTTTCTCGTTGCTTCGGGGTACTTGAAGTTCAATTAATGACCTCTTGAAATCTCGATCTAAAAACTCGGCTTATATAGCGTACAGTGCACATGTTAATTCACGAATTTGGACCGACAAAATGCGTGAATTGATCTCTTTGGGTGACTTTCTCCGGGAAATCAACTATGTATGTGAAATAAAAGTGTGTCATTGTTGAAACTTTGTCCGAAGTTGTTTGCCTAGCAGGTACCATTGATCAGTCGCTGGTACCATGACTCACTGAATATCCTAGACATCTTTGCAAAGAGTGTTGTGCTTTATATGTATCTATTCCTTTGAACTGAGAAAAGCGTTTTTAAACAGATGTTAAAACAGAAATAAGGCTCAAAATGACGAGAGCTAGGTGCTTCTCAAACGCCAAAGAGTAGATGTGAAACTAGTCATAATCGTTTGCTTCGCAATTTCACATGGCCGTGCACTGACAGGCGTTCTGAAGGTGTTTGTCTAACGTCATACAAAAGCTGTGAAGCCCATGATAATCTTTCTGTTTTATTGGTGAAAAATGTTAACAAAAAATCCTTTTACTGACTAAATATGTTATGAAATTGTTGGGTATGCGACCCTCAGTTAACATTTTTAAAGATAAAAGACGGCTCATTTCAACTTCGGTGTCCAATCATTGCTTCAAAGTTGTAAGATTAACTTTCTGAATACAAGCTCAGATATCGTTCGAAAGCAAACTAAGTAAAATTTCCTCTTTAAAGCGATAGCCGTGATATAGGTTTATTTCCTACTGATATTAAAAACGTTTTGCCTTTTTGTTATTTTCATTTTGCTTTTATGCCGCTGGACATGAGATTCCTGTAAAAAAATCACAGGCTGGCAATACGGGAATGCAGTTGAAATTCACACCAGTTTACGCGGTACCCTACTTCGCGATTTCGCCGTGCCGAGCTCCGCAAAAACTCTACAAAATAATTCCTTTTAATGAACCTGACCCAATTCCGTCACCCGAGTTGTCTGGATCAAGAATAACCCAAATCTGTAGTCCGTGTGTCTGCCGTAAATTACGGGAACTCGACAATTGTCAGGAAAAAGTCCGTCTTAAAGAATACCGTTATGGAGGAACTAGAGCATGGTGTGGAAATCTTGAAATGGCAACTAATAATGCGGAAAAATCAGAATTGGAATAGAGAAAAAACACTTTAAAACTAGTTTATATTAACATCATTCTCGGCAGTTAATGATTCACTGTTACTTGTGTGTAAGCTTATTGTGTCGTAAGTACTCGCGCACACCTGTCTCCCTGAATTCGAAGTCTATTCATGCATAATCTAAATTATCAAGTTGCACACAAGCCTCTTATCAAAAATCAAATCGAAATGTTACACTTATCATACCAATTCCGAATACATTTTTTTCTTTTAGCCATGTGGTTTCTCCTCATTGTTGTGTTTGGACCAATTCTTGCACAAGTGTCTGCTTTAACGGACCCTTTACCGTCAGCTCTGAGTAAGTGAAAGACTGAATCGCTTTTTAAAACTGTTCTAGCTAGACCGTGAAATTTATTTATGTCTATTGAATAATATTGAACACAAAGTCTAAATTCCAAGCATTACAGGAGACTTTCGACTATCCTCCTTAGTGGGTGAATTGGATCAGTGTCGCCACGTGAGTCCAATACTTACAGTCAAGTCACGTGCGACCGGGGTTGAAAGGAAGGGTTGTACTTGCGGGTGGCTCTGGGCGGCACTCAAGGGACGTTCGGGTAGAGTTTGAACTAAACCTGTCCCTAATTAAGAAGAGAGGCCTCGTTTCATGTCCCTTACTCGTTCCATGTTAATTACAAAGTTAAGTAATTTTTCAAACTAATGTACGGGAGTTTGTCGAAAACACTACTGTTAGTACCACAATAAGTTCTATTGGATATTACCGCTGCTGACGGTCTAGCATCCAATCCATGCACTCTTTAGATGGCTCATGCGGCTTCAAAAAACTGTGATAAACTCATACTGTTAATTTTTATTCCTACTATTTATACCTTTTAACGTATCTTTTGCCTTGTATTGTTTTCTGCCTTTGTTATTTTATCACAGTCGAGCCATTTTCAACGTCAATTCGCTGTCCTCCAACAAAGCAATTCCACTGGACACGATCAGACACCTCTGGACTTGATATCGTTTTTTATTACACATGTGGTTCGGCATGTAAGTGATTAACTGAAATACAAATAACAGTTTCAAGTCCCTATAAATGATGAAGTCTCTTCACACCGTTTTGATCATGTCCAAAAACGCATAGCTGTTCTGATCTACATTTTTGGACACATAGTCTGTAAGGTGTTGCCGTCTATTTAGAGAAGAGTACTCACAATAATTTCGCACTGACGTCATTTCCATTCGCCATTTTAACCTGGCCATGGCTGTTCAAAAGAAGCGCTATTCATTGGGTGAATCTCTATCCTAGAGATAAGTATTGGGAAAACCAATATTGCATCATCTAGTGGATAGAGATTTGGACATCGTTATCCACCATTTTACCAACTGGCGCAGTTTTCCAAAATTGTAAACCATTTTTAGAAAAAACATAAAGTAATAAATTCGGTCCTCACACAGAGACACCAAACGATATCTCTATATTTCTCTTACTTAAAAGTGCAATAACGTCGTTGTCATGACAACTTTTTTTGAAGTGGAACACAAATGACGAAGAAGGTTTTCATCGATATTTATTTGTTACACAAATGTTTCCGGAATAGGCCATTTGCCGAATGGTGTCTTTTTGCTACTAAGAGCAGAATTCATTTCGTTTTTCTTTCATATTTAAATTCAGTAACCCCAGTGAGGTTTAAATAACAAAAACCAGAAAAAAAGCCCTGAAGGATTCTGGTTGTAGCAATTAATGACTTCATCATGCAAACGGCATATTGCGGATTTCATCTTTTCATGCTCAAAAATCTAAAGTTATGAAACGGTTATAGCTTCAGAAAGATATCTGTCACGCCATTTGTTTTCAGAATTAATTGACCTAATCTTCAAATTAAGCCCGTATAAAAACCAAAATGTGACCCGTTAAAGGGTCGTTAAAGGAATCTATTTTAGTCCCCGTGTTGGCGCTTTCAAATTGTTTAATGAAACATTTACTTACGTTTATTAGCAGAAGAAATGTCACAAACTCTGCACTGCACAAATGGCTACAAGGCTCAGTACAGAAAGGATCTAATTCCAGATGCTATGAAGAAGGCAGCCATTCCCATGGCCTTGAAGAGAGGTTTTATATCAAATGAAAATCAAGAGCCAGCCTTTGGGCTCTTTTCAACGGGGCCCGATTACAGTTTGAAAAACGGAGCAGTAGTTGTATTTGCATGCTCGAACCCAAAGTAAGCATTTTGGTAAAGTGTTATGTAAGCAGGCAGTCAGTAAGTGTCATAAAAAACGTTGGGTTGGAAAGTTAAATTGAACGATTTTCTCTTGCGCGTATAGATAATCAGTAAGTATCATTAGTGGAGTCACATTACAAGTTATTATGAAAAAAAGACCCCAAATAACACAAATCAAATGAAAGAACACTTTCCTTTTATTTCAAGATCAATTTAATTTAACGTCACTTTGCTTTCTTTACAGCAAATAAACCATGGCATGCGTGAAAAGAGCACTCAAAGGGACATTATACTACGCGTAGGACTTAAGCGTCTAAACGGCTTTGGATGTTTGAACTGTTTCAACTAATCTTCTGTGTCCGGAAAACAGGAAAACAACTCACATTCACGCCGAATCTTGTAGACTGTGGATCGAATTTGTGACTCTTTTTCCCATTTTTTGCTTCGGCGACAACGGGAAAGAAAAAACCCCCAAAGATATTGGTTATCACTTGCGCTTATCTTTTACTGGACTTAGGTGCTAAGAATAAGCAATTAAATGATACTGAATTACTGAATGAGGAAAAATTGATAAATATATAAATTAATAAATAAACAACTTAACCAATACTCTGTTACGTCATCAGCCTCCTTATCATTATAAGCACATTTCCATTAAATGATAGTGGTGAATTACTGCAAAATTTGATTTCAGATATGAAAGCATAAAAAAACCAATCCAGTTTTATTCTTTTTGCCCAGAATTGATTATTGGATGCTCTAAAAATAATAGAGAAAATTATCTGAGAAAATGCTTTTGAACAAATGAAGAAGAAACCAGGATTAAAATTTAACCCCGGGTTAGCTCTAATCGGCATTTGAACAACTGGGCTCTGGGCTGCGGAGTTCAAGGAATCCAGAATCCCGTTAACGATTGAGCTCCGAAATCTAAGTCAGCCACTGATAAGGAATCCTTTGAAATCCGGCATCCCCAGCGTGAGATTCAGACTCCAGGACTGCCTTGGATTACCTTACCATACATACAATTCGTACACAGAACTTTGTCGGAAGTAAACAACAGTTAAGACGACAATATGCCATTATCCTTAACAATTGGTTCATGCGTCAGAGTGCGTATGTCGAGATAGTGAGCTTACGCAGGAAAGAAGACTGCAAACCTTGTGTGACAAGCGTGACAATGATTTTGTCTGATAAACTTTTCCGCCGAACTTCACCCTCCTTCAAACACAGGGGCGTAGCCAGGATTTCTGGGAGGGGGGGTTCCAAATTAGTTCCAACGAAAACGGTTGTTCTAAAATCCTTACATTACGTGCGTACAAGACTTTGGCGTTTACGCTACGCAAACAGAAGACGCCTTAGTTGCGTGAACTTGTTTATCACTTCCTCGATATTTATGTCTCGGTGGTAATCGATGTTCATCAACGCCAGTCCAGACTCTCGCTCGCTTGACATGGTCGACCTCAGGTATGTTTTTAACCTTCTTAGTGTACTGAATGAGCGCTCACATTCAGCTGACGTTATCGGCAACGTGCACAAAATGCGGATCAAGGTGTGGATGTTAGGAAAGAACTCTCGATTGCATGCTGCGAGTGTCTGAACTGCACTGGTGGGAAGGTCCGCATCCTCAGGGCTGCACCACTTTCTCTTCCATCGCAGGAGCTCAACATCAACCACATGAGGAGATGTGGTGGATGAGGTCGTTCCCATAAAACTCCAGCGCTGCTTGAATGTCAGGATTTCTGTCTCCGACGGCTACCAGCTTAGGAAGAAGATTAAAGAGGCTGGACAAGACAGCATCATTAGTAGGATTGAAGTATGTTTTCATCTCTGATTGTAGATGGTCTAGAATGGGAATAGCAACTGCCCTCTTATAGTAATCAGATGGTGTCTGGGCTGGTACATTGTCGCGATGCTGCTGCTGATTGGTCCGGCGCGGGATGGAAGGCACAACATCTACATTTACCGCGGTAGTGACCGCCAGATCGAACCACTAGGTCCAGATGTCTTCGATGTTGTCTCGGATGTCCTGGAGATCGTCCGTGACATTATTACTGTTAGTGTACGCCTCGTAGACATCTAGATCTCTCTTCTGAAGTTTTACACTCAGGAGTTTCAGGACGGAAAGGCATTTCATTGCCGTCAACAAGGTGATTAGAAAAGAAAAACTTTAAATGGTGTTCGCAAGTCCACTCGCTTTATTCTTGGTGTCTGTGTCCCAGCTCCATGCTGCGTCGCCATATTGGCCAGCAAATAGACGTTCATTTACCATTACCTCAAGCGCTTGCATGATACACGAGAAGAGGGCGAAGAAAACCTCGTAAGCTTGGTGTCTCCCCACCCATCGCGTCTTGCACATGTTCTTTAATGTTGTTTTCTTCGCGTCCGTCCCAACTCTGCTCATGTCTCCGAAAATGCAAGTGAAACGCAAATAGATACAACAATGACGTTCACTGTACTTATTGTAAACATAGAACAAAACGAAGAATTTCAGGAATCATTACTACAGTTAAAGCAGTTTGGTCATTGTCTACGTAACATTTTTTTAACCTCACAGTTATGTTTTTTCTTGAAACTGAGAGGAAGTTTACTCACGTCGCTTAAGATGACCCTCAAAAATATTGTAAAATCCACATTGAGGTGCCGGAAAACTATTAATTCACCGAAGAATTATTTTTGAGAGAAATAAACTTTGTAAAGAAGGATCTGCACACGGCATAGTTCGGACAGCTCGCGAAGATGACAACAACAACAACAACAGTGAACACTCACCTCTTTTCCCTACATACAATCGGTTAACAAATTCAAAAGTTTCCTCTTAAATATATTTACCCTATAAAACACATGGTAAACGCTTTATCGTGTACTGTTGAGTTATGGATACACTTCGTAGACGTCTTAGGAGGATTGCTAAGCTCACAAGAACTCGGAGAAAATTTTATTGACGTCATCAGCGTGCTCAATGGGAATATGCAGCACGCTGGCGCTATTGAATTTAATTAGGCGAATATTCCAGCTATGTTATAAACTCTGTTATATCACAGATATAGGTGATTCGTCTGAGGTTGTTGGTGTAGGAGTGACGTAGGCTGACAAAGGATGCACTTTGCGCTCTGCTCAGCATCCCTAGACTAGACGACTATAGCGACATAGAGTTTAATACTGCAATACCTGAATGTTATGGCTGCAGTGACCTGCAATGCTATCAAAAGTATGGTGAGACATTAACATCCTTTTGTGTGGAGATCCTAACTTCTTAGTCTTTGTACGACAATACGGTAACTTGACGATTTGCTAAGGAACTAATCGTCAGCACGTCCATTGAAGTCGTTTCTCCTTACAACCAAATTCTGGTATTCATTCCGTTGAATTCTTGGCCGATTCAATTACCCTTACGTAAAAGACGAAAAATGCTGGTTAGAAGTAAATGAATGTGCTTCTTGTCTGGATGTAAGAAACTTATTGAATGACAGTAGTAGGGTTGATTTGTTCTCAGGCTCAAAGGCTGCCATGTAACTTGCCTCTGTATACAAAACAGTTAAGCAGGACTTTATTTGCATCCCACTTCCGAGATAGTTATTTTCTGAAATCTATCGATCTCTCCGATAAAAGAAAACTGATTTTATAACTTCGTCCTCAGGTCTTTTCCCCTTAGAAAATGGGGAGTGGGGGGGGGGGGGGGGGGGAAAAAACAAAGTTTTTTTTTTCATGCCGGGCGCGTGTTCTCCTGTGAAAAAAGCTTGTCCTCCCTTTTCCTAAACCCCCAAAAATATTAAAAATTTCTTTTCTTGAGGTATATTTAAGAAGAGTCTTTTCCGCTCTACATAAATAAAGACTTTGTGAGTTAAAAATACACCTAGTAAAATAAGTTTTTTATTCCCCGAGCCTGTGTTTTGTTAATTTCTTATTTTACTCTCTGTTCACCGATAAAAGTAAAACGTATATTGCAACTGCGTTGCGAGTTTTCTCTCGCCCATAAATGGAGGGGGGGGGGGGGGGGGGGAGGAAATAGAAAGCTGATTTTATAACGTCAGGGCCGGAATCTCCTTTGTAAAAATTGTGGACTCCCATTCTCAAAACCCCCAAAAGCTTTCAAAATCTCTTCTTGTGAGAGGTAATTAATGAAACGATTTTCACTTCCTTAAAGATACCAGTTTTGTTTACTTGTAAAAAAAGCACATTAAATGCCGCTGAGAACTGTGAAAGAAGGTAGCCTGGCCAGGCAAGTGGACAGCGCGTCGACTCGGTACCACTACACAACCTATAAGGTACGAAGGACTCTCCGGTGTCAGTTAATGGGAGCTCGGCACCTTTTTTTCTGTTCAACTTCTACGCTTTCTATTACAAAGTGTATAAGATCTGCACACATAGTTATTAGCAGATTATGCTGTGAAAGTATCGAGTAGTTTCGATGCAATTCTTTATGTCTTTAAATACATTAGACAAAAGCTAAGCCAAGGTACTCAAGAAGCGCCGAAGCTTGTCCAAAACTGACATTGCGAAATGAACTCATATGACGACTGAATGGTTCGTGATGTGATCTGACCGAATAGTAATTGTCGAACATCAACTTCGTTGGGGACTTTTCAGAGCCTCTGCACCTACCTATTGAAATAATGTTTGTTTCTTGAGTACTTACAAGACAAACTTTTGTATAAGAAACTAGCGATGAAAAAAAAATTGAGTTAATTGACTTATGCTAGTCAGTAGAGTAATAAGTTACAAAATTGGCGTTAACTAAGTAAAGTGTCGTTCCTGATTATTACAATCAATTGAGTGTCCTGGTACAAATTCAATTGCAAATTAAGTAAGTGTTATGTCTTTCTTGTGTTATCAAAAACAGCACTGAAAAAAGGCAGAAAAATTTAATCTTGTACTATCAAATTTGTTATTTAACTGTGCGCTAAGTCTTTTAGACATCCAAAGTGGAACGTTCACCGAGCTGAACTCAAGCAAGCTTAAGTTGTTCTACTGGTCGCAATTAACGCCTTGCCGGTTGAATTCAAGTGGCTCTTGGCCACGCTCTAGTTAAAATAAGTCCAACTTGATAACGTTGAAAAAAAAAAACAGCGTCAGTTTGAAACGACGTATTGGCCAAGAAACTGAAAATTGTTCTCCAATGAGATCTAAGCATAAATGAAAATGTTAAGCTGACTGATTCCAATTCTACTTCCATCTAAGACGCACGGAAAATTAATAAGGTCTTATTAACTGTCACCAAACTGGTACCAGCCATGACCTGGCTCTAGAGACAATGGCCGTACTTGTAAATGAAACAAATCAGTTTCCCAATTCATTGAATAAACTCCCTTGCAACTCTCTTGCCAATTTAGTCTTTGTGATATTATTTCACTGAGTCGTTCTGCCAGAAAAAATAGTGGATTAAGCTGAAAATGTTAACGAGAGGAAAATCTGCTGTCGCAGTCAAGAGGAATTGTTCATTTCACGGCTTTGCACGTTTAGCTCTTCAAATGCATGAAAGTAAGAAGAGAGCTGTAATAGTCGCCGTTTAAATGGGGTATCTCGCTTCGTCCGTTTTTACTGCAAAAAGGGCAAATTTTATCTCGACTAAAGTTTCATCGCCTGACTCGCATTGATATCAGTAGTCATGCTTAGCAGGCCCATCTTTGATTACAAAATACGATTACGTTATTCACTGTTGAGGCGTTCGGTGCATAATTTATTGCCAGTCGAGCAGATACACCGCGACTAGGAAAGGTCACTTTGGGGCAATAGTGAAACTGTAGAAATATTGCCGCTACACCCCGGGGTAAGTAACAAACTGAGATGGGGCGCGATGGATCGAGAAGGAAACGAAACGATGAAGAATCTCAAATGAACGCCCAGGAATCTTTTTGGGGTTGTGGAGCGCGGTGTATGGGGATTCTTGGTGTTTTGACCGTCATTTTAGTGGTGGCTGTCATTCATGTGGCAATCAGCGATGAGCGCAAGACGTATTTCGATGAACTAGTCAGTACGGGAGGTGCTATTCGCTCGGCACGTGATGTTCATAGCGATCTCAAGGATTATCCCGTGAAGATTTGTCAGACTGAGGATTGCAAAAAAGTGGCAAAATACATAAACGCTTCCATGAATCATTCCATAGACCCATGTGAAGACTTTTTCGATTACGTTTGCGGGGGCTGGATCAAAGCCAATCCCATTCCCAAGAGTTCCTCGACCTATTCCACATTTGCTAAGCTCAATGGGCATGTAGAAAGAAATCTGAGACGCATTTTGGAGAAGAGAATAACATCTTCAAGTAAGAGGCTCTTCCAGCTGCCAAAGAAGTTTTATGACTCCTGCATGGATCTCAAAACTATTGACAAAATAGGGGATAAGCCATTACGGGACTTGATTCATGAAATTGGCTCCTGGAGCATTGATAGCAATTCAGGCTGGAATGAGGAAAGTTGGAACCTCGAGGGAACTTTGTTGAAAATTCATAAGCACTATACGTCCGCTGGCGGGCCTTTGTTTTCTGTTCACATTAGTGACGATCCAATAAACAACACCAGACACATAATTGAGGTAAGTGCCCTTCAATCAAAGTCATGGTGTGATTGCTAGAAGGCTTTCACTTTCCACTCGATGCTTGTGAAACCAATGGAAGATTCCAAATTAGAGCAGTCTGTCTGAATCGCATCAACGGCTCTTGTGGGAGTCCTATTTAGGCCCTTCTCATGTTTATTATTAAAACAAGCAATTCGTGTACTTATTTAATTGTTTAACGAAATTAAATGAAAATTCAGACCTTGATGGAAAGAACGTTTAAAAACGACAGAGTTCTACCATTATCAATATTGTAAATTATGATTTTTCGTATGGAAAGTAGGACATTTCCTGAATTAGCAATTTCCGAGACCGTTTGATTCTATTCTGTTAACTTAAGAGGCGGCATATAACCTGTTACATCTGGCTTGGACTACCTGCCGTTTGTTTCAGAAATGCTACAGATAAAAGATGAATTTGTTTTCACACAATAAACGTTCACCAAAGCCTGCCCAACATTCCCAAAGAAATCCAACAGTTGACTTTCCTTGTTAAAATCTGAAAAAAGGGTCAAGTAAACATCCTTCCAAGGGTTTTTATGTAAATGGTAAGGTTTTAGAAATTTATCCATTGACAATAAAGTTAGAGCTGCGTGACATGTTTTCATAACCGTCTTTGGGCGTGAAGAAACATATCATGGCTAACAGCAAGTGAGAATACGAAGACACGATGATACGGCCGGGGTGAACCTCTCGCACACTATGCCAATAGGGCAAGCTCCTTCCAGGACGGAAGCCTCCAAGGAGTAGTAACATGTGCCATTACGGATTCACACCATGCTTGAAGTGGGGGGAGGGAGAAGCGTTGCCTTGACGTGATCTATGTGTTGGACTCGCAACCCGTCGATCCCGAGTTCGAGTTCTGCTGTGATCACTGGCTGCATTTTTCTTTGGTTGTTCAATACTTCGGCCACATTTGGAAATAGCCAACTGGCAGCGGCCTAATACATGTTGGAATTTTTCACCAAGCTGTGTTTCCTTGAGATTATTTTTCTTTTGATTCATCGAGTGGAGCCCAGTGTCAAATTGGTAGAAAAGCTGAAAGCACTTTCAGGGAAACAATGACTTATAATTCAATTATTATTTTGCAAACATATCTCCTGAGCGTAGAATTCTTAGAGGGAAGTATGGGCAACGAGGCTTGAATCAGAAATGATTAATCTTCAATTTTGAGAAATAATGTCTGATATAGAAATGTCCTTCCAACATTTGAGTCCCTGAAAAAAATCCCATTGGATGACCATCAAAATGAAACCTTACTATAAGTTGTTTCATTTGCAAGATGACATTCAGCAATGTTTCTCTAGTTTCGATTATGGGCAGTATTTATTCAGTTTGTTCCTTTTCCTCGTTACTTTGCTTGAGATTCTGTTCAACGCCAATCTTTCTTGTGAATCAGAGGCCCTTGGTTGAGATCAGCGTTTGCGGCACAATCAAGACTCGTACTCTTTTTGCTTAACTTTCATCTGGGCGTTATCGTCATGGTTCTCATGGTAAAAGCGCTGGCAACTGGATAATGATCATTTGAAAGTGTTGTATGTTTGTCTGAAACGTGTAATTTTTATCGACCAGGTAGACCAGTCTGGGCCAAGTCTATCCCGAGAAGTGTACTTTGACAGTCCAAAGGTAAGAGAAAACCTTTATCAGGGTTGTCATTCTTCAAACGTGTCAGCCGAGTAAATCGTGTTTAAGGGCTAAATGTCACAAGGATATTGCTGTTTAGGTCAATTCTGTACTGAAATCATTACTTAGTGCCTTCAACTGTACAAGAAAAGCTCCTGTAGAGATATAAGAAAATATCAGACAAATTTGGTTACTCTAGATACAACGTAGACTCTGGTTGGGCACAACGATAATAAGCACACCCTCAATACCACGTGTAAAAAGTGACACAATCTTAGGAGGCAGCGTGACCGAGTGGTCAGCGGGACGAACTCACGATCTGGCGGTGCCATGGGCTCGAGTACCGCGCGCCTGACCACTTGCTTGATTTGCTCCTCGTTCTTCCCGAGATACAACTTAGACTTAGGTTGGGCAAAACGATAATAAGCACACCCTGAATACCACGTATAAAAGTGACATAATCTTAGGAGGCAGCGTGACCGAGTGGTCAGAGCGACGAACTCACGATCTGGCGGTCCCGTGGGCTCGAGTGACGCGCGCTCTGACCACTTGCTGGATTTGCTCCTCGTTCTTCCCTAGTTCAAATCCTCAGTGATGTAGGTAAATAGGTAGCCAACTGGTTGCATCCTAACACTTTGGATTTTTACTCTTCTTTTGTTCCATCTGAATAATCTTTTTCTACTTGCGTGGAGTACCTGTAAACTAACTGGAAAGCTATAGTGACTTCCACAATAATAGGCAAACCTTAATTTATTCATGAAATTAATTTCAAGATCATAAAAGCGTACAAGCAGTTTATTACCGCGGTTGGAAAACTCCTCGGAGGTGATGAAAAGATGGAGAAACGTGCTGAAGAGATTGTAGCCTTTGAAACAAAACTGGCCAACGTAAGTATAAATCGCTTGCGGAGAAAAGAAATCAATATTTAATATTTGATTTAGTGCTAAAAATAACAGGAATTTGCTGGGTATGTGCCGCTGGCTTCTTAGAACCCCTAGCCATTATAATCTTTTCTGTGGCAAGTTATAGACCCCATATTAGTCACTTTTATGAAAATGTAATTTTTGTGATCCCAACTCCGCCACTTTCGGTTTAGGAATCTACTTTATAAAGCCCTTTAACTAGTGATCCTGAAATGAATTGCCACATTTGTAAAACTTAATGTAGTAAAAATCTGTCCTTTTTTGAATCCCTACCAACCTGTGTTTTCTCACCCCTAAAATCCCGAAAATATGCGACCCCATTCTTGTAATTCTATTGAAAATGCAACCCCATTACAGTCAATCCAGTCGTGAAAATGCGATCCCATCCAGCGGCACATTCCCATTAAATTATTACTAGGAAGTACCCCCCGGGCGTTTTCACATGACGTCACTTCCGCCATATTGAAGTCCACAAACAATGAAATGGCGGCCATGTTGGTGTTCCAAACCAGTCCCGCGGCAGTGGAACATTTTCTTACATTGTTCTAATAAATTTGCATATAGTGGCCACCTGAGTGAAAAGGCTCTTTATGTAAGTAGCATTGTACAGTAGTTAGAAAAAAGTTTCTAAGCTGACTATTGCCCAAAATGTAAGTTGGGATAGTGCGTTGACAGTCTTCTGCTTAAAGGCTTAAATAAGCATAAACATAAGAATATCAAGAAATTCTGTTCTTCGATATTCAGAGTCGCAAGAAAGCATATGCTCAAGCACATGCTCAGGCGCATTCACCTTCTTAGAGCAGCAACCCTTTTTGTCAACGCCACGCAGAGAGATCGCGGCTATGGGAACGAAAATGGCACCTAAGCGACCATGGAAGGAATTCCTTGACGAAATCTGCGCTATTTACTTTTGCCATCAATGGAATTATTACTAGCAGTGCAATATTTTCATGCGTCTTAATTCTCCTGCGTATTCTACCACATGCTAATACTTATCGCTAGTGAGAACACCGTTGTACTTTTGTTTGTGCTTATTTTACCGAGTCGACAGTTAACAATGTACAGTCATCTGATTACGTCGACGCTTAAATGAAGCGTTTTGCGTCGTTCTAAGTGATACATTTATGCTCGCCTCAGACCAGAACTCGTAATAATGTCTAACACTGGAATCATTACCATGTTTAGAATGTTACGTCACTTGTGTAAACGATTTTTTCTTAATATTTTTAGATCAGTGTTCCTGACGCAGACAAGACTGACTCCTGGTTCAACCGGTTGAATATTTCTTCATTAGCAAAAAAAGCGCCAGGGGTAAGATTCACTGATCGATTTGAATCGTTTGGTAAAGAACAGCTCCAAAAATTTTATTTAAGGCCATTCCTTTGAAATAGAACTTGCGGTTAAATTTTTGTAAAGCTTTACTAATTGGTTTTGTTGAATATACTTACATTTTGCAATAGGATCGGAGGTTCCCCATACTCGTTTAGGAGCAACTTTGTGAGCAATGATTCCTTAAAATCTCCAATATGATTATACCTATGAGTATTTGTTTTGAACACGTTCCCGAAGTTTGTTTCTTTTTCTGCTGCACTTGGACTATAATTATTCTGGGGAAAGAAAGTCACTGCTCACTTTTAAAAAGAAAGGAAAACAATGCTAGTTCATCACACTCGTTTACCTCTTTGAATAGCTCGAGCCCTAAGGCAAAAGTCACCATGTTCACGCGCTTATCTCGCGTGAAATTCTGCCCAGTAAGTTAGTATGCACAATGCAATACTAAGCAATAACCCTAATATTCGCTTCTTTTACCTTATAGTATCCATGGATGCATCATTTTTCTTCAATATTTTCTAACGAGACCCTTACAGGGGATGAAGAGATCATTGTACCCGCTCTTCCTTACCTTCAAAAGATGTCCAAGATCATCGCAGAAACACCCAAACGGTAAGAGTAACATTTGTATATCCAAGTTCCTTGATGATAAACTCATTTGCCATTTGACGGCGGATAATTCAGTCGCCCTAGCATTTTGCATTTTGGAAATTCAATCAAACAAAGAGACATTCGCGCTATTCTTAAGATATGATGAAATCCCATTCTTTTCTCACTCGTATCATCATCATCATCATCATCATCATCATTGCAATCGTAATCGTAATCAACATCGCCGTCATTTTAATCATCATCATCATCATCGTCATCGTGATTTTCATCTTTATCATGACTACGAACACCAAATCATTGTTCTCATCACTGACATTTTCATCATCATCATCATCATCATCATCAACAACAACAACAGCAACATATTATCATCCTTGTTGTTGTCTCCATTATCACGTTAAGCATTCTCTAATGAAGATGTTGAAATGCATCCCCCTCTTGTTCTCTCTTACCTTTGTAAGGTAAAATAACCCAACAGTAAAATAATAAAGTACATACTGATAGACTGACTGATATGTTATTCACCGATATTTAGGGACTACTACTGGTACTCTCATTTGTTTTCACGTGAACTACCTAGGGGTTTTAGCTTCGATTAAGGGCGCTTTTGACTTTGGCTTATTTTGGAACAGTTACTTGACATTAACTAGGACAAAGAGCGGAAGACAAGAAGCACGAGTTAAAAGAGTATATTTTTCTCATATGGTGTAGTTTGTATTGTTTCCAGGATCCTTGCAAACTATATAGTGTGGAATGTCATTCAAGACGAAGTCTCGTTCCTTTCTAAGCCCTACCGTGACGCCCGGACACATTATCGAGAGCGGGTACTGGGTTCCAAGGGTCAGAAGAAGCGCTGGAAAACATGTGTGACATTCACCAATGAACTACTGGGGGACGTTTTGGGATCAGCTTACGTGGAGCATCATTTCAGCAAAGGAAGCAAAAAGATGGTAAGTAACGCACGATAATGAGCCATTTAGCTTATTTTCCAAAGCGACTCCTTGTGCTTACAGCTGTGAGTCTTTTACTACGATTTTTTACTACAACTGCCATAATATATTTTTTCCACTGCTCTGTCCACTCAATCCCGGTGACGTTTGTTAACAACCTTAATCTACATAAGAAGATAACAAAAGAAATGAAAGTGCAATGGTTGCACTGTTAGTTTTTTAATTGGCTTCTTGACAGAAGAGGTCTATTTTGCGGTAACGTTTACAAAAATCAATCCAGCTAGATATATAATATATTTATATTTTTCCACATCTTGCAATATTGTGTCTATCATGTCTAATTCCCGTTTGGTTTCCAATCACTAGGCAGAAGATATGATCATAGAGGTCCGAAATGCTTTCAAAGATAACGTTAACTCCATTCCCTGGATGGACAACCTTACCAAGATGGCGGTCATGGAAAAGGTGCTAATCGGTCTTGTTACTAAAACTATCATAGCATTTATATAAAATGGAAAACGGATATAATGCTTCCTTTCTTGGGACAAGGTTTCCTGCAAGTTAACTGGTGTGAAGCCATGAATTGTCTTAAGCTATGCAGGCGCGTAATTAGGATAAATACTGACCGATTTCCTAAATGAGGGCCGAAGGCGCAAGAACTATCTAGCGGGGTCTGGGAGGCAGGCTCCCCAAGAAATGCCAGTTTGGTTTTTAACTCTTAAAGTCCCCTTTTCTGGGTTTTCGAGCCATTCGGACAGGATATTGCCCAGGTTTCAACTTGGTAAGCGTTTTTTATAATTAAAAATATTTTTATTACGAAAAATCTGACCGATTTCCGTAAACCGCTTGTGAATACGCGCCTACTATGTCTGAACAAAACCTGAAAGCTTTTTGTACCGACTTGAAAATTTGTCTGGTACATCATGAACGGCATCGGCTCAGACCTAGAATATGTCGACTACGGCCACACACATAAAACATCGAACAGGTGCGGTTTACCGAGGGGTTTGGTGCACTAAATCCCAATCCTCACTCCTTAATAGTTATTTCCATCTCAGTGGGTACCTAGTCTAGCTCTTACTGTTTAATTCCGCTACTGTGCGAATACCTACGCCTGTTCACGCCGCGACAAAGAGTAGCAGAAACCCAGCCGATATATGACGCTCCACTTTCGAGATCGGCGCGACGCGTTACAGAAGTCCCGCCGAAATCACCGTTTTTAAGCCTGGTTTTCACTAGCGCATAAGCATAAACGTAAGCATAAGCGCACCACATGTGTAAGGAAGTGGAAACTGGGTCGACGTAAGCTAAAGCATAAGCACAAGAAAAACGGACAAGTTCGTTCTTCTTGTGCTTGTGCTTATGCTTATGTCGTAACTTTGACTAGTGAAAACTGGGTCGACATAAGCACAGGCATAAGCACAAGGCCGTGGACCAATCATAGGTCACTTTGACCCAGACCTCATCCAAACATATCAAAAGTAATATGGCGGACGCCTCGTCTGCCATCTTGTTTGTCATCGGGTTGAGGAGAGCTGGTATCGAGAATTGAGTCAAATATGCCATTCTGTGCGTGCGTATGTACTTATGCTTAATTATGCTCATGCAGTAGTGAAAACCAGGCTTTAAGTGTAAACAGAAGCTTTATCCGGTATGGTTTTCGTGTTGGAGCTGGAGCTATGCGGTATTGTTGAACATAGCCATACGTCCTGTTTGACATTCAAGTGGTTCCCATGAACGCACCTAGTGGCATTCTGATCTCCATTAAGGGAAATAAAACAGTTTCCTTGGTTCAGCAGCAGCCTTGATACAGTAAGCCATGAAAGCCATTAAAGGTATTATTCATCGTGGTATGCGTTCCATACCAGGTTTACAACAGTTTCATAATTTACCAGGATTTGTGTGGAAAACCACTCAAACATGACTGGGCGGCAAGAGTTGTTTTTCCCAAAAATCTTCGTAATTTTCGGCGCTTGTTGGTATCGCTACTTTTGAAATATACGGCTAAAAAAATTTGCAGATTACCTAGTTTAATATGCTTTTCCAGTTCCTGCTAAAATCATGTTTCCAAACGAATTGCTCTCTTGTTTGTTTATAGTGACCAACTATTACAAAAAGGCCTATTATTATTGTTATTCTTCTTATTGTTCTTGTTATTTAAAATAATAATTTTAGGCAGATGCTATACACGATGAAGTTGGGTTTCCACACTATTTAGTTGACAAGAAGAAATTCAAGAAGAGGTTCAAAAAGTATGATAATGTAAGTGCTGACAAATCCTTATATGACTGTTGCAAAGACACAACGTTATAACGACAAAATTCTTTATGATTAACAATGTTACCATTATAATTAATTAGCAACACTAATGGTTCAATATAATAACAGTAAGTAAGTGAAAAACGTGCTCTTTTCTATGATTTTTCTCGGTCAGTTGTTGACACATAGATATGCCCCAAGTGAATGAAAAGGGAACGCCTTCGAAGTACAAGCCTAGCATCTCGCCTTAAAAAAGGCTCGGCATAGCTACGTCCCGGGGGAGGGGGGGGACTCCCGATATGAAAGGGGTGGGGATGCTCGTCGTCTCGCTTAGTGGTACAAATTTCGGATTTTGGTCTCACTTAGGGTGTTCTGGGTAAAACGCCATCATATTTAGCCATGAAGGTCTCGTTTAGGGTTGCACGCGAAAAAATATAAAATATAAATATTGTCTGTGTTTTAACATGGTCTTTTTTAGGGGTCAAAAAAAGCTTGGGCGCCGCCCAGATCGGTCTCCTTTACGGGTTTAATTCAAAATTTCCGACCAGCAACCCCACCCCTTTCATATGCCGGGTCCCACCCTGGGAGCCACGTCTGAGAATGAATTTACTCGAATGATAATCAATTACTTTTGGTCCAATTTAGGTGGATATAAAGGACAACAGTCTTTTCCAAAACAGAATCCAAATCCTAAAAATGGCGCACAAAAGGATGCTTGCTAAGCTAAGAAAGCCTGTAGACAAAGAAGAGTGAGTCATTTTCTTACATTACTTAAAACCGTTTGTAATTCTATTAATGTACTGCTCTATAAATAGTAAATCCTTATCCTTGGCGGCCGAAAATTCAAACTGTTTGGGTTGATTTAATTCGGTGGCAGCACCATTCAGCGGTGAAGGTATACTCAAGCAAGTCAAACGCTTTGCAATTTTTAATTTGAGGAGTTATATTTCAATTGGTCATCATTTTGGGAAAAACCGTATTTGAAGTCAAAGATGTGGAGCAAGTATGATTCCCTTGGAGAACTGTATTTGAGCGATCACCGATAGAGCGATTTTCGTATGACCTTGAAATGAAAACGTGCGAACAAAACAGAAACAACAAACGAAGGAAATAGAGCGATTTGATTGGTTTATCGAACAGATACAAACGCGGGTGGCTTTTGGTTGGTTAAGCGAACGTTCGGGTGAAAACACTTCATGCCCGAGAACTTTCTAGAAATCAATGGATACTTCGCTTTGACGTCATACTGCAACACGATTGGCCAATCGAACAATGTCTTCTCCATGTTAGGGTTTTCTTTGGCGGGAAAACGAAGAGTCCATGTTTTGATCTTTTCATCCATTGGCTCATGAAACAGATGACGAACTCTTACCGAAACCATTTTTCAAGGTCATACGAAAATCGCTCTACTGAGCCCGCTTCTGGAAATAGAACTTGACAAATGCTCTTTTTCTCAAAATCTGCAATTCTTACCTTACTAGGTGGCCAATGGATCCACAAACTATCAACGCAATGTACAGCTTCAATGAGAATGAAATTAGTGAGTACACCTTATCATGTTTTATGCTTCATAATCATTGAATTCAGCGAACAAAAAATCATTTACCATTCTCATTGGATTTAAATATCTTGGAACAATGTGGTGGGATATTTTAAAACACAATTTACTCTTTCTACACCCCCTCATTACCCAAGTTCAAGTGTCCTCTCATTTTCTAGCTGTGGCATTTCGTCGGGCAATTTGATCGCTTATACTCTTTCATTTGACACTCACTATCTAGTATTTAACGACTGCAATCGTTTCTTTTAGTGTTTTTCAGTACAATACACTCAGTGATCCGAGGCATATTCTCGAAGCATTTTTGGAAAAAAATCAAAACATGTACAGCCGCCTCCAAGCCAAATTCCAATGAACGATTCTCAAAATTTTACTAAGATAGTAAAATATACTTTTACTTGTCTTATTATTTCATTTTATTTTTAAGTTATTCCAGCTGCAATTCTTCAACCGCCTTTTTTCTACGCCAAAGGAAGTCCAAGGTGAAGTTAATTTATAGGGAGCTTAAGCAGTGACGTTTTTGAGAGACACGTCAACCGGAAGTGAGCCTTTTTCTCTTTTAATAAGCCTTGAATCCACCATATTTGTATTGTCAAGTGTCTTATTCTTATAGAGAGGATTTGCCCAAAAATTTCACGGCTCAAGAGTGCAAAAATTCCACTTCCGGTTGACCTACGCTGTCGCTCAAAAACATCGCTGCTTAGACTCAATGACAAACTGTCTGAGTCATAAATAAATGAATGAAGTGGTTAGTCTTTTCTTGTAGCCGGCTTCATCACTGAGGGAGGGGTGAGATATTTGAAGATCAAATGATCGCCTTATGTGAGGGAACCCAAGACAGTCTTGAACTGTGGAATCCAAGCCATGGATTCCAGATTCCAGGTACTGGATTCTGGATTATTTATCAGTTGAACTTGGATTCCGGATTCCAAAGCCCAGGATTCCGGATTCCACGGGAAAAACAGGCTGCATTCCGTTTCCACAAGCAAACATTTCCAAGACTAAGGAATCTGAACTCTCTTACATTGGGAAAAACTGTGATGATAAAGTAAATAATTCACTTTAAAAAGAATCCAGAAGTCGACATTTCGAGGGCTAGCCTTAATTTCGCGCCAACGAAATGCTAGTGAATTTGATCGTGTTGATAAAAACCAATTTTGGGATAGTCAGAACTACCCCAAGGAGTTTAGAATGGCAAAGAAAGGTATATAATAGTAATGAAAATGATAAGTAACAATAACAATAATCACTCAAAAATTCGTCCATTGCTAATTAATATGGCAAACAATTTTAGAACAGTGTCTCCTGGTAAAGGTATTCATATTTTCGTGAGTCACTGTAAATGTAGTCTTCCGCTTTCGACTTCCCGATTTAAAGTTCTATGCTGTCTTGTTCCCCACCTTCTCAAAAAAGCCACGTGTATTGTCTTGATCGAAATATTGAAATTCTATTGTTGGTTGAGGTGAGAATACGAGATGGTCTTAATACTACATTCACTGCAAAGTCACAATCTGGACTTAGAATTTAGGAAAATTGATAATACTTTAAAGAGAATTGTTTCCTCTTCTTCTTTCCTTCAGGTCATTGAGCTTTGGAGCAATTGGATCAATTCTTGGGCATGAACTTACCCACGGATTTGACAACACAGGTGTTTATAAATGTCTTATGCAAACGCCTCTTGTACCTCGTTAACCGACCACCGCCATGATGGGCTCTAGTAAGCGACCATGTGGAAAACGTTTTGAGGGAGGTCGCGTGCGAAAGCTTTCAGCAAATAATAGCCTTACAAGACAACGAGCTGTCCTCCGTTTTTCCTCAGACCCACGTGCGGTGAACGAAAAAGTAAAACTATGCAAATTAATTATTAAAACCAGAAGACATTGGATCAGAGGCCTTGAGATTAGCCTGCGTACAGACATTTACTATTTCCTTTTCTCTCAAGGAAAAGGGACGTCTGCGTAATGACGTCGCTAATCGTGTTCCGGTTTTCCAAGATCTTGAGAAGGGACTCTGATTGGCCACCTCACAGTGGGCATGGTGCAAACAGATTCTGATTGGCTGCGATAAAAATCTGATCTCATAATGTATGCGGTGATTTTTCAACCTAAATTTAAAAACAACAAAGGAAATAGAAGACGTCTGCACGAAGGTTAACTGAGATTGGTCCTATTTTGTTCTTTGCTTGGGTTTCCACCCTCGTGCCTCGCGGCTTCGCTGCTCGTCCCTCACTCGTGCTCTCGATCTACTATGATTCAAAAGAAAAATAAGATACTACTTGCAGTTTATAGCTTGACCTTGGTTATTCGTTACCATTTTATTCGTCATATACTGATTCCAAATGATTATTATTTGAGGTCAGCCTTGGTTTTAAGCTTATAACTAGTGGACCTAGAGAAACATATTTGTTTTTCCCACAATTTCACCAGTATATTTTCTTGTAGGGAGAAAGTTTAACAAGAATGGGGAACTAACAGCACAATGGTGGTCTCAAGACTCGCTAGATGGGTTCGCAGCAAAGGCAAAATGCGTTGAGAACCAGTATTCTATGTACAAAGTTCGCGACAAATATCCGGTATGTGGTTTATTTTCCTACATAATCAACGTGTTCCTAATTTCCAGCCAGTTGAAGAGGCCTCTTCCCCATCAAAAAACAATAGAAATGTTATAAATGATATCCTATTTCGTTCTTGCTTGCAAGGGAGAGTGTGTACCAAAGGCATATGTCCGTAAGAGATGTTTTGTCCGGAATGATAACATTAGCATTTCTTCAAATTTTTAAAGTAGCAAACTTGCCGTCATTAAGGAATTGCCCGCTTCGAAGCCGTTTCTCTTCCCTTTCGCAAACTTGTTAATATTCTGCCAATCTGTTAGCTGTATCTTTCATTCTCTTCGAAAGCACCGCCAAACACAGCTGAAAGCAATTTTGGAATACATTCAGGAGAAGACGACGAAGAGTACGATTACCTATACCTGGTCTACAGTATTCTATAATCAATTCTTTGTTCTATTTCCCGCGAGATTATTTTAAGACAATACCTGATTGGTCGGATGATTGGAGGAAAGCCTTATTTTTCTTATTTCAGATTAACGGAAAGCTGACTCTTGGTGAAAACATCGCCGACAATGGAGGTTTTAAAGCTTCTCATAGGGTAGGTGCATTCAAATCTAAGAAATTGAATGAGAAAATGGGAAAGAAAGAAAAAAAAGAAAATGGGAATCGTTACAGCATCCCTTCGGATGTATTAATTTGGCAGTAAACTTACAGGATGTGAGCTTTACCAAAAAAATTACTTCATGCAAAATCATCGATAATCATGGAAAATAAAGTTCTAGTGGAAACGAGGAGCGAAGGTTTTCATCATCTTGTATTTTATTGGGTAGAGTATAAAATTGCTAGACTTATCAAAAAAAAATAGTAATTTTTCTACGATGAGTAGCACTAACGTATGAGCAGCACTAACGTGGTATCGGAGTTTATTCAGTTCTAAATTTAAAGTGTGTGACTCATCGCTAAGTTTAACAAAAAAGAAGCCGCGCTGTAGCCACCCGCTATTTTGATATAAAGTTGTTTGAACTTGCATAGGTTGTAAGAAATCGGCTGAATAAGAGTGAGGGCCAAAATTGTCTGCACTTCTTCCTGTTAATCCCTCTTTAATTTCTATTTAATATCTCCGTTGGTCTTCTTTTTTTCGCCAGGCCTACCAAAACTGGTTGACGAAAAACGGCCAGGAATCATGGCGTTTACCAGGCTTGAACGTCTCAAGCGAGCAATTGTTTTTCATAGGATTTGGTCAGGTGATTCCAATTCAAATTCCTTTGTCTAATGTTACCGACATAACAGTTTCATTTTTGAGGTATCAGTTCCGAAAATCTGCCAGACGAGTACAGTTTCTATAGTTGCATCATTTAAAAGTAACACAAGAATCTCTCAATCTTAGACAACAAAGAGACAGCCTAGGACGGCGCCCTTTTTTAAATTCCTTTGAGTGGCTTTAAAAGTCCTGATTCTATGTCTATTCGCAAGTGGTTATTTATATTTTTCATTCCCCAACGGGAGAAAAATAGGGAAAAGCAAGGGAAATAGTTAAAGAGTCTTTTTGGAACGTCAAATGATTTTTATTTCAAACACTCCACCTCAATGGCAGGATAACGCTGAATCTTCCGTTACTCGAACATCACGCTGTTTCTGACAAACAGCTTTCCCTGGTTTTCTTTATCACAATATCAGTCCTCAACTCTCGCGGAAATTGAAATTGTATAACACCTTTAACATAACATCACTCGCTATATTTTAGTAAACCTCTGACTTTCAAAGTAGCTGTACAAGCTAATATCTCCGAGAAAGAGAAAGAAAAAAGAGTAACAATAATCCTAAAAGAAAGGAGATAGAAAAAGAAAAGAATAAATAAGGGAAAATACAGAACTAGGAGAAAAAGAATTTAACTACCTATTACTTGTATATTTGATGAAACGAAATTTTGCCGCACTTTGAATTTGAACTCCTTAGAGAATGTCGTAGACCCCAGGTTCTCAGGGAGTCCTTTCCTACATTGTTGTAGATGCGTACCTAAATGATCTAAATGAATGTAAACCGTCATAATACTAATTTGAATTTTCTATAATCGCAGGCGTATTGTAGTAATAGTCGACCAACTGAGCAATACTTGGCAACTTTAAGTGACAGACATTCAGAGGAAAAGTTTAGGTGAGTTGTGTTGATGCATATTGGCCCTTCAGTGACCTTTCAACCCCCATAATGTATCCAAATAAAAATTCTACAGACGGGAATAGGTTGAAAGAAAATTATAAAAGTTCAAAGCATTCTCGCTTTGCTTGATCATTTGAGACATGGATCACTGCAATATCTAACTATAAATACGTGTATCGCAAAAAATAGCGCTGCTGAAAAGCTAAGAGAAAAGAAAGGGTCAGCTTTGGGTCAAACCGGGGTCATTTGCTCGCCTGAAGTGTTCAACTGAACGAAGACTGTAAGTGTCCTCACTTTAATAAACGATTGAACCAGATATCGGTTAAATTATCAAAGACGGCAAGATCATGATCCGTAGCAGCCCGAAATTTGTGTCAAGGTGGCGGTTTCCTTTGATGGGACACAAATCTGCCAGGGGCAAATATTATGCAGATCATGAATGAGCAAGGATTGTGCCCTATCATCGCACTGTCTCCACAAGGAAACGCCTCCATGGTGACTGTTTTTTTTCCTTTAAGAGAATCACTTGATACAAGAGAAAATAAGAGGCTTTTGTATTCTCTTGCTTGATGTCTTTTTTTTGAAGGTCCGTGTAAAAGAAAAGATGACTAAGAAGTTTTATAGTCTTAGTTTAAACTAGGTTTTGACCTAAAGATCTCACCATGATGTACCCTCTTCGATGAAGTTTTTCAATATTTTTTGGGGTCTTCTTGTGTAAGTAGAACGCTGGTCAGTGTTATCATTGATTTATTAAAAAAGGTCATTGCATTGATCAGTCTGATTTGCTCAGTAGCCACAGGCAAGTGCGATCTGTTATTAACAGATACTGAATAATTTTATTTGTTTGTTCACATCATTAGGGTTATTGGGACATTATCCAATTCGTATGAATTCTCCAGAGCTTTTAACTGCAAACAAAACACGCCTATGAATCCTACCAGCAAGTGCGCCGTGTGGTGCAAAGATGAACAGCTACTTTAAGGGTCCATACCTTTGGTGTGAAGTATATGACGCTTAGTCCGAATCAACGGACCCCAGCGAGGGTCGAAATTGAAGTAGAACATTAATGAAATTTTGATTTTGAAAATGTCTTAAGGGAAACCATATATAAGAAACAAGTGACAAGCATGGCTGCGTAACAAACTGTAGCAAGTACAGTTCATAGTATCATTATAACTGAAGCCTAATATACATTAACAATCTGCAATCAAGTTTCTGATCAACAGATCAGCTAGTGGAAGCCAAGTAATAACACCAGTACAGGGGCGGATCTAGGGGGAGGGTGCAGGGGGTGCGCACCCCCCCCCCCCTGAGATGACCTGCGGTTTTCTANTTTTTTGGGGTCTTCTTGTGTAAGTAGAACGCTGGTCAGTGTTATCATTGATTTATTAAAAAAGGTCATTGCATTGATCAGTCTGATTTGCTCAGTAGCCACAGGCAAGTGCGATCTGTTATTAACAGATACTGAATAATTTTATTTGTTTGTTCACATCATTAGGGTTATTGGGACATTATCCAATTCGTATGAATTCTCCAGAGCTTTTAACTGCAAACAAAACACGCCTATGAATCCTACCAGCAAGTGCGCCGTGTGGTGCAAAGATGAACAGCTACTTTAAGGGTCCATACCTTTGGTGTGAAGTATATGACGCTTAGTCCGAATCAACGGACCCCAGCGAGGGTCGAAATTGAAGTAGAACATTAATGAAATTTTGATTTTGAAAATGTCTTAAGGGAAACCATATATAAGAAACAAGTGAACAGCATGGCTGCGTAACAAACTGTAGCAAGTACAGTTCATAGTATCATTAAAACTGAAGCCTAATATACATTAACAATCTGCAATCAAGTTTCTGATAAACAGATCAGCTAGTGGAAGCCAAGTAATAACACCAGTACGGGGGCGGATCTAGGGGGGGGGTGCAGGGGGTGCCCCCCCCCCCCCCTGAGATGACCTGCGGTTTTCTAATACAACTGGTATTCGGAAAAAAACAAAACAAAAAAACTATGTGGTTTATTGGTGTTGAAGTAGAGCAAGAGACGAGTGTACCCCCTCCTAAAAAAAATCCTGGATCCGCTCCTGTAGTAAGTGACAGAATTTTACTTACTGTATCGCTGGTGACGTCAGGGGGGGCGTTATGGTGGTCAATAACAAAAGCATTTCTCTCCTCTGGGAACTAAACTCCATTTTCATATAAATTTTATGAGAACCCAGCATGGCCGCCTTGTTGTAAACCAAGAATACCACAGAACTACAGTGAAATGGTGTTTTTGCGTACTCTGGATCGTGGTACGCACTTTTCTGAGTTTTTACGCTCAGGAAAAATAGACCTCTTTGACCCTGGCTATTTCTGAGTTTTAGGGTCTGGAAAGCGCTGTCCTGATCCCGCATTATCGCTCGCTTTTTTTCACGAGAATCCCGCATCCCGAAATTCTGTCATAGCTATACCAAATATCGTTTTTTTCCTAGTCCCGCATCCGTGCCCAAATTTTGGCGAATCCCGCAGTTGCGTTAAATCCCTTATTCCGTTAACGTTTCCCAAATCCCGCACTGTGTTATAGACATAACTTGGACCCCGTGCATACCCCACCAGACCCTGTGGATTTAAGCCTGTCCCATTTCTTTTACTCAAAATTAAACACAGCTAAGAGTTACTTCGCGGTCCGGATTTATTTTCCCTCAATGCATGGTAGTATTAATACAGCTCACAAGCGATACGGTATGTTTATTTTTTAAATTAAAAATTATGGCACCAATTAGTAAAGCAGGTTTAATTTTTGCAGCCTTGCACAATTTAGGAGCAAACTTAAATTTACCCTGAAAAATTTTCCAAACACCCGCTCCACGCTCTTTTTGTGCGCCATTCAACCTCTAGTTATATAAGGTTAAAAAAGATTTTATAATTGTGTATATGTACAAAAAAGTCGGGCCATGGCAGCATGTAGAACTAATTCAGAACCTCCTTCTTGCCTTATGCAGTTGGCTTGCTAAGGTAGAATGCTATATCTGCTTCTGGTTTTTTGGGACTTAGTTATTATTTGGAAAACGTTCAAGTAAAAGTCATTCCGGAATGAGTTCATTCCGGTTTTCATTCCGAATGAAATTCTCGTTCTGGTACGAAATTTTATTCTGTTATCATGTAAACTGAAAACGAACCTCGTTCCTGATAGAAAATCGCAAATCGTGTAGTCTGGAGTGAGTGGCGCATGCGTATCTGTTCTCGGGCGAAAACCACGCGAGCGCGAAGGCCTTAGGGCAGTGACCTTTTGATTTTATCATGTGAATGCAGTAAGAACTTTACTCTGGAACGAACTCATTCCGGTATTATATAATCAGCCCTCAAAAAAATAAAGTGTCACGTGTTAAGTCACAATCCAATTTTGGTCTCCAAAAATCCATTTAAAGTTGGAGCCATACAAAACCGAAACGATCGCAAAATCCAACAGAAGTAGGGACGGTTTTGATATCAAGAAGACCTCAAGGGCGGCTAATTGCAATTGATAGACTCTCTTCTCCATAGAAGTCTCTTTGTGACGTTGAAAGGATGGGAAGAAGAAAAAAAGAAAGCACGCGGGGGAAAATGGGAAAGGGAAAGAGCTTTTCCTCTTCCCATCAACCCCGCGCGCTTGCTATTTTTCGATTATAACTAATTTCATTGGGATACCCATAGGATTTTTTAGATTGTGTTTGCAAAAGTAGCATATTAGCAGTGCACGTATATTTCTAAAATTATGACAATAATAATGCTAGTTTTTGTGAATTATGCTCATTTTATCAAAAAAAATTGCAGAAATTATGCTTCTACTTTTTACTTTGGGAAAAACACTTTAATAACTGTGCAATAGACAAGTAAATGACAAACGCATTAACCCCATCTACAACCAGAAACCTTACTAGTGCATAATTCTTTGTGAATTCCCTGGTTATTATCATTGGTATGCACTCGTAGTCGCAGACGCCATCTTGGGTAACCGAGCAAGTTATGAGCATGCGTTGAGTCCTGTGGAAAGTGTCCTTAGTCATTTCTTGTGGGACCGAGGTCCCACAAATGTGTCAATAAGCAGACAAAACTGAATTGATTTTGTGACTTAAATTTGGCTGCAAATGAATGAAATTTTAATAAAAACTTGTAATAACATAAAGGCTGATTTTTCTGTTGTTGGTTTATTTCAACTGGTGGGCATGCAAGCGGCCCAAAAGCGGAATAAAAGCTGGGAATTAGAAACATTAGAAGCAACAATAAATTATTTAAATGAAGAGTTTTCGTTTCTGCAGTCAATGGCAGATGAAAAGAAATGACCAAGAGTTACATGGCATAGATGAAAATTGATGCAATGTGTAAAATGATCGAGCCAACTTTTCAAGTTCCTTCTGAGTACTTTAGGTGATACTTCCACTTCGTTACTATATCCAAAAGAGAGGATAATCTTCTCTTCTCTTATACCTCAATCTTTCTCTAAAATTTCACATGATTTCATCNTGGGAAGAAGAAAAAAAGAAAGCACGCGGGGGAAAATGGGAAAGGGAAAGAGCTTTTCCTCTTCCCATCAACCCCGCGCGCTTGCTATTTTTCGATTATAACTAATTTCATTGGGATACCCATAGGATTTTTTAGATTGTGTTTGCAAAAGTAGCATATTAGCAGTGCACGTATATTTCTAAAATTATGACAATAATAATGCTAGTTTTTGTGAATTATGCTCATTTTATCAAAAAAAATTGCAGAAATTATGCTTCTACTTTTTACTTTGGGAAAAACACTTTAATAACTGTGCAATAGACAAGTAAATGACAAACGCATTAACCCCATCTACAACCAGAAACCTTACTAGTGCATAATTCTTTGTGAATTCCCTGGTTATTATCATTGGTATGCACTCGTAGTCGCAGACGCCATCTTGGGTAACCGAGCAAGTTATGAGCATGCGTTGAGTCCTGTGGAAAGTGTCCTTAGTCATTTCTTGTGGGACCCAGGTCCCACAAATGTGTCAATAAGCAGACAAAACTGAATTGATTTTGTGACTTAAATTTGGCTGCAAATGAATGAAATTTTAATAAAAACTTGTAATAACATAAAGGCTGATTTTTCTGTTGTTGGTTTATTTCAACTGGTGGGCATGCAAGCGGCCCAAAAGCGGAATAAAAGCTGGGAATTAGAAACATTAGAAGCAACAATAAATTATTTAAATGAAGAGTTTTCGTTTCTGCAGTCAATGGCAGATGAAAAGAAATGACCAAGAGTTACATGGCATAGATGAAAATTGATGCAATGTGTAAAATGATCGAGCCAACTTTTCAAGTTCCTTCTGAGTACTTTAGGTGATACTTCCACTTCGTTACTATATCCAAAAGAGAGGATAATCTTCTCTTCTCTTATACCTCAATCTTTCTCTAAAATTTCACATGATTTCATCTCATTGCTTTTGTCGAGTCGTGACGATACGGGTACTAAAATAACGTTTAAAAACATGGTTAAGCAAAAACGGATTACTTATCTCGGCCTTGCTTGTCAAACCTCACGTAAGCGACTATGCTCTAAAATGCGAAGATTTGGTGATCTCGCTGCAAATAACTGCCCACAAACAATGGTCTTTGATTGGGCCGACTCATATAGGTATTTTGGATGGGTGTGGTCGCTTATACGACAAGTGACCAACCAGGACATTCAACCTGACTTACCTCAAAAACTTGGTAAAATCATGCTCAGCCGGCGTTTTAATTTCAAAAACCTGGTAAGTTTGGTTCAACCAGGGTTACCCTTCGGTGCGAGGGGTGGTAAGGTATCGAAGCAAGCTGAATTAAAGTTTGGTGGTCTGCGAAAAGAGGAACTTGTTGTACCAGACGCTTCTGACTCAGCAGGCTAATGCAGTAAAGATTTAAATTCATTTATCTTTCTTCCACACACCAATTTTATTCCCCCTTCAGCTCGCCTAGTCTGAACTGCTTCCATTGTTAAACATAATAAGACCCCGCTCTAGACAAGAACAAAGAACCTTATTACTCCTTTATTTTTGAGATAACTTTCTATATGTATTATAATTTTTTATTATACGTAAAAATCTGCAAACAAATAATAAAAATAATAATAAAAATAATAATATTAATAATATTTGGAAATAACTGGAAACAACTCTTAAAAAAACTCCTAAGCTTAAACGCTCTTAAAAAAAAATGTAAGTGGTATTCGGTTATCCTCTGCCTTAAACTGCATAGCAAACAATTCCTTGAGTATGATATTCATTGCAGAATGTGCAAAATGAGCGTTTTTTGCAAGACTGTCTGGCTAGTGGGATTAGCGCGCGTGCTAACCTGAGATCAGGCCCAATTTTAGCAGCTTCCTACGTTTTTTTTATTTACTAAGCGAAACGAAAGTAGAGCCTGATCTCTGGTTACGCGCATGCCGGTTGTTTCATATTTTGGTGGCGGAGCCGTGAGAAAAATGACGACTTTTTCCTCGTAGCTTTGGCCCCAAAAAGTTACCCCGCCATTATAATCTCACCAGCCGCTTAGGCTATGATAACACTCTCCCCCCTCACCTCCAACCACCCAAATCCTTATTTTGCCGTGAATTTTATACTGTTGTCAAAGCAGTCAAACTCAATTCACAATTTTAGAGAAAAATGTGTCTCAACAACAACAACAACAACAATAAGCTTTATTTGCATGACCATAACAAAGTATTACAGTATTGCAAAAGCTACTTGAAATTACTTATTTATTCCTTGTAAATTAAATATTTAAAATAATTTGAAACTTATCAATCATTGTTTATTTCTAACCATCAGTAGGATTAATTATTCCGGAGATAAGTTTGTCTCTCAATTCAAAGCAAGTTGATATAAATGAAATTAATTGGATGTTAATAAAATAGTCAGGAGAATTCATCAGATGTGATAATAAGGACTCATGTGATTGTAGTCGCAGAAACGGTATTTTAGGATCTAGTTTAGAGAAGAACATATCTCTTATGGAAGAAAAACTTGGACAATCTAATAAAAAGTGAGTTTCATCTTCAATTCTGTTACAATTGCAGAGATTGCATAACCTTTCGTCACGTGGTAGATTGTCGTATCTACCTGTCTCAATCCTAAGTTTGTGACTGCTTATTCTCAGTTTCACTAATGTTTTCCTAGAAGGGTTCTTTCTTGTTAAATCTAGGTAGACAGAAGGGCTATAATTCGTTTTGATTTTATAATAAAAGTTAAGTTTTTGTGAATGTTGAAGGGTATGATTCCAGTAAGTGATATATTTCTTTTGCATAAGATCTACATATTGCTTAATTTTACATTTATTCAGTAAATTACAATTAAAGCCTGGGAAATCATAGTAGTCAGTCATCTTCTTAAGACTGGAGTAAAAACTATTTTGACCACTATGATAAAGGTCAACAGATATTTTTAAAGATTGTTTAACTATAGAATTTTCATCTTTTTCTTGGAGATAGTTTAAGTAATTAAGTATCTTGTTATTTATATCAATGATCAGAGGGAATCTGCCAAGTTCAGATCTGCATGCAACATTGGATGACTTGTTATGGACTTCTAAATATCGTTTACAGAAGTGCAAATGAGTTTTTTCGAAATCTCGAATACAGAAGACAGCGACTCTGTAGACTCACTTAAAGTTTCAAAATTGAAGAAATACTGTAGGTCCGACTTCGCATGTTACATTTAGCAAACCACACCGTAACGATCCTAAACACAACACCCTAAATGGCATCTAGGATTGTAAAATTTTCTTTTTTGCTTGTTTTCCCTCTTTTGACCCATCCTCGTGGATCATCTGCCGTACCTGATCAGTGAGTTGCGAACTTAATGTTACATCACAGTCTGAATAAATTAGTTGTAGTTATTGTTTTATAAGGGAAATATAAATCAGTTAGAAATGGGCAAGAATTCTCGAAGTAAAAAGTAGGCAAGCAAGTTTTGAAGCCCTTCAGTCATGCTAGGAACTATATATTTTCCTCTCCCTCGGCATCTGCTTCCTTTGTCAATTGTTCCGAGTTGCTGGTCTGCGCATGCGTGACAGCTGGTCTCCACCACAGGAAGGAGAGCTGCACAGGTAAGATACACAGGCCATGAAGAAGTCCAAATAACACAATGCCCATGAACATACGAAAGAATATGCGGTAAATTTCTGAGGAAGCGAAAACAAGCACCAACATGCCAAGGAAAGTACTGAATCCTGTTGGAAAGGAATCGATATATGTATGATGTTAGTTAGACATTAGTTGAAAAGTATAGCATCGGTAAAATTCGTTATCACATGTTAGGCTCTGCGCTCTAGAAGATAACCGCACACTTTCTTTATGTCAGCGAGTGTTCACCGAGAGGACGACTACGACGCCGAAATTTCGCGTATTCTCAAAAAATATACACATCGGAAAGCTTCATTGTACTTTTTTTAACAGAAAAGTTAACACGGTTATTTCTATTGAAGGAGGTTAAGCCCTTTCCGATCGCAAAATATTAAAACTTCTAACATTTTCATTACTTGTTTCCGCTCGTACAACTGCACATTCTCGCTAAAACCCACAGTAGGATGATGAGGGCTAACTCTTTTTCCCGCCAAAATGACGCTGGCATGCTTCACGCGCGCGCACTACCTATTGACAAAATCTCGTCCCTTTTCCTTTCTCTTTTCCTAAAATTTGTTTTTCAGTACTTTATAATATATAGATTTAGCCAGGGCTGAAAGCGAAGCTCCAATTTTAATAAATTTATAATTTAAATCAAACAATAAACTTTTAATCCACAAATCATTTAACTTAAGGGCACATTCATGTGACTCTTGAGGGAAAGGCTAAGTTATTTTAGAGTGAAACATCTTACATAGAATTGATAACCTTATATGTACACCCAAAAAATAGCAAACATCTTCGATCACATTCAAGATCACAGTAGATTAGGCCTCGAAAACAAATTCTTGGAAAACAAATCACGCCAAATTTTTTTTGCGTTCGACAGGTTTACTTTACAAATTCTTGCCAACAAATCTGGGGGTGTTTAAACTAACCTTTTATAATTTTTATACACCACATTTGAGGTGAAACAGTACTATTTATCATACAGAGCTCGGACAGAATGAGGTATTTCACAATTTTTCAAGACAAATTGCACTCAGTCAATATTCAGGACGAGCCAAACCGTTCAAAAATTTCAGAAAATTTCCAAAATCACCCATACGGCCAGCTGGTTCTCGTTTCTATAGTGCGAGCTGTCAGTGTGGTCGAGTGTTTAAATGAACTTTAACAGAGTTACGCTTCAACATAATAGCGAATTTATTATTATTTGTTTTGTTATTTAATGGTTTCAGTTATAACAATGTGTAATCTTATAAAGCGTTTGATACGCGCGACATTTTTGAGTACTCCTGCAAGCGATGGTTATGAACGATGAAAACAAACGGCACGGACAAGCGATTAAAATTGCAAGAGAGACTACTAACAATAAAAAAAAAGAGATATAATTCCGTGAAACATTTACAGAGACAACAATTTCCATTCACGAAGACAAGTATTAAAGTGTCTCTAAAAATCCTGAGTCTTTAATGTTTTAGCCGGCTTCCCAGCGCGGTGTTTACTGTTTTCGAAGGTGAACTCCTGGAAGCAAGAAAATCGCTCAAAGTTTTCTTTCTACAGCCAAATTTATAACTAAATATCTCTCGGAACGTTTTCTTTCTATTTGTGGTGAGCAAATATATCTGAAGGCTTTTTAAAGTTCTGTAAGCTTATATCAAACCTGATACTAGGTCAGATCCTGCAAACGTGCATAAACTTGCCGCATAAACTGTCAGCGTGAACTGTGCAAGACTTCATGAAACACAAACATCAAATACAATAATTACTTAGGGCTTACCATTCGAGATTCAGTTCCTGAAAGCTATCAAGGGAGGCCACAGTTGCTTGAGACTTTTAAACCCTCTTACGCATTAAGCAAGGTGAAAAACGAAAACGATGCCATCCGAAATCGAATTACCGAATTTGAACAAGCGACGCATTTCTCAACCAAAACCCAGTAAACAAACCAGCCATGAATAACAGAAGACTCTTGATAGCAGCTGTATTTCATTTTGTACCTCCAGAGCAAAAAGACAGTTAAAAACATCACAAGTTGACACAAAACTCTGTCAGCTTCAGCTGTCAAAGTAAACTACTTTCAAGATGCTGCATAATTTTTCCGCATTAACTCACCTGTCAAATTTTGACCAATCGGAGTATAAAAATTGGACGTAGAGCGTGACCAACGCGTGACCGTGGTAAGATAACAGCCTCCTCCTCAGGCGCTTCGTTTTTCGCATGGCAGAGGCGAGCGCGAAACGAGTGACTGGTGATGAACCGCAAGGGACCATGGGAAGGGTACAGACTCCTTCCCGCCTTCCTTTGCCCGCACATTTCCATCAAAAGAGAGACGTCTGGGTACGAGGCAGGTAAGATAAGGTCTTCCCCGCCTGTACTTTTAAAAAAACTGGATGAATTTTCGCTTCCGAGGTCAGTTTGAAATCAAAATCCTAATAGTGCGGGGCCATAGTGACATAAACACAACATATTTGAAAACATTGGTTTCCTGTGGTGCGGACGGACGGCGGTCGGTCGGTGTACGGTCACGTGATTACCAAATTTTCTGGGATGGGTAGATTTACTTAGCAATGGGGCTCCGCCCACGCGCGCGCGCGTGGAGCTCCGCTAAAAACAAATTTAATAGTGGGTGCGCTTTGGGAGTGAGGGGAAACGTTAATAAAGACGTTTAACTCGGCAGTGCTAAAGGAACCTCCGTCAGAACAGGTCCATTTTCATGGGGTCGGTCTTTCGCAGTACCTTGCTGTTACTGATGGGACGATCAGAAAATGACGCAATAAAAAGATTGAAGTGACAATCCGGCCAGAGAGGCTGCTAAGGAGACTTACAGACGCCCGATTTTGGGCATAGAGAAAAACGTTGGGACCAAATTACGTCCGGTAATAGGTTCTTCTGTGTTGAAGCGCCTTTTCGAACAACGGTCTCTAGTGATTTCGGCTAAATTCTACCCACACTAGAGTTAATCCGTTCTTTTTTGTTCACGTTATGTTTCTATTCCGACTTACCTCCCATGAAAACACTGGCACCGAGCGTACTAACTGCGTCCACGACCCGCTTGTCAGCAGTCTCCTCCTTGGACATCACGAACGCATGCGCAATGTGCGCGCTATAGTCCACAGCGAAGCCGATAGCCATGACAAGAGTGATCATCGACACGCCATTCAGAGACACATCCCACACGTACATCAGGCCAAACAGCTCCAGTATCAGGGCCACGAAATTAGCCACCACTAAGATCGTCACGGAGCAATCACCCAGGAAAAGGGACGTAACTACAAGTACGGCTAAGGCCGCTATTATAAGGTTCCTTGTGGTTTCCCTAGAGATTATGGCGTATTGCTCAAAGAAGATGAAAGAACGGCTGATCGGAAACACTTTAAGTGGAGACTTGATAGCAAGATCCTCGCGAATTGTTAACATGGCGTTTTTCTGAAAGGTTGAAGCAGGGTCATTCTTCATGAAAGCTACAACCCGAGAAGCAAGTACTTGACTTTCATTAGAGGACAGTTTCACGTCTTGCTTAAAACCTGAAAATCGCGGAATTTTAATAAAATTTCTTAATGCAGGCATGAAATTTGGTCCAGAAATATTTATATTTTTGGCTTTGGAAAACTGCCTCAGGGCATCCATCCACGATATACATTTTGATTGAAAATAACTGTTCTCCTTCACAATGCTTGACAGCTTGCTTATTTCTTCTTGAGTTGTGCTTTCCTGATATTTTTCCTCACCGGTGAGAACTATACTGACAGGAATGGATTGTTGAAAGTACTTGTCTTCAACAGCAAGAAACTTCATGAGATCAGAATCGTCCTTGGCCAACATGGTTTTATCAAACCTAGTTAAAAAACATACAATGAATCGCTGTATATAAGGCCTTTCATAAACTATTGCCGTGTAGTCCCTATATGGGCCTTTTAAATGGCTACCCCGTGGATAATTCTTTCGTTCAAACGCTACTGCATCGACGAATCTTCGACCAACGAAACATTTGTCCGGTTATTTCGCTCACACCAAACCGTTCAATATCTTCAGTCTGTTCACACGGAATTGACGAGCCAGGGAGGCGAGCCGGGTTGAATTTTAGCTTTTTCAGTGGTCACATCTGCCCATGGCAGAACGCTACTTAAAGAAAAAATCTAAAATAGCGTTCACCAGCGGATGTTTAGCTATGTTTCCAAGCATCCACGCCTTTGCGGTACAAAAATTTAGACGGTCACCGTGTTCATACCGCCGCGGCCGTCAAATTTTGAACCTGGGCGACTAAAAGTTTGACCTCCACTCTGCCGTTCAAAGTTTTGAAAGGCTAGGCGTCTAAATTTTGTACGGTTAGCTTGGTTCCTTGTGAACAGAAAACTTGAACGCTCGAATTTTCAACTGGCTAAACTTTCATTTGTTTTGACGTAGGGAGGGGGGGGGAAGGGTGGGGAGGGTAGTAAAATTTTAACATGCAAACCGAGTTTTTTATATGCGGCTCCTACTGCAAACAATTTTTGAGGTTCGTGAGACACTAATCACTAACAACCACGGTGGTACAAATAGTCCGACTCAGTAAACCGACAATATCGCCTGATGAAAACCTGCAGTGTGCGGTCGAAACGTCGTGATCAATATCAAAGTGACCATCGTGAGACACACGATAAAACTATACCCTTTAACTTTTTCGAGTCTCCGTCTTCCTGCAAACACTTTTTTTTAAATTGCATACAATTTATTTCAGTGTTTACAGCCTCTGCAAACAATTTATTACAAAATTTTCAAAAAACTAATGGTCCGTCCCTAATCTGTGGTAGGCCTTGCTGATTCGGATTTTTCGGTGGGTTAGGTTATAGTTCCAGTCACTGTATGGCAACTAACCTTTCAGTCACTTTGGTGGTTCCGTATATTCCCATAGAGAGCGCCACTAAGGAAAGAATAAGCACAAAAAACTTTGAAGCAGGATGCATGAGAAATGTTGACCAGCTCTTCATGATGCGGTTTGATGACTGCGGGCGCGGCTCGTCCCAGGGTGCCTCGCCATCTTTTGGCTGAGGTGCTTGACAGACTGGTAGACAGTCTCGGCGTCCAGATTTGATTCTCTTAACATCAAATGTCATGACAGCGACAAAGAAGGTTATCATCATTACATACGCAAAAGTTGTGGCTAATGCTGCATAAATACAAAAGGATCTGAAAAAAGAAGAATATGCGCGCTCAACGTTGACTTTGTGACTCGCGGCAGCGTTAGCAACGTAAAGGCTTGGACTCCTGTTAAAGCCAATTGGGCCCGAACAGGAGCCCATAACCTGGAGCGAGTAACTTCCATACGATCGTGTCACCGCGTTTTCACGGACCAGTTTATTTTTAGAACTTTTTTGGCACGAATTTCGAATATCTTTTAAATTTCACAAACCAGTCTGCAAAACCTACAGACCTAAAAATGATATTTTTTGCATTTTAATAATAAGACATTTACCAGATGGTAAATGCAGTTAATGGAACATGAAGCCCCGGGGGTGCCTGCCCCAATGTATACTCTGTTCGATCTTTAAAGCCTTATTTATGAATGAAAGCACGCTAATTTTAAGATACAAACAAAAGCTGTTCGTGGCTGGAACCTGACTAATTTGTCGTATGTTTGTCATCATATTTTTCTTAGCATCGCGCAGATTGGTCCCTGTTTTCACGGCCGTATTCATGGCTAGACTTTAATCATGATAAGACTAGGTAACTTATGGTACAATTGTATTCATTGGTCGAGATTTGAGACACTGTCTAGCTATAAACTTCTGCTATTGGCAGACCTGGTCATTATTCGTTTAGCTTGCACGAAAGCAAACAGTTACAGTAATTTTGTTACCCACCCTTCCTCTCTTTGGAGGAGTTTTGTTGTGTTAGGTATCAATAAAGTTTGGGGGGTCACTCCTTGTGGTGCGGTTAAGTCTGCGTTGCGACTTCCCCCGAGCTTTTGGCATTGCTTGTGTCTTGCCATCTTATTCATTTGCCTTAATCTTGTCCGATCCAGCCCATGCGGCGCTGGGGAGATAAGAAAGGCTCTGCCAATACTCTTGTCCTACCCTACGGTAGTGGGGCGATAAGTGAGGCTTGTGTTTTTGCTGTGCGCATAACCTTAAGTCGCTAGAACCTGCCACAGGGCTGTGTCCCCCGCTTATTACGCCATCTTGTAGTAGTTGTCTTACTGGCCTGCGTGCGCTATTTAGTTGTGTTACTTTTTCATGCGTATCTTAAGTGGAATAGTGACATTAACGTTTAGTTTTCCTTTTTGATATCTTATACTTCGAATGCGCTTATGGATATGGTGGAGATTCTATGTTCGTGGAAAAAAGTGCCCAAAAATGTGTCTAAAAATAAACTGGTCGGTAAAAACGCCGTGAGGCTTAGTATGGGAGTTGCTCGTTCCGGGTTATGGGCTCCTGGCCCGAACAATGACGGAAGAATGTTTAACATAACAAGGTTGAAAAAATAAGACCAGTTGGCTCTTTACAATCATGTTCCACGAACCTAGGTCAGATTTGCTGGGGAACAACTTCTGCTAGCAGTCGGGGCCGCACATAGACCTGAGATCTCTGGATTCCAAAATAGGCGCGCTGACCACTTAACCACGCTGCCTAGCTCAAAAGGCTAATTATTGGTACAATATAATGTGAAAAATGTTTAATCGATGCTCCCTACTGATATCTAACGTATACGGACAACTCTCTATTACGGACAGTTTTAATTGGTCTTACAGATATCAAACTTCACATTATACCTATACAGTCAGTTCTCAGTCTTAACGGACGCCTTGCTAACACGCCGGATACCTAGAGTTGGTTCCTCGCCTTTCTTTACTCCTTTTAGTTTTCTTTCTATACGACGGACACCTCTTTATGGACACATCGTGTCGGTCCCAAAGATGTCCGTGTTAGGGATAGTAGATTGTATTAAGGGAAACCTAGATAACATGTAAATAACTCATCGAAGTCACCTACCTAATGGCAGGAAGCTGAGTCGATGTACTGACCGCAAAGGCTACTAAATCCGTCATGGTTGTCATGGTAACTGTTGGGCCAGTTCTTGACATAACCTCTTTAATAGTCCTGACCAAACTAAACTGGCGCGGTTGACGATCCAAGTCATCAACAATAATAAACATGTCGTCGATTCCTATGCTAATAACTAAGAAAGGAACCACGCCTACGATGTTAACAAACGTGACGTGACACCACATAGCGATTCCTATTCCCGATAAAATTCCAAAACTGACTGCAAGAACGCCTGCGCCCGCAAGCAGCGAATGGCCAGTCAGTGGATTGGAAAACTTGCTCAACATAATGCAAGCGAAGGATATCATAACTATAAAAGTGAAGGATACAAGAGTAATATCTGCACTCCCATTTTCAGCAATAGCATCGTCCGTACTTCTTTCTGCTTCATAATACATCTTAAAGCAGGTCGTAGAAAGCGAAGAAGCCTTGTCCAAGAAGGTCTTCTCCCATTCAAGAACTTTCTTGCTTATGTCATCTTCTGAAGGATCCCGGATGAAATAAGTCAGTTGTAGTGCATGCGCACCTGTTACATACAAATCAGTCCCGTTACGGGTCCCTGTTGGGTGACCGAATATTCTCTTGAAGTTGACCTTAAAAAGTTGACCATTTCGCATTATCAAACTATTATTGTTCAACGCTTTGTTAAGCTCCAGCTGGATTTCAAGCGGGGTCTTTTTACCAAAGTTTGTCACTGAAAATATTTCAAAAGGATCTACAGTTACGCAATCCTTCAGAGAGGCCGCTTTCTGTCCTGAAAGAGTCGAACAATATTCGGAATATAAATTTAATTCTAAAATCTGATTATGCACGTCGTACGCTTCGTGGAGACATTCAGGTGTAAGAACGTTAGGGTTCTGCGCACGTGCTTCTAAAATAACTTTCCCATAACGAACGTTGATCGGAAAAAACTGCTTCGCCGTATTTAAGTCTTTGATAGCTCTACTATCTTGAGGAATAAACAATTTCTCAGTTCTGCTTTCTGTTTTAAGCCAAGCAACCCCCGCCGCACAAAAGCAAACGAACAGGACGCATACCAAAATGGACAGTATCGGATGTTTTGCCACATGTTCTCCGAGTTTACCAACAAAGTATTGCTGGAAAAGAACAAACCAACTACACAGCAAAGACCACCGATGACAGGGATTAAAGCGATGTTTGTAACAAGACCTACAGGAAAAATCAAACAAAGGCAATTAGTTAAGAAAAGAAACAGCGCGATGAGGATCGGCTCATTTATGTCCGGAGTTGAGTCTTGTCAGAAATTTTGGAAAAAATCCCAGTGTTCCGTTGAGGAAAGAAAATCAATTTGGGTTGTACTAACGACGTTCTGCGTGTGACCACTGGCTCTTAAGCGACCAGATCTTGAGACAACCAGCATTGAGAAATTCAGTTTGAGCTGTGACCAAAAAGTTCTGCAATGAAAAGCCATCGTAAGCGACCGCGACCACTTTGCTTTTAACAACGTGTTAATTAGTATAGTTAATTTTTTTATTCTATATTCTACTTATTGTTGTATGTGATTTTTACTTTTATGTTTTGGAAATGGTTGGTGTTTAGCCTAACTGGCTTTTACCGACCTAATCGAGATGATGATGATGATGATGATTTCCTTGGGGCAGTTCATGTACATTGATAGGCTAGATTGGCCACGGTAGGGGTATTGAGAGATTGACATTTAGAGTGCTAGCCATTCCAGTCAGAGCGAAATGCCAGCTTCCCAATCCCCTAGGGTGGTCATTCTTCCCTCTCCCACCGAAGCAACACCTGTTTTAAAATACAAACGCTTCTTTAAAATATATTGATAGGAAGCTAGAGACTGGTTATGGTGAAGACGGGTAAACCAATAAAAGAAAGTCTAAGCCTTTTTTTTTCCCTTTGTACTCGTCCTTATTACTTATCAGGAAACTTTGTGGCGTTCCATTAGAGGTAAAGCACTTTCCTATTTTACAGCTGCAAAGGTCTATTTCAGTGACTCAGCCAATGCAAATGATGTATATATTTTTTTGGCGGCTCGATACAGACGGAAGCTTGAGAAGAAAAGCTATTAATGAGGTCGAAAAACAGAACACACTCAGTAGTTACATGACATTTTTAAGGCGCAGCTTAAGTAAATTTCAATTAAAAATTATTTGATAACGCTGAATTGAAAGGTCTGAAAGTTACGATCAATATTTCAATGCTCTCGAGTGCAGTATTGCCAATTGAAATTACTCATTGCAATAGACTTGTATTTTTAACTACAGTTGTGAAAGATAAATACAACATAGAAAATTTGCATGCATATTGTATAATTCACACAACTCTACGTGTGGCGAACCCTTTTCGCTTTCAATACACGCATATCCGTCGCAGGTGTTGATTTAAACGTTCATCAGTCAAGCCAATTTTCATGTATGCACTGAAAAGCCGACATCTTTGTTCAATGAAGTAGATAAAATTCAATAAAAAATATATTTTTCTCTTACCCCTCTCTGTTGGCCTTGTTGCCCGCGGCATAATCCGCTGATTTTTGCACTGGTCTTTCAACTCTATTATGTTCCAATATGAAGGGTTCGTTTGCTGTAATTGTTTCGTTCATTGTTAGTATGGAACAGTGAATTCCCGATCAAAATTTAGCGACGCTAATCCCTGCAGGTGTAAGAACTTTCCATGATACTCAGCACGTACTTTCCTTCGGATCGAGCCAGGATCGCCTGTTCAAAAGCGTTACAGCTGTAAAAGAATACAGCGATGCGCTTCTCTCGCCCCACTGTCGGACTCGATTGCAATTAAAAAGCTTTATCACTGCATATTTCTAACCCAAAGTAAATTTTGATAACGATACTTCTAAAATTTGTTACTTCACGGGTTAAAACGAACGCAGTCACAACACACATGTACTCTGCCGGACTTCAAAAACGAAAATGCAAATTTTCTACCTTGACGGTTTGATAACAATGTGACGTCACAATCTGGCACGCGCAGGCTGGATAATGTTTTTTCTATTTTGCATTCTTTTGATTGTTTCCTCACTGAGTTTTTATGCTTTATTTCCGGCTTTTAAAGAGGTTTTTCCAGAATCAAACATAAAATGTTAGGGAAAATTTAAGGTCAAGGCATATTATTTATTTTAGCATTTAACTGAGTCTTAAACTAAGGTTTCTACAACTAAAGTTTTTCGTTATTTAGAGACAGTTCCGACAGTCGTCGCGCTTTCCTGCTTAGAACTTGGACCTTACTCCTTGCACCCTCACGGCCTAGAAGATGATCTGGGATTACCGGGCTGGTTCGGTTGTCATGCATGTAATTACCGTACCGCGATCTTGGCAAACAAACAAATTCGTAAGGTTCCGAGTTCGTCCCAATCTCATGCAAATACTGAGTGTCTCTTAGTATACTTGCACTTACCAAAACTCGAGCGTGATTTTTGTTCGGGGCGAGGGGATAGTCAGAGTAGGATTGCGAATTTTCAGTTTGGGCAAGAACTTTTTCCGAATTAGATTTTTAATTTTTGAGTGTAAATGAGACACTGTCCAAAAACGATGGCGAAACGGCGCGTAGCAAACGACCGTAAATCGTTGATACCCCTCTGATACTGGTACTGTGTTTATGTTTCTCGGCTGTCATGAAACAAATTAAAACACTCGATCGCAGGTAAGAAAGTTTTAAGGGTGCTTGCAGTTGGTTTCGTCGGTTTATCTCTCTACGGGCAAGAAAAGAACCAATGGGCGTCTTCTTCTTCTTCTTTTTCTTCCCCTCTTCCTAATTTTAACCTTTTCTTGCTGTGAAGTACTCAGTAGTTGTAAAGTTTTTAACCTTTTAAGTAAAGGTTTCTCTTATGTGGAGTACAGTAGCTCTTCCAGACCTCTATTTTCATTGGTCTAAGTAAGCATTCCTATCAGCCTTCTTTTGTTTTTAGGGCTATAGAGTTGTTGTTTTTGTTGAATCATCTATTGTTTCGTTCTCCAATTACAGATCACTGGAGAGCTACTGTCCTCCTCTCTCTTAAGTATAAGGTATCTCCATTATTCTTGTTCCAGTAGTCCATTTCCAAGATTTAACTCACACTGGTAATTCCTTAGATTTCGAGTAGTGTCGTCTATTCAACTAAGTTATGGATTTGTTAAACTTATATATCAGCTCTTGTACTGGGGATTAGATCCGACCTTTGGTTACCTACACTAACTGGCCCTATCACACAATTTTGCCTCTAAGCATTTTATTGGTTCTTTAGCACTTACCATTGACGATAAAGTACATGTGTTTTTTGATGTTGTTTGCCTTTTAAACCACAGGGTTTACTCGATCACCCAAACAGGTAGAGTAGAGTTGTTTAGTCAGAAACCCTTGCAGCTAAGAGCTGGATAACAGGATCGTGCGCAAATTACACATAATTAACATTTAACTTCTGACAAAAAGTCTAAATATTTCTCAGATACAAATTCTGACAATCTTTTTGTTTTACACATTTTGTTATTATAGTTCCGGCAGCTTCGTAACGAGTACGAGTGAACGGTAGTTACCCTTCCACTCATGGCAAGGCCAGACACAGGGTTGGATGGTTTTGTACGCATAAATGATTCGCAAGCAGCAGCCCTACGGTCTTCTAAAGACGGCAGGCCACTTAGTATCGATGCCTCGTCATAATATAAATTCGGAAGAATTATTCTAAGGGCGCGCTTTTGACTTCCCTCCAACACATCAGACAGATACTTTGGCAGATTCATGAATACAGCCGAGCCGTATTCAATTACTGATTGTATAAGGGAGCAATATACTGTGATTAGGTCTGATGTCGGCACGCCGCACTTCTTTAGAGTTCTAAGTGCACAGAGGCGACGATTGGCTTTTTTAATTATGTAGTCACAGTGAACACTCCAAGTCAAATCCTCAGAAATATAAACTCCGAGAAGTTTAAAGGATTTGACGCACTCGATAACAACTCAGCCTGTACAGATGGGGCGCCAAGTGCAACTTTTACAATCAAGAAAGTCAATCGTCATCGCTTTACATTTAGCTGGATTAAGGCGCATGTTGTTGCGATGAGAAAAGCACTGGATATCATCCACAATACAATTCAAATATGATGGAGAGTTTCTAGGGATGATTTCGAGAATCGTCAGATCATCCAAGTACTTTGCACGCTTAGGCCATGTGCTCACTAGGTCGTTGACCATAACAGAGAACAGTTTTGGCTGTTGGCTGTTTTGGCTATTTTTCGTCGGTAGTCGTCGCCAAAGGAAAATTATCCCATGCAAGGAGAGTCCCGTCACCTCTCCTTGGTCGTTGTTCTGCTTAGCCCGTAGTCCCCTTCAAGATACATAATTACCTCAGGCTCCGTCCATGCTAATGTGTTTTCGTTTGAAAACGTATACATTTCGATGCGTTACTGAAGGCCTTCCGTTCACACTAATACGCTGAGAGTTTTCACCGAAATAAAACGCATCAATTTGAAAACGCTCTTGAAGTGAATCAAAACGAATACGTGTACATATCATGTTAGTATGGACAGTCAAAAACGCATCAAAATGAAAACGATGGCCGAAATATCGCAGGTGCGTATGTTTGTTGCAAGCGCAAAGAGTTCAACTCACATCAACGCAATTCTATCGTTTTCGAACGTTTTAGTGTCCAGCGGACAGTCGTAAACGCATTTTAAGACGCCAGTGTTCACGCGAATCGATCGATGCGTTTTCATTATCAATGAAAACGCATACTTTTGAAATCGCATTAGTGTGGATAGGGTCTTACTGCGAAAAGTAATCGATTCCAGACTCGGGCCGTTCAGAAATCACACCCAGACAGCTAACTAAAAAATATGCCCAATTTAAGACCTTCAAGGCCGGGAGCCATAAAATCCTACGCGTACCGTTTTGAGCCGTTCATATCTATCTCTCACTGATACTAAACAGCCAGCCTCGAAGGAGAGTTGCCGGGATCGAAGTGAATATATAGCGGTGGATATGATGCAAGGAGAGGCGCAAGCGTACAGTACAGTACAGTTCAAATCATCCTGTCGGTAAAACTGTTACCATGGAGTTGCACTGGCGACTACCCTGTCGACCAGTGCAACGGAACCACTCGATCTTATCCTGTGTAGACCTCTTTGCCTACTATGCAGAGGGGGAGTACCTGTTTTGACTAAACAAATGGGAAGGATAAAAAATAGCACATCATTTCCCTTTATGACAAGTTAAAATAAAAGACGTCATAGAAGAGTTTAAACAAGATATTTCGACTTTGTTGCCTGCAAACACTGGAGGAAAATAATTTTCTTCGTACAACGAGTAAACTTCTACAAGCCAAATTTCGTCTAGCCTCCCACGCAAACGTTCTTAGGGGTTCGTCACGCGTTTCTACGAATGATTGCGTGACGAACCCGCAAGAACGTCTGCGTGGGAGGCTAAATTTCGTTCCTCTCTTGTATTTGTTGGTACAGCCGATCCGTTTAATTCACGAAAAGTTTTGCCTTCCGTAGTGTAGCAGAACGATCGAGATTCCATTTGCCCCCGGCCCGAGGAGCCGAAAACAAAACGATGCATAGCCAAGATTATTCTGAGTTACAGTAGCCAACCAGATCAAGCAAAACTTGCTATGGCACTGATCTGGTAAAAACTGAAAGGGAATACCCTCTCCCACGGGCCTGATTCACTAATGTGCGTGCACTTGTGGCTTTGCAACAATTTTGGCCGAGTAACGTGCTTTAAAGGGGCTACGCCACAAGGATGTTGCTGTTTAAGGTCAATTCTGTGCTGGAGTTATTACCCATACACAAAACGCTCTGGTAGCATTAAGAATAAGGTATCGAACAAATTCCGTAAAGGAGCAGTAACCATAGCAATTTTTGGGGGGTGATTTTTGCAGGCATAGCATTAAAACTTGATAACTTTGGCCCAACTTTTTCAAGTTCCGAAACAAGTCCGTCTTTGCCATCCGTTCCAACAGGCTTCAAGAAACAGTTTCAGTGTCAAAATATAGTCTCATGATAACAAAACTGAACCATTATTTTTGGAATTCAGTTGGTGCGAAAAAATAATAAATTATTTTACAAGATAGCAAATAGCGTGGCGTAACCCCTCTGAGTTTAATACATAGATATGGACGAACTTGGCTCTCAGATGGTTAGAGGGAGTTTTTGCGTCACAAATTCAACCTTGCGCCCTGTAATCCCAAGTGGTACTTTTATTACATTCGTCAAAATGTCCATTGTGTCAGTCAAGCCATGCATGCAATTTGTCACATACGATGCCCTCTGTATAAGTTTAAGAGAGAAAAGACTTATGAGACTAGTCCCTTGCAAACTTACGGGGAAATCCACGACATGCAAAATTTAAATTAACATGACGTAATTTGGCATGATAATTGATGACGACGCCTTTGAAACTTCAAACTACGTCATAAAGCTTTCCTCAATTTTTCCCAAGAGCTTAAAGTTTACGTGCGCGAATGCTGACTCGAAGAAAACAGAGTCGCGAAGTGATCTATTCAATTTATTTTGCAATTAGTCTTTAGTCACTTTAGTGAATGAATATAGATTACTTATGTAATAAATAAACAAAAAAACTAACAACCAAGCTTTCTGAAGACAATTTTTTGTTGTTGCATCCTTGACCTGACCTGGCCGGCTGTTATAACTGATACACGTTTGTTGCCTTATCCTGTTTCGTTTGGATATTAAACATCATATTTTAGTTTGTCACATCTGTCTGGCTTCCATCCAGGGTCGTCGTTTTTTTTTCGCTCAAGGTTGAATAAAAAAGGCATCGGGTTTACTTTGACTAGTTATCTGGCAGTTGATCAGCTACACTATTAATTTAGGATGATAAAAACTCGAAATTCTCTAGTCATTAGGTAAACCTTTATAATACGGACATTTCTCTATTATTGCGGACATTTCGCCTGGTCCCATGCAATCCCTACCCCTGGC